TCGACTAAAGATTGCACTGTCGAAAGGAATTATGGGTATTGAATATTTTAAACAGACGCGACAGTGAAAATAAGTAAAGCTGTGTTTCAAGGACATTTTGGGCATGACCATTCCTCAACCCCGTGAACCCAGGGGTAGTCTTCTCTCCAGTCACTCGTTCGGAGCGACGGAGGAGGATCACCCTTTGGTTTCCGAGGATGGTTACTTCATCAATTCTAGTTTGTGAACCTTTTAAGTGAGTACCACCAATATTGATTATAGCATTTCATCCCTGAACAGCAAAAAGATGACGTCCACGTCTGCTCTTCACGTCATCGATCAAATCAGCGAACAGCTCGTGTGCGCAATCTGCTTGGAACGATTCAGTACACCACGTGTACTAACCTGCATGCATACATTCTGCACCGACTGCTTGCATCGTATTGCCAACAACGACTGTTCAAAGAGCATTACGTGTCCTACATGCCGTTTGGAGACGCCGATACCCGAAGAAGGAGTCAAAGGAATCAGAGTGAATTTCTTTGTAAATCAAATGCTTGAGCTGGTCAAACTGAAGTCCATTGAAATCCAGAAAGAAATACGCGAGGCGAGGAAATGTGAAAATTGTGAAGATAGCGAGACGGGAGCTTTTGCGACATCAAGGTAAAGTGTGATTTGGTTTTTAGATGCTGCGGGATTTTTTGCATTCCAACCGTGTTCGATACGCAAGCAACACTCGCGCATACATATCACTGAATGTTCCGTACCTTCCGCAATAATACACGTAAATATTAGTTGCGCTACGTTAACGTAGCGCAACTAATTTGTAGAAAGACTCCACTCCCCTCCCTGTTGTTGCGTTTCCGTACGTTCTTACGCTATATTTACGTAATCCTACTTGTTTTACAGATGCGTCGATTGCGGAAAAGACTTATGTACGTCRTGCGTGGCAGACCACAAGCGTTCGCACGACACGCTAGATCATCGACTTATCTCGACAACAGAAGGCGAAGATGGCGACGACCAACAACTTGACCGCTACAGCTTGTCCTTCTGCAGATACCACACTAGAAACGTCATAAAGTATTTCTGCATCACGTGTGACGAGGCCATATGCCGAGTGTGTACTATACTAGAGCATCGAGAACATCAGTACGTGTACCCAAAGGAAGCGCTTCCGTTGAGACGCAATGATATTAATGAGCTACTTGAGAAAGCCAAGTCAAGGATACCTGAGTTAAAGAATACTCTAGTACTGGTCGATGATATGTCAAGGAGGCTTAARGAATGTCATCAAGCACTGGCAAGGGATATTCATAGTAACACTGAAGTACGAATCAAGGCTTTGTTAGATGCTGAACAAAACCTGTTGAGACAACTGGCTAGTGTTAATATATCGAAACAAAAGGTAATGGATGGATGAATACATTTGTAGAAAAATAAATGAATGGATAATGAATGGATGCCAATCAATTAATCATTCAAACCAATCAATCAATCATTCAATCAATTAATCATTCATTCGATCAGTCAGTATGCCAGATAATCAATCAATCAATAAATCAATCAGCGAGCCAGTTAAACAATCAATCAATCACATAATAGGCGATTTTCACGATGGTGTCATACTACGACTACTTATACCAGAATGCTTAACTCACCAGAATCATCCGAAAATTTGGAATATAGTAGAGCGAGTGATAATCCAAGGATGGAGAGCATTGAATTTGAACAGAATGCTCTCCATCCTTGGATTATCACTCGCCCTACATGTTATTTTACATTGTAGGTTCTTGGTCTCCAAAAGGACAGCATTGAACTGGAAATCGGTAAACTAACTGGATGCTGTGATTTTGCTGACAATGTCATGAAGTTTGGCAATGAAGTTGAGATACTTCAGATGAAAGGAAGACTTGAAACACTCAATGATCTTAGCAAGGTTGGTATACTGACAAAGAAAAACTGCACAAAAGTTAACACGAATCAGCCTATCCATACTTTTATCATATGACCCGTATTTCGGCCCTACGCGCGCTCTCACTGAAACCTTTGGAAAATGGTCACGTGATGGGGTCCGTACGCCTTTTCGCGACAGGTCCGTACAAACCCGTATTTTCCCGGCTTGAAGTTCCGCGCGCTTTTATTTATTTTTTACATTAAAAAACGCTGTCATATGATAAAATACTTATTGACTGAGTTAGGTCGGGCCGTACGGGAAAATATTTGGCTCTCGGTCATTTGTACGGCATAACCTCGAGCCAAATATTTTCCCGTACGGCCCTCCCACTCAGTCAATAAGTACATAATATTCATCGTTATTTTCAGATAAAACTAGACCCCGAAGAAGATGACACAGTTCAATATATCTGCGATAACAATTCAATCAAAGCAGTAGTCGACTCGGTTGGTAGAATACACGCATCAAGTACCTTCGCGTCGATATCGTTCGCAAGTGGAGAGGGCATCCATACCGCACGAGTCAAAGTCGAAGCACACTTCAAGCTCCATACAAAGGACAGACGAGGAGCTCGTAGTTTTGGAGGAGATAGGGTATTTGTTCAGATCACTCAGCCCGATGGCAGCGAGCTGCCGGTTAGAATCGAAGACAAAGGTTGGTGACAGTACGTTATATGATCAGGCTACACTGTTTTAACTTCATATACAATAGCCCAACATTGTGGACCATTAAAACAAAGGTCCCTCAGTGAACAGAGGTGGGGTTCGGGGTGGTATGTGAATTGAACTTCAGGTCCATATGCAGACCTGGGTATMGGCCGGTTYAAYAAATTAAGTTCGTATCCTGTGGATATGTCTATAATATCTTGCAGGTTTAGATAATTTTTAGTTGTAAATGTTCCACAACGACTTGCGGTTTTCCTCCGTTATCCCTTGTCTTTAACATGTTCTTGTTTTCATGAACTTTTTCATTTTATAATTATCATTCACTTGAGATTTTAACAATGATTTAACTTCATAGGTGATGGTACATACTTCGTGTATTACACGCCACAAGTGAATGGTCACCATCAAGCTACAGTAACAATACAAGAAAAACCCATCATGGATAGTCCTTTTACCATCTTGGTGGTCAACAGACGCGAATATAAGGAGGTAACTACAACATAAGACAATGAAAGCGCGGCAGAGGTTTTTGCAATATTTAGCTATCGAGATCTTCCGCTTGCATTTGAATTTCCAAACTTCAAAACCAGGCGCGTGTCACTCGTGTCCCATTCTTAAGATAATGATTATTTATGATAAATAAACAAGTTACCTAGTGCAATTCTTTAAAGCTCTCTACTCCGACAAAGGATTAACGTCCGGAACGTCAGTAAGTTATTTCACCTACTTTTTTACGTGTTAAATTTATCTTTTTATACAACTGTTTCTTTAGAAACATCGACGCAGCTCACACTAGTTTACCGCTAGTTCCCACCAATTCTATAATTATTAAAAAAAGATTTCGCGCTAGATCACTTCGACTTCGATTCCTGGTCAAATGATTGCGTTGTGTTTTTTTTTATGTCCAGATTTAATTTGATTGATGTTTTCAGATTGGCCCCACTCTCATGAAGTTTGGTCAATATGGAAGTAAAAAGAGAGAATTCAAGTCACCTTTCGGAGTCGCTGTCGATCAAGAAGGACGAATCTACGTCGCAGATAGCTACAACCATCGCATCCAAGTCATCGGCACAAGGGGTGAATTCGTGACGTCATTTGGTAGTCATGGCGACCGCAAAAGTGAGTTCAACTGTCCCACTGACGTCACAATCGACCACAGAGGGAGGATCATTGTTTGCGACAACGGCAACAATAGAATTCAGGTTCTCAACAAAAATGGTGGATTTATTGGAAAATTCGGCCGKGAGGGGGTCGGCAATGGGTACTTTAAATCCCCCTGGGGCGTGGCCGTTACACGACGCAATGAGATCCTCGTCGCAGACATGGAAAATAATCGAATCCAGATGTTTACCCCAGATGGCAAGTTCATGTTTAAGTTTGGAAGCGCCGGAGACCGTCCTGGCCAGTTTAGTTCGCCTTGCTACCTTCTATTAAACAATGATGATGACCAGATCTTCGTCTCTGACTCCAAGAATCACAGAATTCAAGTTTTTGACACAAACGGGAAATATGTACAACATTTCGGTACCCAGGGCAATGGAGAGGGTCAGTTTACCCATCCCAGGGGTATAGCTATGGATATAGCAGGGAATGTCATAGTTGCAGACATGGGAAACCATCGTCTTCAGATACTAGACCCTAAAGGACAATTTGTAAAAGAAGTAGGAACAGAGGGTAATGGCGACGGGCAGCTATCTTTTCCTGAGAGCGTTGCAATTATGCCTAACAGTGGGTATATCGTCGTCTCTGATCTCAGCAATAACCGTATTCATGTGTTTTAAGACTACTGCTTTTTGTGGATTCGGTGCTGGTCGCGCTTTGCGCTCCTCCAAAGATGTCCTTAGATGTCAGACATTCAGTCAAAATGGAGTAATTCCAAAAGAGTTATATATTCAGACGTTTAGTGAAAGGGAATCTAGTAAAAGATCACTCAGCTGAAACAGAAACACTGTTTTAAAAGTGCTGCGAGCCAGGGAACAAAGAATTTGAAATGGAGCAAATTCTGGGAAATTGTTGGCGTAACGCAGCTACAGTAAAGACATTTGGTAGCCGTTGGTTTCTGAGGATAATACGCTCCTTGCGCAACAACAGATGATTTCCGAGATATGCGTGCGTGAATCCATGCATCTCTGAAGTCATAATCTTAGCTAAATAGTTGTCGTCATATGTTGTATATAAATTATTTTACTTAATTAATATTCTATAAGTTATTCTTATATCATAAAAAACTTAGACTAAATTATTATTAATGGMATGGAAAAATCAAGTTTATCAGATTTGTACCCAGTCCCCACCAAACAACTTGTTTTTCGCAAAGATTGATGGGAAGGTATTAGTGAGCTTGTACTGCATCATGGGAAGGTATCTCTGCATGCCCTTGCCATTAACCCTTTTGAAGATAGTAGAAGAAGTTAACGAGCAACAATACGTTGGATTATTAGTGAATATTTATAAATTCTATAAACAAAGGCTAACAATGAAAATATATATTAATAATTTAATAAATATCTACAGAAATTACAAAGTTAATAGTTGACAAAATCTCATTTTAGAGAATACGTACATTAATGACATCAAGTTCTTTGTATATAGAAGGCTTTTCCCATATTTTTCAGCTCTTGCTGGAAAATCATATTCTCTTCTGTTAGTAGTTTACGAAGTTGAGCTTTGCGCACCTGCACATGATAATAAATTTAAAAAATCTGGCTTGCAGTTTCAAATTTTTTCATCAAACAAAACAAACCATCCTTAAACACTGGCCTCTGCGCCTCTAGAGAATTAACTTTGTTTAATTAATTCATCTTTCTAGTATATATTGTCTTGTCTTTGCACTTTTGTAACTATTAGCCTGATGATGGTTTTGCAATAAAACCGAAATATTGCTCTATGTAATCTTCTATTCTATTCGATGTTGAATATCAACTAGAATGAATCTATTTGGTCTCTCATTCATCCTATTCTACCTAAAACTGTCAGCTTGTCCTGGGTTTCAAATTTTAACCTTTATATTTTAATGGGGTTTATTCTAAATAGCCTTCTCTGGCAAATTCTGTTGGGAAACCAGTGATAATATAATGATTAATTAATACTTACGGCAGACAGCTCTTTATTTGTCAATGCCAATTCATCTTTGGTTTCTTCATGCCATCGTTTAACACTTCGACATGCACTTGTCTAAAGTAAAATTTACAATACAAGGCATTTTTTAAAGATCTTTTTTCCATATCGATATCAAAATAGGCGGCCTATTAAATTCTACTCATTGTTAATTGTTAAGTGGAGTACCTGTGTTAACTGATCATGAGTCATGATTGACTGGCAGCGAGAGCTGAMAAAATTAACATACCTCTTCAAGCTTTTCAGCCCAGTCTGCTATAAGATTCACTCTTATGTCACTGAGGATATAAAAGGTGTATTTTCAACTTCTATGTAGCAGTACTAAAATATTTGCTTTGTGATAAAATACATGACATTATTTATGTGAATTTGTGCTGTTTTAGTACTGTATTAACTGTTTTTTTAGCTTTTACTTTTTCTTTTCCATTCTTAATTCAGACAATGCATTCATTATCCATTTAAAACACTTGTGCGCTGCTCATTTATTCAATCATTCAAGCTTTTGGCCATCCACTTTTTTTGGGGGGGATGATATTTATAACTTTTCACCTACTTTTTGACGGCTGCATCTCTTCCTGACATCCATTCATCATACTAATGAATGAAATAGACAATCAATGTCGTTATATAACATCAATCACAGTCTAATCAGGATGTCTTTCTTTGGGAGGGTTATAAGTAACTTAAAACAGCTGCGAATCTATTCGCATTTARKWAAAAAAAAAAAATGGTTTTAAGACGTATATCATTAGCCTGACATATTTCGTAGAGTTAATCGATCATGAATCAAATCATGGGGAAATAAGACACCAAGACGCCCCCAAGCAATTCAAAACAACAGCCGAATTAATGCTCTTTTCAGACAGTTAGAGTCGTGTGTAATTACCAGATTAATGCATTGAAATCATTGATTTAGTCTCAATAACAAGGGATATCTTATTCTTAAAACACTAGACTGTTTATCTACGACTTTAGCTTTCATAAAGATGGAAATTCACGGTCCTTGGAAGAACCAAGTCGATKTTTTTACCTTAATTCTTTGTTCTTGTCTCTCTAGCGCTTTTCGCAAATTTTTTGCYCCTGGTCTTTCGATCTCATACCTGTAGCTCGTATTCATCGACATTATGAACGATATCTATGATTCAAAGTTAATTTATATCCAAAATTTCAGTWTATGGACAATGCTCTTGCTGGAACGAAAACTGAAGCTACAACCGAGTTTTTATTTCTCTGTGTTACCCAGGCAACAGCTGATAGAGCCCAGTCCCTTCACCTAKTTACGGTCATTTTTAGTGCGCGCGGGTCAGCTCGCGGGTTACTACGGGTCCGGAACAACAGATTGACTAAAACAGTTGTTCACAAATCAAAACCAAATTAAAATCTTGCCAAAAGTAATTTCCTCTTTGTGTGGTCTGTGTAAACATTTGCTTTTTATGGAGATATTAGGATTGGCAAATTTCATCCGTTTCAACTCACTTCACGGACCTACTTGATCAAGAGCTCAGAAGACGATTGAGTTGTGTTGCTATACATTCTTTGAATGAGAATCGCACGTCACAAMGTCTCCTAGTCTCCTGGGGCGCCTACAGAGTAACTGATTGAAATTGACTGTGTGATCTATGACCATCTATCCGATAGTGACTCCAGGTGCCTGACAGAATTATTGGTATCCGTGATAAAAATGAAAGAAAAAAAGAAATCCTAAAGAGTGACGTAAATAAACAATTTTAATTTTGAGAACCTGATGTTGATTTTCTAGACTCTTCTGACTGCAAGAGATGGGGCATTGTTCAAAAATTTAGATAGATCACGTGATTCACTCAAGTTACGCTGTAAATATTGTTTCATGACCTCCGTACCCCTCCCCCCCCCACGCCCCCTCAAACACAATAAACTGCACTTGTCAATATCGCCAGGTAAAACAAGCTATATCACGTTTTCCCTAGTGATCTTACATGAACAGACATGACTGCAGAGCCAACACAATAATCATTACAATCAAAAGAAGTAAAAGCTGAAACTACAAAAGCSAACAACAAAAACCAATATCCAATCACCTGTGGAAACATATATTTTTGTAAAACTAAATTTACACTGAATTTCCATTCGTTTGCGTCAGTACGTCTGACTGACAGCTGTCAGGGGGGTGTCGTAATCCAAAGAAATCTTTTTCGGGTCGTATTARAACTAGCCGCCATCCTGCCAGGTGTAGCTGTGAACAAGTCCGACAAGCTACAATAGTTTTGGGTTCATTTTCGCTGTTTATGATATCTGTAGCTTATGTCGCATGCTGGGTCCAATAATTCAGTATTTCCGAGAAGACGTTGAATGTGATGTGGCACCTTAAACTGAGTTTCATCAGCGTTTACTAATTTTAAAACACCGACGGTTRATTTCGAAAATATACCGGATGTACGCAGGCTAGTGACACCTGTATATGCAAGGAAACTATCCTCAATGTGAAATGATATCCTTAATAACATATTATGTTATGCGTCACACACACACCATCATAGACTACTCTTGGGACGKCTATGCGCAATTTTTGATAGGATAACTTTTACAGATATTCCTATATTCCCCTCACTTAAATTCTCTTTAACTTCCGACTCATTCATTAAGATCAGTTTATATTTTATCACTGTGAAAAGTAAATTGTCGCGTACGAAAGAATTAGACTGTCAAGATAGATTGTCCCAGGTGCACGGAATGTTTCATGATGTCAGCACGTCGCTAGAAAATTCCTTTTTTAGCATAAACAGTGTATATACGACAAAATACAATGATTTCGGTGTGTATTACGTAAAGATTCAATAAGTCTTTACAGACAAAGACAAATTGACGTGGATTTTTAAATAAATCCTTACATAACTTTGTGTTATAATAGTTGGTTGCTAGGGGACAACGCCCCTCATGGAGGACTGGGACGGAGAGAGGCGCTGTGCATGATGGTCGATCTTACGTGCTCAGTTCTGTTTAGCACGGTTTGTGTCTTCTTGAAAAATCTTGTGGACGAAGTCATTTAGATGCCAAAATAACCTTGATGTGGCTGTTTAAACTGCATAAAATGACTATCAAATTATAAATCTCTTTATAATATATGTTTATGAGCACTATGGAGCGAAATTTCCAAAGCTTTGATCTCATATATTGCTCCACCGTGGTGTCGCACCGGTAGATTTCAAGCAAGATGCAGTCCAAACGCGAGCAAGATGGTGATCGCGTACGCAAAAGTTCAAGACAAGGTAGAAGCAGTGTCCACTCACCAAGRACGAGTTCAAACTCCTCAAGCTCTGGRGTAATGATGGTGGGGCCTAACTTTCGTGTAGGGAAGAGAATTGGGAGTGGAAACTTCGGTGAACTTCGCCTTGGTAAGTCAGTTACTGCAAGCGACGGTCATATCCCTTCGAGATTTTGACTTGAATTCTAGACAAATTGATCTCAATACGTTGACATAAGTTAACTGAATGAACTTAGTGAATCCTCTTTTATCTGTCAGTTGTGGTAAATTGATCGGTTTGACTGTTTTCTTTGCTGTGTTTCTAGGGAAAAATCTGTACAATAATGAGCATGTCGCCATTAAATTGGTAAGTAGGGATGGTGTTGTTACAGAGGAGCCGAATGTTGTTGCTCAAACATCCCTTCGTTAATTGACGGACAAGCCGTATTTTTCTCACTGGCTTGTTGTGCTTTCTATAATTGCAGGAACCTATGAAATCGAGAGCTCCACAACTTCACTTAGAGTACAGGTTTTACAAAGCTCTTGGAAGTGGAGGTAGGTTAGATGAATAGTGTACAGTGATCCGTCGTAAGTCAGTTTTCAATTTCTTAATGTTTAGAAAAGATAATAGTCAGGAAGTTAAAAGAAGCAGCACTTTTCTTATCATATTTWTTGAAAAAAAGAGTACAATAGCTAAGTTTCGGAATCGAGCTCCTTTAGATAAAGTTTTTCGCATTTCAGAAATATTAGAAATATATTGTCTGTGAAATTTATATATCGGCAATTTACCTTGTAAATTTCCTACAGGATGAACTTTTCTTTTTGTCTGTGATCTCTACATTGTCAGCAGTTTCGTTGAATCACTCAAAATGTTTGCCTCCTCTTCTTATTTATGCCCTCTTATTAAACCTTCTCTCCCGACTGCCCATTTTCCCAAAGCTTGGAGGGAATTTTCGGTGAGTGGTTTTATTTGAAGTCATTTAGATCCTATCGTACCACGATACCTGAGAAAAACGTAATCATTTCAGTACATGAATGGGCAACATAGCGTTWCTCAACACAATGCCTGCTCTTACGTAAAGAAAACAGAAATGGCGATCAAAATATGAACTTTGAAAGCCTTGCAAATTCTATAAGCACCTCAGTTAGCGGTAGCTTTTGAATCAAAAGAGACTTATAAAGATTGGATCATGTATAAGACGATTTAGCCGTTGTTGTTTTGGGATGAAGATTTCAGAATTTTGTCAGGATTTTGAATTTATATTTGAGATTTTGATTTCGCAATGTTTTGAAAATGACAATCAAATGATCTGTATTCCACACACCTAAAAATGAGCAGCCTCAATGTCATATTTGGCGATACTTTCCACGCAAGTTGGTGATTCAATTAATATCTTTTAATACCGTTTTAATATGGTCTCTATATTTATAATTTACATTGACATTTTTAAAGYGTTCATAATATATAATGTTCCAATTCTAAAAGGAAGTTCCTGGGCATTAATTCTATTTTGTGAATACAAAATCCCTTCCGAAATGTAAACAGTTAGTCGTACTTAACATGCAAGTTTTCAGATAGATCCTGATTTGCTTTGAAGTTTTTATTGGTCTTGTTTTATCAGATTTTGTGTTCATTGTATATGTTTGTCGCAGTCATTGAGTGCAGCATTTTTTTTTGCTCATGGAAAAAAGTAATCTTGTTCACTTGATTGATTAAAGTCTGATAGACTCTTGATAAAAATAATTGAACTTCAAAACGTTTTGAATTCAGGAGAAGAAAGTTATTGTTTCAAATGAATTATAAACAATAGACATTGTTCTCTGGATTGATGTTTGTTGTTATCACCTAAGCCTGTTTGCTGAAAAATATTTATCAATATACAAATAAAATGAAAAAGAACTTGTTTATTATAAGAATGCAGCATTAGCATTGTCATTTGTGTTCTAAATTTTACATGATAATTTATTCAGAGTTTATGTTCATGTTTTGGGTTGACTTGCCCCATCACTAACTGGCATCCCTTAAGAGCTCTTGTTCAGGTTTAAAAATAAAAATATATTGTAATATTTGCAAGAACTTACTCTTTATTATCCCGTAGTACTCTATGGATGGAGACATTGTAAGATATAATCTTAAAACTGAATGATTGAAACAGATGAAAACATCRTATTTTCCATGAAAAATATAGGATATGACCACATTGAATGCTGGCAGACCATGTCCTTTCCAAAAACGTGCTTGAAGTGACATCAAAATGTTTGACAAAAAGTGCATTCAAATGATTGATGCCATTTTGAAAACGCTTGGTATAAATCATTTCTTTTAATTGAGATTACTTTTTAATGGCTGCTGTTTTGAAGCCAGCACTTGATTCTAGAGGCTTTGAAGTGGTAGAATGTCACCTTACTCCTCAAAAACAAATAGACAACAAGCATCAATCATAAAATCAAGATATCAACACACACAAAAACAGCAAAGACTCAAGAATAGACTTTGTTTACTTCAGAAGTAATGCAGCTTAAATAATACCCACTAATGTCTRACTGTTCTTTGATTTAAAGCACAGTTGGTAGTCAATCAATTTCAGAATTATAGTTTCTTATAATTGAATATAAAATGCAAACCAGCACCATGTGGCAATGTATGATTGATGGGTAGATTGTGTGCGATTTGGATATTGAATKCAAARTTTTTTCTGATTGTGCAGCTGCATTTTAGCTCAAATTCATTTGAATTGCTATTATGTATGACTGGTGTCCAGCAGCTGATTGCATGGGGACTGAATATCTTAACCTTGAGATATCCATTAAGGTCTCTATCTGATGACCTAAGATTCATCCTTGAATCAATCCTTTTACAACGATCCCTAAGTATGCTTAAATTTATGCTGTATTTCAATCCAAGCTGTTGCCATACGTTTTGCTTGCATTATAGTTTCAAGAAGAGCTTTTGAAATGTGACAGTGATTCTTCAAGGCTGACTTGCATTGTACATTGCAAAACTCAATCCAAATACCTTTATTTATATGACATTAACTGAATTAACATAAATTATGTATCATCAGTAATTAATAATTATTAATATATGCCTCAGTGATAATGATTGACTTATTATTAGCCATGCACATTATATGATTTCCAAACTCACTTTTCTCATGAAAAAATAAACTTGTAAAGTATATAATTATATTGGTTTAAATTATAACTCAAAACAAGTACATGTATTTTCTTTGGTTCAAAATATCCTGAATCAATACCATTATATTTAAGTTAAAAATCATGTTCTTCTCCTAATCCCATATTACAAGAAAAAACAAATAATCAAATTGACCTTTGGCCTTGCACATGATTAGGGCACATGACTCTAAACTTGTCAGAAAGGAGATTATGTAACAGCAAAGCTGCAATTAGGGAACTTTGAATTATTAAATATCATGCTATGAAAGGATTTATATATGTACATACATGTTTTCATTGTGACTGTTTTTCTGAACATTTTATAGCATTACAATGTCAATAAAACTGTATTGAAAATGGATTTTAGTTTCTAATAACAAAATAGCCAATATTTTCATTGTGGTTAGAATTAAGTTTAATTTAATTTAGAAGATTGAAAATATTATTATTGATTATCTGAATTTACTTTTTGAATCAATATGCTCTAAAATTATCATCTCAAAACTCAAGGGTAAAATTGAATTTAAAGGAAACCAGCTGAGTTATTGTGTACTGTGAATTTGGGCAACAATTGCAGCCATGCTAGCAGGATATGCCTATTTGAATAGTTACCAATTACCCTGTTACCATCTGTAAGAAAACAAGTGCATTAGTAACAAAAAAACAACAACAACAAATAATATTAATAATTCAAAACTCAAAATGCAGATAGTTGAAGTCTAGTTCATTGTGCAATGTTGMAGTACAAAATAGTGCTAAATTRAACAACCTTTTAGCACAGAATAGGCCTAAACATTGCATTCTTCTCTTACACTATTTCCGACACTATTTTGCTACTATTTTCTAACAATAATCATATCTTTKCTTTCTAAGTTCAATGAAAATTAAGTTAGGGAGAAGAATTTTGTAAGCAAAGTTTTAGTTTTGATAAAGTGTGGTAGTCTATTTGTTTTTGTTTTTTTACCTTTATAGTTGGGTAGATAATATTTTATTAAAACATGTACTGGATATTCATATAATCCACACAATGTTGTTGTTTCAATTTTCTATAATTACATTCTCAATTTCCTGCTTTTAAATGCAAAGCACACATGTGTTGTGAGTTATTACTTTTCTTGTAGATCCATTGGTTGATTGACTTGATATTGTTGATAAATGTGTTTAATCTGAACAAAATGTACAAGAAAATCCAATTTTAGTTGAGGRTCGTTGATCATGACTTAGATAAATAAATGAATTCTAGAATGTARATCAGAATGAAATAGATATTAGATTAATGTCATTCACCCTTATCACTAAACCAGTTGAAAAAATATCTAAGTAAGATATYGTAATATGAACTGGAAAAAAAGAGGAAACTTGGTTGAGTAGTTGAGTTTGCATCTGTTTTGTTCATACTAGATTTTGATGTTGTTCTTTACTTTTATGGCTAACAAATCTCAACTCTATTTTTTTGATGACCAAAGATAATTTTACTGGGAGCTATGATAACATTGAATTATAAACATTAAAAGATACCAAATTGCAATTTTTTTCATGTTTATTCATGATTATTTTGTTTCCTGGGTTAAATGTTTTAAGTTCGGTGTTTATATTGGCCATTTCGACGTTGCGCAGGGGACTGGGCACTAATCAAAGAAATATTGATCTATTCACGAAACAAACCCCACCAGATGAAAGGGCACCCAAAAATTAGTATATATACCAAGTTTCAAAATGTTTGGATAAAAACTAGCTGAACAGTATTTATTTCTAGTTTCATCAAATTAACAGAGAATGTATTGTTTTGGGGGACGCGGTCAAAATCCCCATACATTCTCTGTAAATTGCACAGCTTCTCATTAATTGAATATTTGTCCAAATGATCTGTAACTTGGAACTTACACTAAAGTCGATAAAGTCTTTTTAGTGATATGGTTAGTTTTTCGATTGGCTCAATATGACAGAAATTACAATTCATTTCATAACATAAAAATGGCCAATATAATAATAATATTTAATAAATTAAGAATATTTTAAAATGTTTATGTATTGTATATATACAAAATTTTAACTACATGTAATCATCAGATGTGATTATTTTATGATGTCAATGCAATCACAAAAATTCTAAACRTTATCGGCAGCAGTTCCAGGGGGCTGTCTATCAGTGCACCAAACACCCCCTTATTGCAGCAAAAGTTTACAACATTTTCAACCTTTGCTTGTTTAATATAGGTATCTATTTATGTTATTCAATATGGATTACGACAGCTAAATATATGGAGAATATAACACGGGCAGGCAGAGATACAAATTTTATCTTTTAGTGTCTAAAAGATTGCTCACAATTGAGCATATTGAAAATTACAACCGAGTAATTTTTTAAAAGTGAAAGAAATTGAATGTATTTCATCGATAATTAAAGATCACTTTCACAATTGCCTACTAATTTTGTATGATTGGCAAAATCAGTGAAACATTCAGCACTGCTATATTGAAGAACTATCAGAAATAAGTAATGGTGCAAAATTTTGAAGATATATACTAAATACTGACAAAGTTATGGAGGAATGAAAATACAAGGATTTGTATGAAATTCTTTACTGAGGCCTTGGTGGCCTCGTTTTGGTGTTTTTGTGCATCTTCCAACCCTTATAACTTCCAGAGGATTTAATATTTTCTTTGCAACTTTCAGAGCTGATCTTTAGCTTTGATATCTGTCATCTGAGTGTTTTCTTTTGTCAACATTATGAATTTAACAATATTATGTTAATTAGTGTCGGCCATTGTGAAAGTTATGTATATATTACTGTCATTCTCATCTGTGTAAAATATTTTCAGAGGGAGTTCCACAAGTCCATTACTTTGGTCCRTGCGGCAAGTACAATGCACTAGTCATGGAGCTACTTGGACCAAGCTTAGAAGATCTGTTTGATCTCTGCAATCGACAATTCACTCTTAAAACTGTTATTTCAATTGCTATTCAACTGGTGAGTGGATATATGATTGATTATTATCATCTTGGTCATCAACTTATCATCTTCATTATCGCAATCATTATTATCATGATTATTGTTATAAGTAATTCCATGTCCCTTGTGGATATTAGGGATTACTTGTCCCTGAAGCTGAGATAATAGTTGAGTTTTGCGATCTCCTTTACATTGTGTTAGCAGCGAAAATATTCAGAATTTTGAATAAAACTTGTGAAGTTTCAAAGTATTTCCATTGTCTTCTATACTCACAGATCTCTTGCATTTGAAGGGACTGTTRGTGAATAAAAGAATTTATCGTATAATTATAATCTATGAAATACCTATATCTTATAAAATCCGTATCTCAGCGTGCCCATGTAATATCCTCTATTTATTACATGGTTTTGATGCTAACACAGCATAAAAGAGATTGCTAAAAGGGTTTATTTAGGGGATACTAAAACACCAACTTCGATGAGAGTGTGCTGCAAGAATCTTAATATGCTGGCACTATACCAGACCTAAAATATTGATATTTCATAACCAATTATTAGAAATGTTAATTGTATTTTGCACGTTAAACCTTTCAGATCACAAGACTCGAGTATGTGCATTCTAAAAATATGATCTACAGAGATATCAAACCAGAGAATTTTCTTATTGGTTGCAAATCAAGTGGGAAAGGCAAATTAATTCATATCATTGACTTTGGACTTGCAAAAGAATACATTGATCCAGAAACCAAAAAACATATACCGTATAGAGAACACAAATCATTAACRGGGACTGCAAGATATATGAGTATAAATACACATCTCGGAAAAGGTATGGTAACAAAATCAATTTTTTTAATAATTTATGGGGAAAAGAGAGCATTAGTGCCATTGCATGCAAACATTACTTTAGCACATTAGCTCTTTCCAAATCACAAAAGGTCCTGCCTTGAATTAAATGTTTCTTTTGATTTTGTAACTTATAGGCTAACTTATGCAGACTCTATAATTCTTTGAAGAAAACAAGATGATTTAACAACACTTAAAAGAATTGAATTTTACTGACAATAATGTTTCTCTTTTCATTTCAAAATTCTCTGCTAAGACAAGAAATTTATGCATAATTTATCGTTGTCATGTCATTGTTYATTCTTTTTTTGCTTAAACCACTAAAAATATCTGAATTGTTTTTGACGTATTGCTCCTTGCAATGTTTAAATACGATTCTTTTTTMCTCAAGATTGTTTTYATAGAAAAACTAACACAGACTGTGCAAAAACCGATACTTTCCTTCAGTTTATGGCTTTTCTCTTTGTTAATCTCTCCCACTGTGTATTTAGGTTGATGCAGAATAACCATTCTGCTAGACATTGGATCAGTCATTTCTGTTACAATGTAAATGTGTGATCAGGTGTAGTTGCCAGATTGAGCAATAACATATTGTCTTTAGTTAGATTGTCTGTCAGACACACTTGAGCACTAATTGCTTCCATTAAAATGGATTTTTTTGAATTTTAATATACYGTACATAAAAAAGATATGATTTAAATTAATGTAACTTTTAAGGAGAAATATTGTTATAGTGTATCATCAATTCAGAGTATGTGAATCTGGCATTTTATTATTAGTTACTGTAAAAAATGCCAAACCGACTAAAGAGACAAATGAACAATAATTCAGACAAAATTGTATCAGACACAGACAATGAATTGTGTGGCAGTTAACAGCTTACATAACCCTTTACGTAGTTAGTGTATGTTATTAGAGAATATTGTACGGGAGCGAGGAGATATGGATTTTATTTTTAAGTGTTGAAAAGATCATGAGTGAGCGTAACAAAATAGCAACCTTACGTAATGGAGAAATAAAGGTATTTTTTAAATAATTAAAGATGATAATTATCAACCCCTTAAGTGCCGTATATGACGTACTGAGTACGTCATAAAAACTGTATACCATGTGCCTATATGCCGTACTCAGTACGTCCAAATTTGCAGTGTTTTAGTTAATTAAATCTTCGGCACATCGTTGGCACTTGATTCCGGCATATCGAAATCAACTGTGTTTCTTGAAAGACTGGACACTAGTATGTGAATTACGTGCGTGAGCCTTTGGAGCGTGTATGAATAAATTAAATGCATTTTCATTCCAAGATGGCCGCTATCTTGTCGTCTTCGATTGTTAGGTGGAAATATGACTTTTTTACAAGCTAAAACTTAGTAATTTCAAACGATTTAGTAAATAATGGCTCACTTTACTGCTCAATAAGCATTGGATCAACTATGGAATGATTCTGGAGAGGAAATAAGTTTTTTTCTAAATGTGACCCTGTAAAATCACAATTTTCCCACAATTATGACGTCATAATAATATAGAATTACAAAAACACACTTCATTCCATGTTCATTAGAAAGACAGATTTCTTAGCTTCACAGAAATATATACATTGTTTATGTTAGAGAGAATGACTGTAGCTAAAAAAAATATTTCCGAAGATCACTCAATTTGACATATTTTAGTGTGGCACACTGTGTACAAAGTGCATTGGCAGCGAAAGGGTTAATAACGAATTCATATGTTGGTTCTTTTTCTGCTTTTATTTTGAAGAAATATTCACAATGAATACTTCAAGTCGTTATAGCATTAACACAGACTCTTTCTCTGTCTGTTGCATTTTTGTCTCTCAGTTATCCACTAAAAGTCATTGACTGCAAGCARCATTAGACACCCTAACTTACAAATAACATTTATTAAAATTTTGTTTTTATTTAGAGCAAAGTAGAAGAGATGATTTAGAAGCATTGGGTCACATGTTCATGTACTTTCTTCGAGGAAGCTTGCCATGGCAGGGTCTAAAGGTACTACATTACATGCTTATATTGTTTTATTACAAATGTATATAATGTTTATTAAGGATTTGTGAAATAATTAATATATACAATATGAGCGGGCGATCTGTATGAGGATTTAAAACAGCGAGCTGAAAGCAAGCTGTTTTAAACCTCATACAGATCGCCCGCGAATATTGTATATTACTTATGAAACGTTGAGGTAAACTAGCTCAGGTTTTAAAGAAACTTTTGAAAAGAAAATCAATCTGACCGAGAAAATCAGAGTTAAAGTTTATGCAAATGAACAAGAAATCTGTATGTAATATACAACTCTCTTCATGGGCTATGATTTCTATTGTGTTTTGCCTTATGAATATTAATGAGTTTTATAATAGAACATGGAGGAATTTTGAAAAGACAAAATAAGCAGAAATAAGAAGAGCATGATACATAACTGCTTCTCTAGTCTTTTAAAGTCCTCTCAAATGTCATTTCTTTGACATTTTTTTATGGAACAGTGTCTAGTTTGTTTGTTGGTTTTTGTTCTGATTCTTTTTTCACACATGACATCTCTGTGCGCATTGTTGTATTATTGGGATTGTATGATCTCTGTCAACTCAAAAGTACCAAAATTGTTTATAATGTGCACTTTTTTCAGGCTGATACTCTCAAAGAGAGATACCAAAAGATAGGCGACACAAAGAGGTCAACGCCGATAGATGTTTTATGTGAAAATCACCCAGGTAAAAYAAGATTCTTTCTAACCGCCCTTCTTCCCTTTAATCACAACATCTTTCATCCAGTCTTCCCTTTATCTTCATTTCTTTCACAATCCATTCTTCYATTTCTTTCTTTGTTCCATCCCCATTCTACCTCTCCATGCCAGATTTCTTTTCATCCTTGGTGGTTCCTTATTTCCTTCCCACTTTTTTTCCCATCCTCCTATTCTATTCTTCCTTTCATACTTTCTTTATTACTTGCTGACGTGATGGTATTCCCTACAAATAGTTCATTTTTGGTATGTTTTATTCTATTTTTCAGAGGAACTAGCAACATACCTTATGTATGTCAGAAGACTAGATTTCTTTGAGACTCCTGATTATGAATATTTGAGAAAGCTTTTTAGAGATTTAAGGGAGAAAAAAGGATACGATGATGATGAAGAGTTTGACTGGACACATAAACCAATTGTAAGTATTTTATAAGGTAGCTTTAGGGGAAGGGGTTGTCTTTCTTTCCTCCCCTCCCCTCCCCTAGAGAGCCATTCAAAGTATTATAAATCTAAATTGTAATGAATATTTTGACAATTGCATACATCAGCCTAGACCATTTTGACCTTATTGGGCTTATAAAGTCAAAATAGCCTAGGTTTATTTATATATCTAAGTCTGCAATTATGAGTCTAAATCCAACCTTCAAACATCGTTTCCAATATTTTGATATTTTCAAATGTTGATCATCATGTCTCAGAAAACATCAACATCAACAACTTGTATGAACTAAAACTATTTTTTGTGTTTCGTTAGCCAAGCCCACTGAATTCTATGAGTCATGACCATCATACAGCTTCAAAAGATCCTCGTGCATATCCGAGAACATCGGAACGATTAACGTCAACATCAGTCACAAATAAGGTATGCAATRCATGGCTTATTGTTCCTATGTATAAGTGCCTTTCTATGAATGAATGCAGCTCATATTTACCAGTATGACAAGTTTCTACTCCTGTTGTACTTTTATCGAGAAAATGAGTAACATACACAACATGTATCTGCCGCTATGCTTTTTAACAATCTATTTGAGTAGTGTAGTCAAAGATACGTTGYAATAAAAGTCAATTTGCTTCCGGTCAAATTGTGCAAAATTTTCTCGCTATAGACAATACGCAGCTAACAAAAATTATCAGTTCCATCTGCTATACTTAGTTTTTCTGCTATATATTACTGACAAACGCACCCATCCCCCCCAAACATGTCTGTTGTTACTGACAAACGCACCCCCTCCCCCCAAACATGTCTGTTGTAACGAGATTTGAATGTATATATCGTATTTTGTAGTCTGGACAAGACAGAAAGGGTGCGTGGGGAGACCCCCATGGAGTGAAAAGCCCTGGTTTATTAGCACCAACAGCAGATAGACTTGGTGGGTCTGTACAAGTAGTAAGCTCAACCAATGGTGACCTAGGACCTAATGACGACCCAAGAGTGGATGGAAAACTTCCACTTAATAATCAACCCGAAGTTGAAGTGGTTGAGGAAACGAAGTATGTGAAAATTCAGCTCATGGTAGCCAGTGTATCAAACTCTTCTTAATTACAGGAATTGAAGAAACAACATTTGAACATTATCCCTTTGCTTTCAGTCCGCGTTGCGACGATAGCACATTCTTACACGCTTGCAAAGCATAGAATGTCCTCAATTACATTTTTATTAATGTGAATCTTTGTTCTTTCCCAGGTGCTGCTGCTTTTTTAAACGAAAGAAGAAAAAGAAACAGCCTGTGGCCAGACACAAATAATTCCCCACCAGGGGCCACTGAAACTCCACTTAGAGATAGCAATCCCACTCCATGCAAAACACTGAGACAATTCCGCATCCTCAAAAACACAAATTGTTTTGTAAGGAGCCATTTTTATATAAACAGAAAAATTAGTGTTATTATCAAGCTACTACAAGAGACTRTTGGTAGTTTCTTACTAGAGAATCGTACATGTATGCACACCTAATAAAGTGTGTTTCAAGAAAATGGAGGTGCCGTTTACACCATGTGTGAGCGTCCAACAACCAAGATTATCGAAAGAATTCCATGTTTGCCACCAGAGTTCCGATGGTGCTTGATTCAGTGAACATTAGTCGTCAGTTTCCTTGACAACATTTTAGTTTAGTATTTACCACTAACCAAAAAAAACAAGAAATGATGAATTTATAGATTATTTCAGAAGCATTCTGGTACTTGTAGCTGTAGTTTTAGTCTTGTAAATAGATTTGAATTACTTTGGCAAATATTTAATTATCATTTTAAACCCTGATGAAGGCGTTGCAATAACTACCCAGGTATATGTTGTCGCTCGCATGGTCGCTGATTTTGTCATGTAGTTTAGGCTTATTCACAATACCCAGGAAAATACAAATATATTTATAAAAAAAATTATTGCGTGAATTTAAAAGAAGAAGAAACTCATATGCATTGCGATTGGTTAAGCTATTTTCAAATCAATTCTATTTGTAGGGGTGTGGTCACTAATATCACTCTGCTACGAAATCATTTCCCACAAACCTGGTTTCCATGTCAGAGGATGACAATTCTTGTGAGCTATGTTCAGTTGCGGTTAAGGTTTTTTTCTGCAGGCTCGTTTTCTTAACTTTATTTTGATGCATGTTTCGTTTAATGCGTAGTCGCGTTTCAAAACCCAACTCGTCCAATCTTGTTGGTACATCCAACATTTTGTTGTATTGCCTCCATGTCTACATTGACGAGGCTGAGCTGACAGACAGAAAGAATGTGAAATGCTGTTCCAGCAGCAGCCATTTTACCCCAGTTTCCATTTCTCTGTTTAATTTGAATGTCATTCTCATCGGATTGTCATCATAGACAACTGTTTGATGCGTACTGGTGGCTGTCGCTATTGGTTCACTAGACACCCCTCCCCTCAGTATACCAYAAATATTACATCATTTTGAACCAATATCCGAACCTGCCAGCCTCGATGCCAGGCGCATTTCATGCCGTGACAAATAGAGCCTTTGTGTGCGAATCCGATTTTTAGATAGCTAAAAAATGTTGGATGGTGTTTGTGACATCCACTGAGATTTGTTATTTGGACTACGCAGTCGACAAACTAGTGTGTTCGCCGGGAACAGTCTGCGAAGGAAGATGCTTGGATTTTCTGGGAATCATTGAAACAGGAAGCCCGATCATGCTGTTTCTTCTTGTCAGCGGTGTACATCTCGCTCGTTAGGTCATTTGTGGATTCGGGGATCTAACACGAAAGGTTTGAAGTTCTGCTGACATAGACCGAAACGATCCTTTTTATCGGAGATGTCATTGAGTTTCGCTGCACAAAGATCCTGAGCTTAAAGCAATCGACGTGCTGTTCAATACTTCGACCGTTCAAAGGTGTGTATGATCTATTTGAATGAGGAACTATAAAAACAAGCGTGATCTTTCAACCCTAAAATTTGCCGCCATTGGTGAGAAAAACATTCAATCTACTGCTGTCTTTATGTGCTATTATATTATTCTTCATCTTTCTAATGATAAAATTTACCATTGGGTCTCTATTTTACATTGTTAATGTGACATTTGAAAAATCAGTCTTCGTTTTTTTCGTGTCGGTGCATTCATAGAATGCAAAAACCTCCACTTGATTAGRTAATATAGCATGACCAAAACAATTGCCCACCATGATATTCAGATTTAGGAATTCATAATTGAACTATGTAAAAGTAAATAATATCTCCTAAAGTAAAWATAGAACCCACATTTCATGTAATCTGAGAGTGATCTAACGACTTCATTAGCATTTAATATTGCRTGACTTCAAAGGGCGACTGCATATAAGGTCACGCTAATATTTGATAATCAAGACGTATAAAATCAATGGCGTGAAAATAACAACGATAAATAACCGAATACTTATAAACGTAAATACCYTGACTTCATATATTGTTACAGAAATGTTTCACGCGTTCCTCTGCGTTTCTCAAAWTGATTGCGGAAGCAGTTGRAGACGGCTGAAACGATCAACATATCAATGGCTTCTAAGAAAACCACTTCCATTTTTTTCTATAGAAAAAATAAAATACTTATATTGATTCGCTCTACTTACATTCATTTTGCGATTTTCCAGCAGTTCAATTGTTTTCGTTGCCATTAAACAATTTCGTTTAACCGCGCAGAATTTTTTCAACAGTTCAGTCTTGTAAAATTGTCACTTTTTTCCTAGAAACTTGAAAATACTTATATTCGCTTTACTTACATTACATTTTGCGGCTTTCCATTAGTACAATTGTTTTCGTTGTCATTAAACAATTTCGTTTAACTGCAAAGACTTTTTTCAACTTCAAAACGGAGTGCACAGTTACTGTGTGTTCTGATTGTCGCTTTATTAGCCATTTATGACATCATAGYTCGAACTGTGTGAGGGTAAAACCGCTGACGCCTATCACAGGCGTCAGGAATAATTTGATCTGTGTTTTTTTTGCTATTCACAATAAGTGTCATTCGATCGTTTGGCTTGCGTTTGATGCAAGATCTTTCTTTCGGACGAATAACTTTACGCAAAGGAACTTGTGTATAGACGTTTTATAACTTTGCGCGTGCAGACATCGAGCGTGCATAATAAAAGAATTATGCTCGAAAATAAATTGGAGTTCCTGTGCCTTTACTATCACATGTAGCTCCATTGCTCCAACCTCGTTCCCAGGGCTACTCTGCTCGCTTTTTTCAAAAACTGAATTGTCCCTGCAAACTTATTCCAGGCAGCAACTACCATGGCTAGTGGTATCTCTCTCTCAACYAAAGAAAGAACCAACTTCACTCGATTGTGTAGACTTCTAATCGATGGCGGCACGCGTGCTGTGCGAGATGTCTTCGACTCCATCCATCCCCCGACAAAYCTACACACGGCATTAAACAATCCAACAGTCTTTAACACATTGAAGGGMCTTAGATCAAAGAGGATCATCAACCMACAGCAATGGCAAAAGCTATATCCTAGTACAACTGGTACCGTGACATCATCGGGATTCGACATAACACTACTGATTGTACTACTGAGGAACATCTGCGGCCTCTCTCCTCCCTCGACGGGATGGGACCGCCTTCCAGCGGCCTCAGATASCAGTGTAGAAGCCGACTTGGCCCGTATCAAATATTATAGAAAYAATCTTGTCGCGCATATTGCAGACACATCGATGAGTGATGCCGATTTTGAGACGTACTGGGTTGAGATTAAGGACTGTTTGGTACGGCTTGGAGGTTCCGTAGGCTCCRCCTATGATGAAGAAATCCAGAGACTTAAAGTTGGATCCTTGGATGCAGCGGAAGAGACAAATTATGTTAAATTATTACAAGATTGGGAAAACAGTGAAAGGGAATTAAAAATGGAGCTTAAAGACGCCGAAGATAGATTGTCAGAGAAGATTGGCAAAGCGCAACATGGAATTGAAGATAAATTACAGCAAACTGAGAMGAGAATTGTTGAAAAACTTRATGACATGGRTCTCAAATTGAAGGAAGCTGTAGYRTGTCCTGATAGCGATCATAAAAAATCTGGTAAGAAGTCTAATCGTCGTTCASTACTACTGGCAAAATATAATAAGCATGATAATGATGATTATTATCATTGTTAAACCCTTGCGCTGTACARCGCCGACTGCTTAGAACTGAGCTTATGTAAACAATCGTGTTTGTTATTTCAGAAGACACTTCTACTATTGTCTACAATGTAGCTATCAGTGGACGTGCTCAAGTAGCTGTGGGCCCGAACGCTTCTGTAATAAAGTGAGTTCACTCTAATTGTTGTATAGACGCTTAAACTGTAAWGCATACTTACAGTAATTCCCGGCACCAGAATCATAGAAATCCAATGAGTTATTGGAAGAGGACCATTTGTCACTCACTCACTCACTTTCCTGTAAACGCCACCTGGCGTTGCCGTTGTTTGCGCGTTTTTTTTCACCTTAATTCATAATACAAAGTATTTTCTATTTTTCCTATTAGAAACACAACTGTTGGCCTATCATTTAAGTTCCTTGGCTTAACGTACAAATGTTTTCACATGCTTACTACATCAGATGATGCTATACACGTTGCATTTGAGCCCAATATATGTTTGTTTGTTTTTTAACATATTTTTTTTATAGTGTCGATGGTAAAACAAAACAGCGAGACGTAAAAGACAAACGACTACCGCGAGGTAAGGACTGCTAAAGGACCATTGGCAGAGACCTCGATGCATGAACTTTTTACCTTTATGTAACTAATAAACTAACTTAAATAATAATAAACTAATAAACGTTCCTTGAATGGATAGCGGGGTTGTGCTATATCGTACATACTTAAATAATAATAAACTAATAAACGTTCCTTGAATGGATAGCGGGGTTGTGCTATATCGTACATACTTAAATAATAATAAACTAATAAACGTTCCTTGAATGRATAGCGGGGTTGTGCTATATCGTACAAACTGTGCATGAACTTTTCTGTAGATTTATCATGATGATTATTTATTTCCTTCGCATTCATTAAGATTCATAAAAAGTGCAAAAATATTTGCTAGAATTGCTGTCCTGTAATAAAACTGTTTACATTGCGTATTGTATAATTTGATCTGGACAAAACCGACTCGCAGAACGTTCATCGCTGCTGAAGGCTTCCACCAARAGACAAACGGAGTTCCAACACAAGTTAGTGGCATCCCACATGATTTCCAGCGTCAGAACAGACGAYATCTTCACYAACCTCGTATTACAACATGGAMGAAAATCACTGGGAAGGCGTGATTTGAACGAGTCGAGACGAGAACAGCTCAACTGGTACAGCAAGGTGCATGGGGTTCCTTTGGAAAGGTAATGATGAATAAAACATCATTAAAGAGGGCCATAGTTAACTAGCGTACACCGCAATCGTCACACTATATAATTCGCCTTACAGACAATCTACACAGTCCGGACGTGAAGTCGAAATTTAAATCCATTTCCATGCGATGATGGTATCTAAAAAAGTTTAATTCACAGATTACGTTAAAGACTACTTATATCTCTATTTTTAAAGCATAACAAGATGCGCGCAAAGGCTCATGATTCGCAATGGCTCTTTAAGCGATGGTAAAAATGATAAAAATTTCACTCTTTTGAAGGTGTGAAGAAATATTCACCAGTAGAGAAACCCAACCGCACTACATCCTAGTCGTTGGTAAAGCAGGCATTGGTAAATCGATATTTTGTGAGAAGATCACTAGAGATTGGGCCTGCCAGAGGCTATTCCAGCATCCACAGTCCAGTAATCCAATTCMWGAATTTCCATTCGTCTACCTTCTGACATTTAGACAGTTAAGTTCACTTGGCAACGAGTTATTTAATCTTCAAGATATATTAAATCGTTCTCCTTTATTGGACGAAAAGTCTACCATCGATAGGGATCTCTTTKCGTACCTCGTCGAACACCCAGAAGACCTTCTAGTTATCATCGATGGATACGACGAGTTTGCGTACAGAGAACAGATTGTCGGTGATTACGAAGCGCAATTCCCTAACGATCCGAAATCAAAGATGCCCGTTGCTGTCATGTGTAGTAAACTTGTTARAGGCAAGATCATGAGTGGGTTGACTTTGTTGGTGACGTCCAGACCATCAGAAGCAGATGAGTTGGGTAATATTGTCTTTGATAAGTATGTGGAGATCGCTGGGTTTTCTCCCGMACAGGTAGGATGATAATGATGAAGATTGCTAACTAACCAAATAATTAGCTTACCAAATAACCACCTACATATAATAATAACTAGTAACCAACCAACCATACAACAAACCAACAAGAAAACTTACCAACTAACTACCTATAACTGACAAGCTAAACAGCCAGTTAAACAACCATACAACCAATCAGTCATACAGTCAGCCGGCTAATTGACTAGCCAATTGTTCAACTTACTAACCAAGCAACGAACCAACCAACCACCCACCCAACAAACCAATCATCCAGCCAGCAAACCAGTTGTTCTGTACTTACTAACCAATCAACTTCCAATTTTCTACCTACACTTACCCGAAACAAACTAACTAACCAACCAACCATACAACCAACCAACAAGAAACTTACCAACTAACTACTTATAACTGACAAGCCAAACAAACAGTTAAACAACCATACAACCAATCAGCCAACGTACCAACCAACCAACCAACCACCCAACCAATCGTCCAGCCAGCAAGCCAGTTGTTCTGTACTTACTAGTAACCAATCAACTTCTAATTTTCTACCTACACTTACCCGAAACAAACAAACTAACCAACCAGCCAATCAGCCAACCAGCTTATTAACTATCTAGACAGTTTTTCTTACAACCAGCCAACCACCTTACCAACTACCCATCCTACTACCCATCCTACGAACTACCCATCTACCCACACACATTAACCTTACGCTCACTGCGCTTTCTTCGTTTCTCATCACGTGATTTTTTTAGGTAAAGGAATACATCGAAAAATACTTCAAAAATGAAGATGAAATGAAGAGCACTGTGCTTGATCATATCATGGCGAACGAGACCCTTGTAAGCTTTGCTCACATTCCAATTCTCTGTCGCTTGATGTGTTGGTATATGGACTGGCACGTTCGTAACAAGAGCGAAGCTGATCTCCCGGTCACTGTCACAGATCTCTTCACAGATGTTATCGAAATCTTTTTACAAAGGCATCATACAGAGCTGAAGCGTCAGTCGAACTGTGGCAAGGAAACTGTTAATGCAAACTCATTATTGACTTTTTTTCGAAGGTAAATATTTTAAGTAATTCCTAAGTACAGTCCACTCTCGCCTTACGGAAACCCCTCTACAACGGACACCGCAATATTGCGGACAGTAAAATACTGAATCCCCGGCGAAAAATACAGAGAAAGGACTGAAAGTAACTCTCGTTACAACGGACTCTCCCTACTGCGGACACTAAATTACGGTCCCGAGGGTGTCCGTAATAGCGAGAGTTGACTGTATTATATTGAATAATCCACAGAGAGTGAAAAGGCTAGAGTAGCTAGARGGAAAAGGAGAAACCAAGGTAACCATCTATTTTGTTTTGAAAGGTCCAATACTGGCTCCACAAACAGCGCCGATATTACGAAATCCTCTTCATCTCGTTGGAAGAACACATTGGAAAAGTTATCAGTTCTAGCGGCCACTTTGCTCTTGGGAAAAAAGCTCGCCTTTACTATGGATGAYATGAGAAACACTGGGCTTCGGGAAGACGAGATTGAGAACTTAAAAGCAAGTGGACTCCTTCACTGTGGTCCAGGGTTTCGCGATACAGCATTTAAAGTGATTCATAGTTTTTGTTTCACGCACTTGACGGTGCAGGAGTTTTTGACAGCCAACTGGTTTTACAAAGAAARGAGAATGCCKACCAAAGGAATGGCGGCTGGGATGGTTGTACAGTTCATGGCTGGTAAGTTTTAATTRCTTTGATTGTTTATATGCACATATTTACATTTGGGAATATTTCCTTCTTAATGTGACTCTAAGGATTTCAGAGTGGACTTTCAAAATCCGTGAAATACATTTTAGCCTACATTACTTTAGAGCGTTTTTTAAAACCCGCGAAACAAAGTGTAATAAATTGCGATTCAACCCCTCACCGCCCGCACCCCCCAAGAGCAATAAAGTACGCTGAAGTGTATTTTATTATTTTTTTATTTTCATGTGTTTCACAAAAACACACCAAACAGTAATGTGTGTTTAACTTTTAACATAAAAATATTATCATGGTCATTATCGTAGTCGTGAAACCCCAATTTTTTTTAATTTCAAGCTATTTTACTGATATAATTTACTCTAATATTGTTATCAGTATTATTTTAACCATTGTAAACGGTTTTAGGTCTTGCTGCAAGATGCAACGATGTCAAGTTTCTAAATAGAATAGTCAAATGGATCAAGACTCTCAAGCATCTGAGACGAGACCAGAAACAACTTTTGACAACAAAATGTCTTTACGAGTTCAAAGATCTKTCAGCTGCCAGGGCGATAGTGACCACRCGCTATTCCAGGTACTGTGACGAAGGAAGYGTGGTCTTYCTGGACATTAATGACGTCGACTGCGCGATAATATCATTCTTACTGGACATTTTCACATCTCTGAACATTGACGCCAATACCAATTGCAGCTTTCCTTCACTCAAGCCTCAGAAAGCGCCTGACATTCATCATTTGTACATTGGAATGTGCTTGATTTCGCCGTTTGGTCTTCAAAGAATATGCACTTCTTTGATGCACGAGTCCAGTACCATYTCRCAGCTGATACTTTTTGACTGTGGAATCAACGATGATTGCGCTCAATGCATCTCGCAATTATTACTTAATAGCAACATCACCTTATTAGGAATGGGCGTTAATCAATTAACTGACCAAGGATTTGAGCTTGTGCACAACGCTCTTGTCGATAAGAAATGTCGGTTAGAAAAGATGTTTCTCSCTTATAATGAGATTGGCGACAAGAGTGTAGAACTGCTYTCTGAGTCTTTGGTCAGTGGTTCTTGTAGGTTGATAATGCTTAAGCTCAATAACAATCAAAATATCACAGATAATTGCAGATCTTTGATTAAAGAATTGGTCAAAAAACATCGGCCTGACGTTGAACTTTTTGTGTAAGATCGATGGCCGACTGACATACAATACAATATCGATCAGTGGAAAAATGTCATTCTTTGAGTCAAAATATATGATAGTGAGTTGCTATATGATTTTGAAATCATATTTTACATTGTAAAATATTTAATTAAGTACGAAGCTAATAACTTAACACATTGATCTCAAGTGTTTAAATGAATGAGTAAACGAATTAATTATGTAAAACCAGGGACGTGGGAAGAGATATCTCTTCCCACGTCCCTGGTAAAACATTGAATTGTTGATTCATTTTTTGTTGAATAAATTTATAAGGCATCTAACATTAAAGACGTTGATATTGATCGTATTTTTCCCAAGATATTGCAATAACTTAGACCACAAAACAATTAAATTTGATCGCGAGTTCTCTGTGCGTGTCATAGACGTTTTGTACATCAATACAAAAGTTTTTACAATTTTTACAATTCAAGTCTACAATTCAGATTTTTTTATTCAATTTCATATTCAATCAAATTTACCATGAAAAACCGATCAAAATAGAGCTGCAAGGAAACGAAAAAGAAAAAAACATTTTTCAATTGCAATTCGTATGAAGAATTTACGAATATCGGCGCCGTAAATCCGATTTGTAGCATTATAACAACGGCTTCAAAGGTTTTCAATACATCGACAAAGAATTCATTAACTTTATAAAACGATGCTACTTAAAATTTTCACCTGCGGTGCTTAGAGTTTTGTTTTAATTTTTSTAATTAGTATAGTTAGATAATATCGCAGTRTCCTACGCCCCCTTTAAKTCAACAATCTTTACTGATAAACCAGTTGACATTTAGGACAATTWTRTCGAGAAATTGATGGAGAAACTCAGCTTTTTTTCAAACGCGTGTGTAGCCACATGGGGGGCGCGCTTGCCACTTCTTCGAATAATCACCTCAAGAGAATGTTTATTGTTMAGATTCAGCGAATAATTCATGAGTTTACAATAAATACTTGAGGCTTTCTGTAACGGGGTAATTGTACCTCTACAAGGCCAGTATGCATGAAAAGAGCGCCGCGCTTGGTTGACTGATGAGCTGGGTTAGGTAAACCATTGGCAATGTCATCTCAAAAAGTCGTAGAAAACTCCATAGAGGGCGAGCATGAGAACTTGGTTCTTGGTCCCGACATAAGCAGCGAGTTCCCAACGGTTGAGACTAGTAATAATAGTGTTCAGAAATCAAGAAATCCTGGGCGTACTACATGTATAGTCTTGGTCATTGTGCTATGTTTTGCTTGCTTGATAGTCGGGATTGTTCTACTGGTTACAGCTTTTACAAGATGCAAAAGTATGGAACCTAAGACAGYATCTGTTAAGAGTACAGCTTGCAGTCATTCCACTGAAGCCCAGCGMGTCAAACTCTTCGAATTRTTTAAGAAGGTCCARAAAAGATTCTTTGAGCTACACCCTAGTTACATCGTTGTGGACGAAAACGCAAGCTTAGACAAGATAAAAAAGAATTTTCAAGCTTATGATTTTTCACCATCAGCAATCAAAATGCGAACTGATTCCTCTTTTGAACTGTTAAAGGAGCTAAACARCTTAAATGTTGATGCATCGATGCTTAAACCCCGCGAAAATAAGCTGCTTTCTCAAATGAAGTTTTAYCTGAAGCACAGCTTTGGGCAACCGTATGATGGAAACTATTACTCCGGTGCTTGGATGATGGGACCAAATTTCTTCTGCTGGCATCCAGTTTGCATTTTAGGTGACTTTGARCTAGCAGCACACCTTCCACTATTTGCACCCAAGACWATAGCAGACATAAAACGACTTCAGAAATTGTTYYTAAGCTATAGAAGATCTATAGAGCAATATAAAGAGAATTTGAGGTCTGGTGTTAAGGCTGGGATGGTGCGTTCTGTCGAGGAATGTAAGACTGGATTGAACGCGTTTAAGGGTGTTTACAAGCAGATCGACCTCAAGAATGGATCAGGTAAATACAATTATTAATACTCGTTTATATTTGATTATATTGAATCTTGTTTTGTTATCAGAAAATATGCATAAATGGAATATACTCGCTGTGAATGGTAATAATGCAGGTGGAGATTYCTTAATAATCTTACGTAACTCGTGGATCGCCTATAATAACAGGGCGCGGTGATATTATTTAACTCGTAATGGTGAATGATAGGAATTTCGTGTATCGTCAATATTAACAGTGTGCGTTCGTAAACGGAAATGTTCGAAAACGATTTTTACAGCGGACAAAATTAAACATTATTCACAACAAAACTCTGCGGATGTGAAATTTCTATTAGTACATTAAAATCGTTCAGAATTCATCCATTTAACCATCCTCTTTTCATTCACGATCACATCCATCTATTCATACGCTCATCTGGTTCCTTTCTTCTGGAGCTCACGGGTTTTTTCATCCCTAAGGTATTCTCGACGARAGGTTCGCCTCAGTTGTATCGCAACCGGTCTTTTACAAAAACCTTCTCAACACTACCAAAGAAGAATGGTTTGAAATGACGGGCAAAACAGTCGAACAATCTATTCGGGAGTTTCTTGTCAGGAATGTTGGTCAGCCAATAAAAGACTTGATGAGGTAATGATGACGTCATGGTRAATTGATGATTACGTCATTTGACGATTTTAATGCGTTACATCGCATTGCTGATGCAATTCGACTGACATGGAATTAATTGCGTTACATAGCGTTACGTGAATAGTAGTTTCAATATTATTGTCAAAATCACCTAGCAACCATTCTAAACATATCTTTTCTTAGTTACCTTGACAACGAACATATGAGCCACTGTGTGCCAAGTAATGTTTCCAGCGGACTCGCTAATAGACCCCTAAGTYATATATATGTGAATGGCCGACCGACAAAACCKTCYACACAGTCCCTCCCCACGGGAGAAAGAATCTACGGCAATGAAACATATGCWAGCATCCTGTCATTTTTTACCACCACCGATGTCACACCAAATGAAGTTTATGAAATGGGAATGAAAAAAGTTAAAGAGATTTATCAACAGGTGAGATGAAATCAGCTAAATATCAGTAAAAATATGTTACAGTTGAACCTCGACCCTTTCAGTATAGACACTATACTAGCTAGGACAACCTAGATGATTTGATATTAAGTAACCAATCAAAATGCAGCATCAGAATACTATAATTTGATTGGTTAATTCTATTATATGGTCAACCTMTATTAAGGGGTCACCTATCATCACCATAAATATTAACCAATGTTTAATCACCATTATTAAGAAATATGTCTCTAATAATTATCCAAAGAGTATCACTCACTGACATAAGTTACTGAATAATGTTTAGATGGTCACCATTGCCAAGCAAGTTACAAAAGTCACAGATACCAAGTCAGCGATACAGAAGTTCCGCACMCACTTGAAGTCACAGAGCATGTACTTCAATGATGAACCGCTGCCCAAGAATGAATCTGGACAGCAGGCTTACATAAATTGTAGTACTGTTGAAGGTGCCATGAAGTACTGTCCTGTGAGATGGAAGACATTGCAGAAATGGTTCAAGACATCTCAAGAGGTAGAAGCTAGGTTTTGTTTTTCAATCATTTAGGCAATCGGTGAACAGGGACGTATCCAGGATTTTCATTGGGCGGTCTTTACATACCAAATTGTCACTCAGTGACGTCATACGACGTCAATATGATGTCATATCAATTATTGGTTTTCACGCTTTTTTGGCTTTGAAATGGGGGTGGGGGGATCACGGCACCCTGTGATCCCCCCTGTATACGCCCCTGGTTACAGTGTCAGTCAGATATTTACTCAGTAAGGCACTACAGTTGTAAGTCACTCATCAGTGAGTGACATAGTCAGTCTGTCAATATTGTCATAGTCATTCAATCTCAGTGAGTTGGTCTGTCACTAAGTCCTACAGCAGTCAGTCATTCAGTCCATCAGTCAGTCATTTTCAGTAATTATCAGTCAGTTGGTCAGTCACTCGGTCCAATTTTGTGCAGTCAGCTAGCCAGTCAGAACTCACTCACTTATTCARTGTGTTAGTCAGAACAACAACTAATGGACTATTATTGCTTTGACAGATCATGAGCATTTTGGATCCAAAAACAATCAATATGTTCTACTTTACTGGCAATAAACACACCACRCCAAACTGCCCTGTAAAACTTGTTCCAGAATTCAACCCATCATCTGCAGCTCAGAGTTACCTGGAAAGCGGACCAGTATGCAGCAAGCCCTGTGAGTACAGCGTGCCATTCTTTCTAGATAACATGGGTCCCAAGTACAGTGAATGGTCTGTGAATGCACATGAAGCCAGACCTGGGCATCATACACAGGTAATAATGTTTTATACATCAGGGACTATTGTTGTACGAAGGGTTGATAACACTGTTCAACTGATAAATCTTTTAAATTATCCAAYGGATAAAATMCATAAAAAATCTTTGGAGTGGATGACTTTATCCACWCTTTGTAAAACCGGTCCCAGTTGCATGTCATTGTTCTCATCAGCATCATGATTGTCATCAGTTATCATGACCATCATATCATCAACGATTGAATACATCATCAATACACAATAGCTTTGTTCTAATTACAATGGCATTACCATGATAAGAATACAAAGGCATTACCATGATAAGAATCATAATTAGCAATTTCAATGCTCTCAATCATCATCAAAATCATCATTATAATGCTATCATTATATACTATCATTAACTATTAATATCAGCATCATTATTATCACTTTAATCATCATCATTTAATGACAGACATAAGTATTAGTTCAATGGTTTGTTATCCGAACAGGCCCAAGGTTATCAAGAACACTTTCAGGACACCTGYGGAGGGGTTAGTGCATGGCTAAATCGTGCCACTGGATTCCTTGCTTTCTCAGAAGGCTGGGGCCTATATGCTGAGAACCTGATTGCTAAAGACACAGACTCCTATGATAGACAACCGCTACAACGCTATGGCTGGCTCAAATGGCAGGTACAGTTTACATTCATGCTCTACATTTTCTTTCATGTAGGTAATAATAAAAAATACAATGATGCTTTTTATTAAGCAGCCCCAAATCCTTTCGACCTGATTTCACCTTCCACTAAGCAGCCAGCCTTAATTAAGCAGTAGCTTGGGAAAGTTGGGCCTTCTACTTTACTTGCAATGGTGGCCTTATAAATTCAACACAAGCTTGATTACAGTCTTTTATTGCGAGTATAAGATAGTTCTTGACACCAAAAAATATTTACACAAGCGATGAAAAAATAAATGAATGACCAATTATTTTTGTGTGTTGATACTGTTTTGCAAGCATGAGGTCTTTATTTTTTACTCGCACATGCGACCMAGCCCCTGGGACTCCCCAAGCATGTATGCACAGGGAGCCCATCACATAACAGATACATCACAAACCATACAAAGGTTCACAACTAAAAGCAAAATGTTTTCAATTTTTTTCCATTTAAGATGTGGAGGTCTCTTCGCCTTGTTGTTGACACAGGACTGCATTTCAAAGGCATGAAAAGACAAAAAGCACTGCAACTATTTGATGACTATGCTTGGGATAACACAGACATTTCAGTTAAGGAGGTAACTCGATATCAAAGTGGTCCTGGACAGGCTACTGCGTACATGATTGGCGAGATGACTATCTCAAAGCTAAGGCGTGATGCAGTGTCAAAACTTAAAAATAAGTTTGACTTGCAAGATTTTCATTATCAGGTTAGTTTGGGCATCTAGATGATAACTGTTTGATATAATTATGAAATATTTATTGTGGTATGGCAGAGAAATGTAAGAAATGCTTCAATATTGATGGTTTATCAATATTGGGGAGGTATGAAGGCAGGTATGAAGCTTTCCGTTTTGCAACATGTCATTGTCCTAATAAACTCTGTTATATTCTCACAAAAATGTCAATTCACCAGGTGTTATCTCAAGGCAGTGCACCACTTAGCTTTCTCATTAGTCACATTGATCATTACGTCAAATGCAAGATAAATGCAACCATTGACCAGGGGTGTCAAAATACTGTAAAACCAATGAGAAGTCAGCAGTCACATGGCCTCCTTTACCGCACATTTGGCGACATCAAAGTAGATCTGTCACTTGTTTCTTATAAAAAGAAAAGATATGCTTGAGGTATGGTTTATCTTCTGTTTTGTGCAGATAATGATAGGAAACAAGTGCTGAATAAATGTGATCTGTCTTCATGTTTCTTTTAAAATAGTTGTGATAATTTAAACACCCTTTTGCCATTTTTTGTGCTGGTCCTTGATAGTTAGTCTGACTTCTAATATCCCCAATAACAATCTTTTTATTTACTCTTCAGGTGACAAGCAACTCAAATAGACAACAAATGTCTATAATGTTTTGCATGATCCCCAATAACAATCTTTTTATTTACTCTTCAGGTGACAAGCAACTCAAATAGACAACAAATGTCTATAATGTTTTGCATGATAACCATTTAGACAGCACATTTAAATTATCAAGAGTAGTTTTTGCCAATTATAAGCACCTCATTTTRAAATATAATCAATAATATTATTATCTTCCGCTTTATTGCTTGTCTTTTCCAAGCTCTAAGAGACCACATAGAACAATGTTTTTATTAAATAGCCAACAAGACTAGTTTTATTAATACTTACTAGGATCATTAAGAATATTAGAATCATTCTAATTAATCTTCTTATTAGTCAGAATTGCTGATCAATTTATCAAATACTAGATCATGTAACTAATTAGGAACAACCATACATATAATATATCATTTGTATGTATTAAGACTATTAACCATCTCAGCTTGGATGTTCTCCCGGTTTATAATACGAATAACTTGAAATGGGAAAACATTGCAGTCAAGCTGTAATCTAACTACAGCCTTTTTAGGGTTGTGCTAATGTGTGATACCTATTATAATAAGCGATAATACTAAGTACACAATAGCAAATAATTACAATGTTTTTAGAAAAGTTTTTATTGCCTTATACAATTACTTATCCCCATCTAAGCATGATTGTCGAGTGACAATAATTTAGATCAAGTAACATAATAATGACCATTCATTTGAAAGTGCTGAAGTATTAGTTACTGCACAAACCTTCAGATAATTACAGCTTTCAACTTCAATGTATTAGCTGCATGAAGGTTTTCCTGAGCTGTCATTCATATGAACTACCAATCATTTACTAGCTGGGTGTTTGATTGACAGCTCAGAAAAGCCCATATCTGTCTGAATGTTTTAAAGCTATAAATGTTATCCAGGGTTTTCAAAGCTATGAAAATTTGTGTTATTTGTAATATTGCTTTGTAAAATTGATTCATTTTTGATGTTAATATCTTATAGTCACAAACAATTCACATCCTTTTTATTATTTCATCATTTTTATCATAATTTTGATTACTTTTGAAGTATTATCTCTCTGGACCCAAGTTTTGTTCTTACAACTAAAGATTTCAATGACAGTTGTACACTAAGTGTTTCAAAAGACATACAAAATTGTAAAACAGTGTAGACCTTTTAACTACCATGACAACCCCACGTGACTTATTCTACTTTTTCAATGAGAAAATATGGGATGCTCGGAGTGTTTAACATCAATAAAGTGTATGTTTGTACTATATAATTAAGCATATATTCCGATTATGCATAAATTTGTACATTCAGCTAATTGAGCAACCCATAATTTCAGACGGCATAACTGCAGTATAAGTTTATAAAACCGAGAAATCGAGTAGATATCATCATAATGATGTATACACATGCGATCAGTCATGGCTCACAGCTTGTGCCATACGTGAATTACTCCCACAATAACTTGGTAAATGTATATTTACCTCTTTTAATTAATAAACCTCCTATTGCAGCCTACTTTGCATTCGAAAGACCCCCCCTGACACCTGCCACAGCAGCGTCTGCCGCAGCAGCTCTGACTGTCTCATTACTTGCTACTCCTCTTGCAAATTCTCCTTGAGCTTTTTCAAAGCTTGCTCCAGCCATCCTGTAGATCTTGTGAATCTAGAAATTACAATGTACATAAGCAATCATTGATAGAAGGAGAATACTTTCAAGGAGAATATTTATATAATCAGTCAAAATTTTTACTGTTTCTGAGAATCTGTAAACATGGTGTGTCAACTAGGGCACATGGTCTCACTGATTTGGGATACCACAATTGATCTGAGCTCATAAATTATTTAATGATAATAATATCAACAGCACTAATAATTATATAAACTTACCTTGAGCAGTAATATTATGTCTACAATAACACCGAGAAGTAGGAAACACGCTGAGACATACATCATGCCTCCCACAATAATAGTTTCGTGGATGGCCTGTGTTGCATTGATAAATCCACTGCAAACAAAGAATATTGTTATGTACATCCAGCATAACATGTACCAAGGAACAATCATTTATAATAAGGATTATAGTGCAGTTGGTTGTGGTGGCATTTCTAATGAGATAACAAATGAATCCTCTGAGATTGTAAATGAGAAGTTGCAGATGTTTTTAATTAAAAATTAAGGATGAGTGAGACACAAAATGGCCTTGCGAGTCTCACATGTCTTTGGTATAATATTTCATATACTTGCATCTCTACAACATACTGTATATATTGAACATTGTGTACCTAAACCTTCATTTAATTATAAGTTCGGATGTGCTCCTTCATGTTATGAAATCAGATTTTTAAAAATATAAAAACCTCATGCAATACTTCATTGAAAGAAAAGACCATTGAACTGTATAACATACATTGACTTGTGATTTTCTTTATTTTTATGGTTTTATGATGATGATAAAATAATGATTACTTTATATGAATTGTAATAATAATAATAGCATTCTCGTACAGTTTCCCAATGGAAAATTGAAGGTTCTGGCTGGAAATGGAGAAGACCCAGAATCTAATTCAAGTACAATAAATTATATGCATAGAGATGGTGCATAGTCCTGAATTTTCTAACCAAAGCTTCATTCCTCTTCAACCAGAGCCTTTGATTTTCTATTGGGAAACTGAGGAGGATCTGGGTACGAGAATATAAATGATAATTAGTTACCAGGTTCCACCTCTAGTGATTCCCAAAGTATAGAATATATTTAATCCTATGTGGAGGAAGAAGATGAGAAAGAAGATGACGTAGCTAAATGAGCTGTCAGTCCTGAAATGAAAACCAACCATATATTTAATATGTACACAGTCATTTGCAAAAATTATGGGTCTAGTTGTGAATATTGGTCTGGTATTGATCATTTTCAATCATTGTGATGAGATTCAAAAGATAAAAGACCAGCGGCCATGTTGGTTGAATGAACAATTCTTGGGTTTCATGTGATGGCACAAAAATATTAATTAAATCTCTAATATGCATCCTATGATGATACAAACTATATATGTTATAACTATGAATATTATAAAGATATAAGAACAAAAATGAGAGTAAACAATTGTTTGGTTCTCGAGATATTTTAAAAAGATTGAATTGTGTCATGCAACGCCATCACGGAACATTTTGCCTCATACAGACACATTTTATTGAATGCAAGAATATTATTACAAAATATGTCAAAAAAATTCAAATTTCTGTTGTTTTGTAAACCGTTGAATCCAGGTGGTGGTCAGATGTTGACCTTCACCTGGATTTCTCCATTATACATTTTTACCAAATTTTGATAATCTTCCATTGATAATAATTCCACAAACAAACGCTCTATAATCCTAATTTTTTGTCAAACTATGTAGTTTTTTATGCTCTTAAAGGCCATTTTTTTAATTTGAGTAAAATAAAAATTGTGATGACGTAACTGAAACCCAAGAATAGATACTAATGAGAAATCCATTGTTGAAGTTCATCCAAGATGGCCACAGTGATGTATAGTGCAAACAAAGAATATTGATAAGTTACATTAGTATAGACAGAATTTCTTAAATTGACTGTATCAATATATCATCAAAAAACAGTAACTTACTTCAGTGCTTTATACGCAGGTCGATACCAGCCAAGAAATGACATAGGAATATTAAATAGAAAATACACAATAGAGATGCCAAACGTTTCTCCGTCAGAACTGTCGCCCGAGGGATTCACAATCATCAAGGCAAACGCTGTCACAAAATTGTAGAACATCACAAAAGAGTACACTAGAAAAGAAGAAAATGAATGGCTGTAAAAAAATATATCGTTCAAAACAAGAGCAGTATATTTTGCAGATGAAAATCACTCCATATTTTTGCACTCAATACTACATGTAATTATATTTCTAACATATTTTTCCCTGAGTACATGTACTATAATTCAACCATGAGACAACACATTTTACCTACCTTGCCATCGGATGAACAGTAACCTGCATGTTTTTTGATATTCTATTGGAATTTCAATTTGAATGTCATGGAAAAAACATGGTTTGATTTTGCACCACTTGGGAAATGGAGGGAAATTATTTTCTCTGTATCCTGGAAGTAAAAAAGAGAATATTGTGTCATGGGTATGGAACTACAAAACTACAACAATGGAGATTAATACCTGTGAATTGCATACGCTGTAGTTCTTGCTCTTTGCGCTGCAGTTCTGCTGCCTTTCTTTCCAAATCCTGTCAGTCACAAAAGATCCAATAATGTATTTTTTTTCACAATACTTTTTTCATTGCTTGATTCTTTCATATCTGGAATCTTATCAAATCTTTTACTCATTCATTTATCAATTTATAAGTTCATTTGTGCAATCAATAGTCCATTCACCATTCCCTCTTCCATTCATTCAACTATCTGTCCATCCATAAATCCAAACATTCATCCCAGCAATCTATGGATTTATTGATTCATACATCAATCACACACTATATCACCTCTTGTCTTTTCTTGAGATTTTCTTGTTCCTCGACAACCTAAAACATTCAATCATTTACCTTCAGTATTGGCATCAATCCATGAAAATGGATGATATAGAAATAAAGGAAAGTTATAGTGCTAGGAAGGAGGTTATTCTAGGAGAAAGACCCTTGGAAATAAATGCTGAAAAGTTAATTTCCAATCTTGCTGGGATTCAAGCTCACGACTCTGGAATTTCTACCTATGATGCTCTACCAACTGAGATATATCTGTACTATTACAATTGCAGATCTGGATTGTGAAGTTGATAAAATGAGAAGGCATAAGGCATGCAATTCAACTTTTTGATTCCACACATGCACAAGAACAATAATCAGAGGAATTTGAAGCAATATTAATTTAGTTCATGTGCGCTTTAACAAGCTATGCATAAGGTGAAGATCCCAGCATTTACTTACAGAATATGGCGGCGGTTCATGTCTGGTTTCTAAGACTGCAGGCTGCGTAGGTGTTGGTGCTGGTTGAGGGGGTGGGGGTGAGGCAGCTGGCACTGTTGACTGTCAATCAAAATCAAGACATTTAAATAATAGTTATTAACCAGAGGAGGGTGATCAAGGCCCGCAAAGCAATATGGGACTAAACACGATTACAACTTCATTTGAGTTTGACCGTCGTCGAGTAAACGACTCCTGGCGGGACGCCGTAAACGTTTAAATCGTCCTACCGTCTGCTCTGTGGTCATCTTGAAGCTACAGAGCAATTCTATCTTTGTTGTTAAGWGCTCAGTGAAGAGTTTTAGTACTGATAAGAACTGCTAAATACTAGTAAACCTCTGAGTCAAGACTGCGAAGCGATCACTGACCTTGGGTTCATCATGTTTCGGCTATGTCCGGTCACGCAACACTGTTGAGTTTTGTCATTTAGTTTTTATTTATCTTTTGCTTCAAATTAAATATATTTTTACATCATAAACTAAAATATAAGAACTTTGCTATCGATATTTATCAATGAACTGTAAATTTGGTTAGAACTTTAGCAGTAAGTTTCAATACCCAAGAGTATGAGCCGACGTGACAACAACATTGACGTAAATCTATATAGTTGTTCATTGAAAATTCAAAATATCTCGAAAACTAGACCGGGTTCATGGGGGTTCASGCAGGGATTCTTGTTTTTGATGAGTCTAAGAATGCGTAGAAATTGAAATATATTCATTTCATCCATTAGTTCAGCAAATACAATTGGTGAAAGTTAGGGTAAAATATGCAAAATTTAGAAAGGCGTGAAAGCGTTGACTGGAAGAAAAACTTTGATAAATCCAAAAGTACTGCTTAAATCATAATGAAACTTTACCCGGTCATTCTTGGGTCTTTTACCTACACGATACRTTAAAAATTTCAATATGAAAAGCAATAAATATCCTAAAAAATTAGTTTTTCTGACTCGACTTAGAATTCTTGTRAAAATCTCTTTGCTTCACTGTGATTGGTCAGATTGGTCACGTGACACTTGATCACCCTCCTCTGGTTATTAACTGTCTTTTCACTATACGGTACATTAAGGTAACCCTGTGTGAAGACACAAATGTGGCTGCAACAGCATATGGATTATAATAGAGATTGTATTCAAATATATGTCTTTTTTTTCTTATTTTGTCATTATATTTTCCATGTACAGTCAATGCTTGATATAGGAAAGTAAGCTTAAATCGCACCCAACACATCATTTTGTTGTCACATCATCAGTACAATGCCAAAGATCATTATTCTGATATTAAATCCAAGCATATTTTGATAATAAACAACAATCGTATACAAGCAACATTGGATTACGATTTTTCCTCTCACACACAAACACATATAAAAAAAGAATATGGATCAACAAATAAAGGAAATCAAAGCTCCTTTGATTCCTAGAAGTTCACCTGTGTAGTTGGGCCTGATGTCGATGGCTGATTTTGCTCAGCAAATGGATTGAAGTCCTCTATTCCTCGGGCAGCATTACTGGTCACAGACGCTACAGAGGGATCCTACGGTACATTGTCACAACAAACACACAATTTATGCAAAATACTTTATAAGACATCAATGGAGTTCACGTTATAAGCTTATTTGAAAAGCGAAAGAAGCAATTATCTTGAAGTACTTGTGATGTTGCTATACTCACCGCGAATGGGTTTTCATCACCTCCAAAGGGATTGTCAGACATGTTTTAGTCTTAGAAAGTGATCTAATGGTAATAATAATAGTTTTTTCGTTGCTAAAATTATGTTTCTTTCGATCGCTACAAAGTCTCGCACATATTACTCCATGTCCGGAGAAAAYCTGCGCATGCTTATAAGTACCGGTCATGTGACGTGACTTCAAGACGACGTCATACTAATTTAAGACATTTAGGTAATCGTAATGATGTCAAAAAATAGATGGATGACTTATAAAAAGAAAAAAGTACAAATTAAGAATTAAGACCATAGGTAAGTTTGTAGACCTGTTTTCTAAAAAACTGGATATTTCGACAATTTTTTACCTTTATGATTTATCTATTTTTTGTTAAATGTTATAATCAATGACATCAAAAAATATTTGTCATTTTAAAAACGTTAAAAGCAGGCTGGTCATATAAGCGGACGTAGGGATTCAACACACCTGAACGCTCCGGAGGTAACATGCCGGCAAGTACCTCATGCCGTGGCCGTATGGCGTGGCGGTGATGACTACCAGACTGCAGCTTTGTGCACCAGTACCATATTCCACAGCAACAAACCAGCACAATTTTAAGGATTAAATAACTTCAATCGGCGCAGTATATTTACTACATTACAAATCTATTTTTCATTTCTTCTATTTTATTCTGAATTCAAAGTTTCCCATTTCATTACAACCTTCCATTCAACTTCATCCGAGAAGTCCCATATAGTAGTTTTAACTATGTTTTCACTACATTATTTTCTTAACAAACGCTACAGGCGAAAAGAACGATGGCACAGCGACGGCTTTGGTATCTATATAACTAAATTCAACGGAAGTACATGCACTTTAGCAGACTTTCCTAAGACAGGTAGTTAGGTGACATATAACATGAGTCCATATTGTTTCGTGTGCTTTTGGCAAGGAGCACAAATTCTCGAAGTATCAGTACAGTACGTATAGTAGAAAGTTGCCAAATTCCACATATAAACTCCATAACTACAGAGGAGCTTTCAATTTACAAAATTGATTTAATTACACTATTGAAGCTGATCTGGATATAACGATTTTTCCCTTCAACTGTACTGCTATCCATGCCTCCTCCGCAAGCACCTTTTCACTTTTCTACACAGGAAATCCAAGAAAAGGGTTGCCTTCGGAGGAGGGTAATCCTAGGCGCCGAGTGGATGAAGAATTTCGACCCATTATTACAGCCGTCACAATATGAAAAAATCTCCTTATCAAATCTTTAGTCCAAATGACGCTCCTATTTGACAGTTGAAGGTGAAAATTCTTCAATCATAAGTAAATCAGCCCTAGGAAAATATCAATATGATGATAATAAATTCATTTTATTGTAAAACTGCGCCAATTTCCTTCCCAAGCATCGAGCTTATGACCATCTTTTCACAATTCACTGTGACCGAGCTCCCCTTTCCATTCTGGCCCACTTTGACGGTTACTAGTACTGGAGTTCCAGAAGAAATCGTTTTGCCCGAGAAACCATACAGATTATCCCCATCCAAATTGTCTACTGGTATAACGCATGCTGCTTCTAAGACTCGTGAACATATATTTTGCTTGGTACAATTGCTGGACGGGATATCTACTGAAGTTGAACTCTCATTCATCCCTCGCAGTTTGCCTATGGATTGTAAAAATACGTGTTAAATCATACTACAAGGTTTTGGGAAAATATACATAATAGTCACCTTCCATACAAAAAATGAACCCTACAACAGAAACAGATCAAATCACGCTTACTTTGTGTGGACATAAATTCTTTAGCGGGCATAGTACAGCTACGAAGTAGTTCACCAATGGGCGCTTTGATGCTGACTGGGTACTGACGTGACTTAGTGCTGATAAAAACGTTGAAAAGGAATAAAAAATAGTGAAAATTATGGTAATATCAATGATAGGATAGTGACTCTTCACTTTGACAGGTTGTGGGTCATAGGCCAGGGAGACTGGAGTATGGGGCTTCAGTTTCCCCTCGACTCCTAGTGCTTGTACTCTAGTATGGCTAGTAGTCATTTCCTTAATAACAAAAAAGAGAGCCATACCTTATGCTGAATTTAGCAGGCTGTGTGGTGTCGTTAAAGTTGATGCCTATTGATACCGATAATGATGCTCCAGGTGCCAGCGAAGCTAAAAATACAGCACAATGTACCAATAAGAAAAGAACTTCACCTGTAGCTATATTATTGCATAAGTACAGTTTACAACAGTTTTATTATAATAATTCCATGTCGTCACCATACACTTACCTATTTCTTGAAATTCTTGTAGTTTTAGACCTGAACCAAGATTCTGTAAGGAAAAAGGTGAAGGTAAACTCTACTCCACTCTACAACAGCGGCAACACCAACTTCGGCAGCAACAACAACTGCAACATCAACAGCACTCTTGTGCATCTAACTTGCGTAATCAACAGCTAAACTAGTCCCAATCTGTTCTATTACGCATTCCACTATATTTTCCTACATTTCATTCTACATACTAGTATAGTCTTTGTTTAAACCAAGTTAGCAATACCTTGTTAGAGATTTGAATGCCCTCTACTGGTTGGTCACTAGTATTGGTAAAGGTGATTTCTACCGATACCATACTTGTAGAGTAGATACATGGTACTCGGGTAAAGCGGTACGTAGCGCCAAGACCATTACCAGTCATTCTGTGGAGTAGTTCGTATGAYTTGGCTTGCGAGTAACTATTCGTTACCTATAACATTAGCAATGAAAACGCATGGTTAAAATATCAAAGAATACTTGCTCTTGCTTGTCATACAAAGAATGATGCTCTATAAGATAAGACAAAGGTAAACCAAAAACAAGCCAGAAAAAACATGATGGGCAAAATCAAGTCCAGAGCAGATGGACTCTAGTCAAAAAATCGCCATGTTGTTTGTCATTATTAATGACCATATATCATTATCAATAATATTAGATTACAAAGATGTCTGTACCGTAGGTAGTGGTGGTGGTTTGTCATTTCCCATGGACAACAGCTCCAGGTCTGCTGCCAGTGCAGGTGAAAGAATGGAAGAGTCTCCTTGTGGTGCTGGAGAACTTGTATCTGTCACTGGAACAGAAATTGCAATACAACAACCTTACAACAAGTAGGGAATACTACCCTGTATGTCTGTTCATGAATTAACAGTGCTAAGATAGATGGAGAATATTTTAAGTATTAAAGACAGCATAAAAATATTTTGTATTGGCATCCAAATGTGAGCACTATGTACATAATATGAAATCTTGTTATCCCCAAAAGCTTTTAATAGTAAAACATGTGTTTCATGGCAGGACTTACAGTCATCAAATATCAACAGTTGGTCCTGTGAAGCAGGCTTGGAAGGGGATTTGGACTGTTTGGCAGACTTAGTAGGGTTGGTAGGCTTGATGGGTTTAGATGGTGTGACCTGGTGATAAAATACATGTAAGTTATAATATTTAATCCATTACCATGGACATAAAGCATTAAAAGCCATTGAATTTGCTATGTACTTTTACAATATACATGTAGAACTGAGGTAGTATTTTACATAACTAAATTTACAATGGAATGAAATGTGCAATACCTTCACTGGCTTTTCATCTTCTGAATCACTCTCTGTAGACTGTAGACTGTCTGACTCAGATACACTATTTGACTGTTCGTCACTCTCACTCTCAATACCATCTGAGTCTATGCCAAGTAAACAATAGCAATAATCAACATTATCATTGGGCTTCTTTGAATGATTCACAATCAAAAATAAGGTACAACAACAAGAGAACAACTGGCAGTTTGAACATAGTAGCTTGCAAAAGGGAATTGTGCACTTTGATATTACTAAGAGGCACTAATCCATGTGGGATAGACTTGGGAATCAAATACAAATATGACACTCATGTACAATACAGAGTTCTACTGTAAGACTTTTATTTAGGCTCATTAACTTATCATCCCAGCTCTTTTTATCTCTATGACAAGAAAAACATTTTAAAAAAGGAGAATATAAACCTTAAAAACTTACCACTTTCTTCAGTGGAATCAGATTTGCTTTCACTGTCTGATTCCTCTTCACTTTCTGTTCCACTTTCACTCTCTTCACTGCCGTCCTCACTGCTTTCACTTCCTGACTCAGAATCAGACTCTAAAAGACAGCAATGATGACAGATGTTGGGGTGTCCATTCAGTGAGTTACAAAATAAAGTATTTCATGAAGAATGACAGGATAATAATTGACTAAAAACAACAATTTGATGGAAAAAGAAGCACTCACCAGACTCTGATTCAGAGTAAAATGTGGACTTCTTCTTGTTTTTCTTCTTGCTTTTGCTACTAACAGATTGCCAAACAGGCTCAACCTTGAAGAAATAAGAACAAACACAAGACTTCCTGAGATATTTTAACCATTTTAACCAAGTTAAGTCAAGTAAAATAACAAATAAAGATAAGGAAAACAAAATGTATTATTTTATAAAACGACCCATGCACATTTACAGACAAGAGAACTTAACAACCTAGCAAATGTAATGATCTACGCCAAAATATATCTGCACAAAACGCAGAGAAATATTTCATAAGTAAATTATATATATGATATCAAAGAGGCAAGATTATGCTGTAACTCCGAGTTTCGATTAAATACTGTCTGATGAGTGCGTAGCACGAAACTCGGAGTTACAGCAAAATCTTGCCTCTTTGATATCATATATATATAACTARCTCTACACTCTATGTGTATTGAGCACTCTTTAATGGGATCAGCCACTTCCTCATACGATCATAAGCAAATTATTTCATTTCAATGCTTGAAGCAAACAAACACTCATTCATTGATAATTATCCTTCAAAAGTGGTGTGTTTTTAGAAGCTGTACATATCAAATGCCTGAATACTAGAAAACCTATACTCAGGTCCACCTTCTCTTGAATGACTAACCTCAACATTTCTCACAGAAGGGTCTGGTGCAGTTTCAGGGAAGTCAGGCAGTTCTGCATAGTCAGTGGCCTTAGCATTGATCATATGAGACAGGGAACCCAGCTGGAATCCTTGACGATCTTAATGACATAAAGAAATAAAATGATTTTTTGGCAGGGTTTAATACTTCACAACTGGCTCATGCAAACTGTAAAGTACAAAGTAGATGAATTGACATCAAAAACAAGCTTGCCACAACATTCAAAGTTCACTTTGGATGAAATTTTGCAGTTGTTGTTGTTTGACTAATAAAACGATATCCAAACTATTAACAAAAGGAGTGACATAATAGAGTACAAACATTAAAGTGTGCAACACTTTCCACTATTTACTACAAAATAGTGTTAATTAAACAATAGAAAACAATAGAATTAGCATAATTTAGCAGTATTTAGTGGTATTTATGTTGCACAGTTTTAGTGTTTGTACTCTAGAATAAATAAATAAGTAACAAAAGCAAAAGTACATGACTTGTATATAAAGTCATGGATGAATGATAAAAGCAAATCAAGCAGGAGAACAGAGGGAACAATAGGGGAAGGAGACTATAGGAAGTGGAGGTGAGATATTGCAGGTTGAGGAAGGAAGGAATAGAGGTTGAAGACCATGTGCGAAGAAGGATAACAAGGGCAAAAAGAGAGAAAACTGGGTGTACATGTACAGGAAATAAAGGAGGAAATGCTGATGCTACATGTACCTTAGTAAATGAAGGGAAACTACTGTAGGGAGTGGGGGTGTAAAATGAGTACTTAAACTAACCTTTGAAGACTGAGTGTATGACAGGTGGTGGTTTGGATGCCAGGAAGATTTTCTTGATGTGTTTATGTAGATGCCCTGACTGGATATTACAAGTACCAATGATTACAGGAAATGATCGAAAGAACAAGATCTTAACTACAGTTAACTTACTCCTTCTGAAGGTAACACCAACTGTCTCAGAAACCTTGCTCTGTCTCTCACATCATAATTCTGGTCATACTTGGCCAGATTGAGCACATACTGACAAAGGGCCTTAGTCTGCAAAATAAACAAGCTTTTCATCAAGACATACAATATGCAGTCTTGAAGGAAGATGGAATTCAACTACTAACCAACATCAAATGACTGTACTGTATACTTAAATTGTAGTGTTTCTATTACCTGCTTGGGGTTGGTGATGGAGAGTTTACTTCCAAGACTCAATATTTGAAGTTTAACAATGTCTTCCTTCAAGTAAAATAATATAATCATCATTACCACAAGAATTTTGTAACATTTACAATATGCATAACCAAGTCCTGAATCTCATATTATATAGTCTTAGGTATCAATATACAACATATTAAAACTGTTACATGGTACATTGATGGTGTCATCAGTTTTGGAGAGAAACATTTCCATGCCAAGAGCACAGAGAATTTATCATTTAGTTATTTTACCTCTGTGCTGAATGTTTTTGCTGCTTTTCTAAGAACATCAGGAGCAATCTTAGGTACTTTCTCTGCATATTCACCAAGCAGCCATAGAATACTGGCCCTGGCCATAGGAACCTGGACAAAACAGCAAAATTTAATTCACTCTGACCCCATAATTTATAGCTCTTGTATATGACATACTCACCGTGATACTATCCAGTAGTTTGGCCATGTGTTCAATGATATCTGAGATACCTTTTGGCTGTGCAACAGCAAAGAAATGCAATTTAATTTTAAGAAATTTTGTTAAATACTTATTTTAAATTTCAAATGACATGAACAGTTTACCTTGAGCTGTAAGAGCTTCTTTATCACAACAACACTTTCTGCTACAACTACCTCTACATTAATAAACAAAAAGCAATAACTTTAGTAAAGAAAACAGCTTATTTAGACTTGATTTGATAGAACACTATATAGTTGAGGCAGTTCAATTTTAACTTCCATTTTATATCATAACATAAGACAGAATTAGAATATTAAATAAGATAGTAATGTTTTTTATCATACCATCTCTATTTGATAGCAATCTCACTAAACCTGCTAAACAGGTTTCTGTCACTTCAGGTATGTTACTGGCAGATCTACCAATGGCTTGTATGGCAGATGCTACAAACTGTTTATCTGAACTACTGATATAGCTCTGTTAAAACATATAAATATCGATGTTAGAAACATGTAAAACAAACAAGCAGTTGGATTTACAGCTAATCAATTAACTTCACAATTTTAACAAAAGTTAACAGGAAAGCGAGTGACTGAGTGACAAATTTTCCCCATCACAATAACTTTTGTTTAAACAACACAATTTGGCATTATCTATCTTGCAGGCATAATCCATAAAATTTCATTGAGTCTGTATGAATAAGGTTGTAACTGACCTGAAACTCTCTCAATATTGTACCAATACTTGTTTCGCCAGCAATGTTTGTAAGAATTTCAAGCTATAATAAACAATAATTTAGCATTAGCTCCAAGTGCTGTCATCCTACAACAAAGTCTTCAAGTACTATACCTTCAAGAGACGAATGTGAGTTGGGTCATTCGAATGAACAAAGAAGCTCTTGAGATATGGCTCAAACAATCCCTATTTTAGAAAAAAAGTATCAGTAGAGAACTTTCAAGATACAATTGCATTCATTTGCCTTTTCAAGTAAATATAAGTCAATTTCCAAGCAGAAAAGTCTATTATCAAAACATGTTATTGATTTGCATTTTACCTTTCTTCCTGAGGACATTGTAGCAATGTTACTTAAAACAATAGACTGTACTTCCCTGAGACAAATTAGATATAAAATTAGATCACTGCACATACAACATGTAAAAATTCCATTTCACACTTCTTTACTTGATGTTAAAGTTCAAAGAAAATCTCTACTGAAGTTCCATGAACACTTAATCTTATTTCAAATTTATCATCTCTTTAATACTTACCTATGGCTTCTTAAGAGTCGTACTAATGCTCTGGCTACAATGGTAACTTCACCAGCAGGGGCACAGTGATGATACAATCTTGCAACTGCCATTACAACCTATAACAAACACCACTATTAATTAAAAAAACATTGAAACAATTGAAACTTAAAGGAATTCATGAATGAATGACAGTTCTTACTGATGCATTTCTACTCTGCAACAGTGGTTTGCAATTCCTCAACAGTAATCTATGGTCAGGGTCCATGATATAAATAGATTTTTGATCTTTTTTCTTCTGTTCTTCATCCTCGTCTTTGTCTTCATCTTCCCCACTACTGCTAGACTTGGGGTAGAACTCCTGTTCACCTGTGACTTGCTCCTGTAATTAAGGTATTAAAAAATCACATTGTGTACTGCATGTAGATAGATGAAGATTTATCTGCTTTGCTGACAGTTTCATGAACGTTAAATGAATGTTGAGCTAGTGAGTGTGAGTGATTATATAGAGGGCCATTTAGTTTACTAGTCTAGAGACTATTACGTACTACCCTCTCAAAATAAAAGAATTTATTTATTTATTTATTTGTTTCATTCAGAGCAAGGGTGAATCATTCATCACTTTTCATTTTCTATAAGTTACAGTACACATAGCCCACTTCTTTCTACTTTATACTGTTTGACATGTATTACACACAAATATAATCAAGATCCACAGGGACAAATGCACTTAACTAAGAAGACATTTTTCTCCTAGCACACATACCTCTTTATTAGGATCTAAGAATTGTGTCCGGGCATAGCGGGTCAGCATGTGAATGACAGCTACTTGTCCCCATTCATCAATGTCAATCAATAGGTTACAGAGTTTGCGGAAGTTCTTGTGGACCAAATCAATCCTGTCTGGACATACTTCTTCAAATGCCATGACAGCACTGCCAGCTACAAGCTAGTTTGACAAAAATAATAATTACTGTAAGAGCTAATTACATTGTAAAACTATTTCTTTGGCCAACAGTTTAAATACTGTTTCTAATACAGACAACTCTTTCTTTAAGCCTCCTTCAGACAATATTAATTCACTTACTGTAGTTTTGTCCTTTAAGAGTTTTTCTATCACTTCAATAAGGCACTCCTTGTGCTCTGGGTCCAAACTAGAAATAAAAATTTAACAGTATGCTAATGATACTTAGAAAATCAAATGTACACTCTGATAAGAAAGAATATTACCTGTAGAGTTTAGGAATAGCATGTGCTGCAGTCTTTCTTACAAAGGGGGACATATCAACAACACCCTAATAACAAGAAACTCACTATTAATGAATGCTAGAGTTAGCCTGTAATTTTTTTATCATTTTACAGCATTGCACATGGTGACCTTCTGAAGAAGATTATACCTCTTTGATTGATAACATAAGAATTGGAGCAATGACTGGAACTCTAATGCTTGATAAAACTCTTAAAGCACTTCCACGTATCAATTGATTTGGATCCTAAAGAAAATGTAGAGTGACCACTATGAAAATTATGTTCATAAACTCTGCATTTTACCAAGTACAAGCACACTTTGAAGCTGCAATATTCTGCTATACTGTACATTACAGCCTTTTGCAAAAATTATGAGAATTGTTGAAATATCTAAATATCATAATATCAAGTGCATGATCCTGCACGATGCCCTTAGTCCCTTGTCTTTGTTGTTTAGTTTTTTTTGGCAACGGACTTATCCGTAGTTCTGAATATTTTCTCGATGTCAACAATGAATTATTCTAGCAAACCCGCGTGTTTCGGACAATATATGGATATGAATATTATGATATTTAGATATTTAGACAATTCTCATAATTTTTGCAAAAGGCTGTATACACCATACATTACATTATAACACAATGAATAATTCACCTTCAATGCTCTTTGAAAAGTACTGATTGACAATAAGGCCAAGTCTTGCTGCTCCTCAGCATAACGGACAAGGTAAACATATACCAGCTTTTTAAGCTGAAACGTAATGATTATTCAATGATAAATGATAGCGATGATGATGATGAGATCATCAGCAATAACAAATGGTGATCAAATCTGATAACAATAATAATAATAAATTCTAGATAATGAATGATATTAATAATAATTGTAAATCATCAGAGATAAACAACAACAACAACAACAACATCTGATCATCAACTAATTAACTTTCTTACCTCAACATTTTTTGATGCTACATTCTTTACAACCGGAGGAAAGAGCTCTGACATATCCTTACCAGTAGCCATAAGCTGTGATGAAAGAAGAAATATTTTTGAAAATAAAACAAACATACAGTGTCTAAATAGATTTGCCGGCCACGTAATAACAGAAAGATCAAAATTATTGTAGTTTTAACATCCGATTAACATCCATTACCGATATGATCCTTTTCATTGCTTCCAGCTTAAGATTATCCTTTGAGCTGTCTAGCATCGACTTTAAATCATCATGTCTGGAAAAAAATTAAGAAAATGAAAGGGTCAGAACAAGAACTGTCGTCATGTGATACCATTCTCAAATCTCAGCTGATTTTTGTGAAGAAATTTCTAGCTTACTTCTTGAAATCCATCGAAAACAATCCACCAATAGTCGTATCAGGAACATCTGGTTCCCTCGAAGGCTTCTCGTCATTATAAGACATGTTTGTGAGCTATGAAATGGAAAAGAAATCCAAAGCTTTCGGCATTGACTCCGACTTCCACAAACCAAAATGGCTGCCCACAAAATACGGCCATCTGATTGGCTGAATAATCGAGTTTCCGCTTTGGCACAAGACAGGGACCCCAAAACCTCAGAAACATTCTCGACTTTTGCGCCTTTTCTTGTTTGTGAGTCTTTTAAGTACTGTAATAGAAGATGGATTATCAGTCAAAAAGTTAATGATTTAAGAATATTATATGAATAAAGTTTTCAGTAAATATATACAAAAGTAATTGAATGGGCTACCTGTGGTCATTACCCATAGTTCCGCCATTTACATTCTTGCGCGCCATCTTCAAACTGAGTCAACATCAACAACTTTCCAGAATTTGTCCCAAGAAATACTACTTTCAAGCTACTTTCAAGGGGTTTCAAGAACCTTTAATACAAAAGAATGAAGAGATTTATATAATAATTTTTGCGTGAGGTTGAAAATCTCAAGAAACATGGACCAAGATCACATTAAAGTAAGGCACCAAAATTGTGGAGTTTACTAAAAATCATGAGTTTTCTTCTGCGAGGAAGCAAGTATGCCTTTTCTCCTTGTGCTTATATTTGTCACAATATGGACCTCCTTGCTTATAAATAACGACCAATAACATATTTATTTATCAGGTTAAGCTCTGGCTAGAAGACGTGATACAAGAAGATTCCATTCCACAATATGAAATTAATAGCAAAACAATGTCTATCCTGACACAACTTGCAGAACGTAACAAAAGAATTAACTCTGATACCGAGATTGTGGCAGAAGATATGAGGCAGAAAGCTGTTGAGTATGACTTAGAAGGTATAGACATACTGGTAGACATACTGGAACTACGGTTATAAGAGCATTACAAAATACAGCTTTGTGTGGCTTTTGTGGAGTCTTGGGCTCAAGCCGCTCAAAGAATACTATGTCATACGTATCCACCATATGGCACAGACTCTAATAAAGAATTAAACATTTCAAAAATACTTGATTAAAAATCTACATGCAAGTACCTTATTAATACACATCAATCATTATTAAAATGTTAATTTTTAATTGTTGATTAATTCATTTATAATTAATTTTCTACCACAGCACAGAGAATGCAGAAAGTATTAGACTATTTAGGGCTGTCACTGTCAAGTTTATCTCAATCAGGAGATCATAGTATCAAAATATTGTCCGATATTGCTTTGCTGCTTGGCTTGAAAGACTGTACATCATCAAGGTACAAGTCCAAAATAATATCACGTCGGTCTTTTCCAGCTTTTCTGATAAACACGAACAACAAATTGTTCTATTGCAGTCTGCTTCTTGGTATTATCAACCAATCGCGTACTCTGAATAAAGTGCTGGATGACAGAGCAGAAGAGAGCAGTATTTACTCCAAGCTAATATCCAAAACTAAATCAGCATTAGTGCAAGCAAACTCACTGCAGAGGTACAAACAGATATATTTTTATACAGACCTAGCCAGCAAAGGCTATCATGTACAGTATTGTATAGCTTGTCAGGCACATCCTTCAATATCTGCAATTATATATCTTGACACCCATCCATTGAAAAAAATTTTGAAAAGTTATATTGCTTCTATTGAAACTGCCTTTACCATTCTATTGTATTACAATAAGGGAATAATAAGGGAAGGGAGAATACAATCAGAGAAAGGTTATAATAATCTATGAAACACTAAACAAGTATAGTAGTGGCAACAAGACTTGGCAGTGATTAAAGTAGCAAACTGACTGCTGCTTTCCTCAAAAGTGAAGTGTAGAGAAGGCTATATAGCTGAAATCGCAAACCTTTTTACTGACATGACAGTGCTGATAAAAATATTATTATTTATTTTCATATAGGACATTTGAATCTCTGGAAGAACAACACACACTGCATAAACCTGTTCTTGAAAAACGATCCCATGAAACAGAGTTTTTTCACAACAAAGCCAAACAGTACCATAAGATTGTGAGAGAAGCAGAGGTAGGAAAGAGTCTTAACGTTTTGTACTCTGAATGATTAATATTAGAGAGACTGATTATTTTTCAATTGATCGTCAGGAATATCAAAAATCATTGAGATTGGAATCAAGTATATTTCATGAAAATTTGGTGAAAAAATCTGAGGTATTAAAAGTATAGTTTACAACATGAGCGGCCGTGTTGTATGGGAAATTACAATCTCGAGCCGCAGGCGAGAGATTGTAATTCCCATACAACACGGAAGCGAATGTTGTAAACGACTTATAAAACTCCAACACAAATTAACATGAATTACAGTGAGATAAATGACGAAAAATGACAAATAAGGTAACTGCTGAGTTTAGTCCCTATTAAGCATGCGCAATTTACTGCAACACAGAACATTTTGAATAATTATCCATCCCACATGGAAAGCAAGCCATCTGTTGCATAATCGACCTCTGTTATCCGTCTTTGATTGCTTCAAAACCTAGTGAAGGTCTATGATGCGACACTAAAACTGAGACCTTTGCTAGTGTTGGGTTGTCTCAATGGTGACGACYGTGTTGTAAATCTGATACAACCACTAGTGGTTGTATCAGATTTACAAGGTCAATCACCTGTTTAAATGGTCAGCCCTTATTGGAGCAATAGCTTATGCATTATTAATCAGTTTTATAATTGTAATAACTTCATTTATTCTTAATGAAGAGTATTTAGTTTTAAAGCATTTATCTAATAGTTGTACAATCCATAATATTGTGCACAACTCAGGCATCTAGTTGACAATGCCAGTGAAATGTTTTCATTTTTCTTTTTTTAGGATGTAAATTATTTGAAAGAAAAGAGCAAACCATTGAAAGACAAGTTAGAAATCTATCAGGACTTACCACCAGTGAGCATTCAATATTTTACCTTTTATTTCTATAAATTGATAGAATAATAATCATTGATGACAATGAATAACTTTATAATACTTTCTTGATTTTAAGGATTTATCATTAGCCAAAGTTAAAGTAGAAGAAGCAAAGTTACAACTTGTAAGTTAGATCCCATTCATTACACCAGTATAATTATAATAATTATTATACATGGCAAAAAATAATAACACCTTAAAAAATAGGGGAAACAATGTTTTTTATTTAATATTTATGGCTGTTTCTGACTTGTATTTTTTCAGGCACGACTGGAAGAACAGTTGTCAAGCAACATCAACATGCTTCACTCTTGATGGAAACTGTATGTAATTATCAGACCTCTGAGCAGTAATATAAGTTGTACTTTCCTTTTTTGTACAGCATTATAGTAAATTTCTCAATGTATAATCTTGGTTATATATATCAAAGATCTATGTTAAAACTTATGATAATGACACAAAGTACAGTTCTACACTGTCTAAAGGAAAAAGACACTTTTCATCACAAATAAAATATAATAATCTAAGACTGTACTTTTTGTGATCAATTGAATTGTAGATCACTAGAGCTTAGTTTGCTAGTATTATTATATGTCTTTGATTGTATGTATTCAATTCAATGAAAAAATTGCCAGTGAAAGGTTTTTCAAAGTTTATGATTACAATCAACCATAAACTTAGAAAGCTTTGAGAAGAATAGTCTCCATCAGTCTAGACAAACTAGTCTTTGATCAACAGACAAACTTTCTTGAATTGCATTAAAAAGTTTGAGTTTCCTTTTTCTTTATGTAGAATTCATGATGAAAAATTATAGGAAACTTTACATTTTTTCATTTGCTGTTTAAATAAAGCAGTTAATGAAGTGTTGAAAGTTTCAATAAACCTTTTAGACAAGCTACAAGGTTAGGTTTGTAATGACAAGTGTTAAAAAAAATGTACATATTCACTTATGTGCAACTTTATAAAATTATGTTAGCTTTTCTTGAAAAACTTGTCAGGCTCTTCTTTACCAAGGAAAATTCAAAACAGACAAATGTTGTCAAGCACTGACATTAAAGAAAGTCTACAGCTTAAAATAATTAGCGCTAGGTTTTCTTTGTTCTGACAGTTTTAAGTAAACAAAGCTTCTTATTGTCAACACTGACTAATGTTGCGTCAATGACCTGGAAACTAAGTGAAAACCTTTGTGAAGAAAATTGATTAAGTTTTTTCTTTTGACAAGGTGTTTAAGTTAAGTTCCACACAAACTAATTGAGATTTTGTCAATGAATTATTTTCCTTATAACAGTCAGAAATATTTGGCAGTTTTTCAAGGACTTTTTAAGTTTGTTTACAGTGCATAAATTTAATACATGAATGACTTACCACACACAAGGCTATCATGGTTTATTAAATAACCTCTGAAGTAGTTCATATAATTTTTTCTAATTTAAAGCTGTGTTTGATAAAAATATATTATAGCAAAGCATGAATCCTACCCAGGAGTTCTGTCAACATGAAAACCACTCGTTGTAATCCATTCTATTTTGTGTTTTCATTAATAAATAATTACAGGCTTTATTGAAGTTCAAAAACATCCTTTACATTTAGTACAAATACTACAAGTAACTTAACCCACGAAATAGATACAATTGAATTTAAATAGCAACAAAATTTCTAAATAAAAACTAAAATACTTTGTTCATTTTCTTTACTCTAGTAAATTGGGTTTATTAATATATCCCAGACCCAAATTAGTGTTGACATTAAACTCTGTACCCCAATATAACATAAAACTCATTTACTATTAAAAAAACTTAACACCTTATGGCTTTATGTAAAATACTCTCATAAGAACACTCCTAAATAAACATAAAATACTGTATAAAAGTTTGTATGTTATTATTGTTGTTTGTAGAAGATATACATCTGATATTAAAGCATAGTACATGCTTGTCAAGACGTGAATAATCACGCTAACATGCTGCAATTTTAAATATTGTTTCTCATGAGTATTTTCTCTTGACTAAACAACAGCCAACAACTTAAATGTTAGTTCAGTACCCAGAGAAGCTTAAATAGTACACATTAAACTAGGTATTATTTGGAACACTATAAATTAAAGGCATTGAACAGGAAGGCTTTTTCCATTTTGTCTGTGATGAGAATACTCTGTATAAATGCTACAAAACAAATGATTTTGGACGTGGTTTAGTTCTCCCATTGCATTTCTGCTGTTCTTTGGTTTTAGCATTCTCTAAGGCTTCCCACTTCTTCTGACACTGTTTCTCATGGATTGATATTGAAGCGGTTCCATAAGCACGGCCACATAAATAACAAGTCACAGTTGAAGGCTTTCTCTCTTTAGTAACTGCTTTAGTTTGAACTGTTTCAGTACTTTCTCGATTTTCTTTTTGACCTTCATCTACGTTATTATTCTGCAAATCGTTTGCCTTATCTATTTTTATGGCTACTGGGATATTTGCTGAATGCCTCTTTGGGGTAGCAGGAAGTGATCGTCTTCTCTTCCCTTTTTCTTCTTTTTCATTCTTAGTTTTAATTGCATCCCATTTTTTCTTGCATTGTTTTTCATGAACTTCCAAAGAGTGTTTAATTACTTCCTTACCACAAATATAACATGGCTCCATCTTAGGTTTATGTGGCTGATATAATCTTCCTTGTGACTTGGAAAGCTCTTTAAGTGCTTGTAAACTATTTGAAGGCCTTAGACTTCCTGACAAACCTGTATCGAGCAGGTTTTCGCATGACACAGACTTCAGTGTAGTTGCACTAGTACTTCCATTTTGTTTCATCTTAAAACCATTTGCTTTCTGTAATGAGTTAGTTGAATCTGCTTTGAACATCCCACCGTGGGAACCTTTGCGGGAGTAATATCTCGGGTTAGCTAACTTCCATTTCTTCAGACACTGTGGCTCATGTATTTTAAGTGATTTGGATCCAAATTCATTGCCACATATGTAACACACTAGTAGATTTGGGTTCTTGGTAGAGCGAAATCTTGGAGGTTGCATTTCTTGAGTAGGAATTGAATCTGATGAAATTTGTGATGATGTTGATGATTCTGGTGATGAACATGTTGTTGTTGCCTCAGGGGCTGAGTTTTTCCTTGCAGAAACTAGACTGGCTAAATAATCATGATCATCTTGCTTAGGGCTTTCTTCGCGTTTGGCTTTTATTATTGAATTTGCGTCCATTTTACTAGGCAGAAGTGATGCGGAATATCGTGATGCAGCAGCAGTTGTCGATCTAGACACCTTGCCATCATCGACATTATTAGCTAAATCACCATTTACAGTTTTGACTGATGTTTCATCTGATACTCTTATGTCAACCATACTCTTGGAGTTGCCTGGTTTTAGTCGAACTGGGGGCTCGTATCGCTTCACCCAAGGATCATGAAGTTTTTCCTTGTTCTCTGAAGTGGGGCTTCGCTTTTTGTGGTCTCGTTTCTCAGTCTGTTTGTCCTTATTGCGTTGGCTTTCCCATCTTTTAGCGCACTGTCGTTCGTGGACATTGATTGAATACGATCCAAATTCTCTTCCGCAAATATAACAAAGAACTGTGTGTGGCTTCGGCATAATAGACCCTTGAACATCAATGAATAAATATATGTCAGTGGTAATCTGAACAAGAAGTGCTGTGTCAACAGCGTTTTATTATTGCAGCGATATATTATAGCTCTCACGAGACCAACATACACACCTCTATGTTGCAATGTACAAGGTCCCTATGTATTTGTGGCCTGAGTTGCTCAATGAGAACGCTTTATTTGTTGATCCAAAGGAAATAAGATTTCAACGGAGAGCAACAATTGAGATACGATAATTACTAAATTTTTGCTATGATTGCTCGACTACCTCAAAAAATTATTCAATTCTATAGATAATTCCCGGTGTTGTTCAATAGAAATGATCTAGTGTGAAATAGGTAATTTTCCGTTTGAACTGGTGATTATATTGTTCTACCAACCTTTATTTACAAGACTCTACTGTAGATTTTTAGCTTTCAGTACTGCAATATATCTCTAAACTGCTTCTCGTATATCGTAGTAGTTTCTGAAGATACGGACGCTTGGGCATCAATCAATAGAAATAGCGGGCTATCTTGTGGAGACACCCAACATATATCTCGCTCGACTAGTCATCTAACACAGGTTTTACGTTGTCATACCGCTCAGCGTGAGAAACTTTACGGTCGATTTACATACACGATGAATCTTGGCAAAGATTTTAACCAAAGCGTACAACRCTGCTCCTCACAGATGACTTCACCTCTCAAAYATTACGYGAAGCGTTTTAGACTACGAAGCGAAAAAACACGCATAAAAAAATCACGTAAACAGCTTGCGAATCCAGCGTAACATGGCGACTATCAAATCTTCTCAAAATTCTTAGATGAGATACTGGCTGCTTGGCTACCGTTTCGTTGAGTTTACTGCGCAAAGAATGAATGGCCGGCCGTTTGAACAACGAACGCTATTTTGGTTAATTACCGGAAGTGAAGCGAGAATGTTTTGAACCGGAAATGAGTAACTCCGCTGGTTTGATGTGCCCGCGCAATCGGAAATGAAGTTTGGATAAAAAATTGTACTAAAATTGATTTATCTATTGCATGATAATTACCTTTAACTTTTGTCCATGTATGTTTTGATCGATTTAGTTTTTAAAACATTTGATAAGATTTCAAAACGAATCCAGCTAAACTCTCACTTTAAGTATTACGATTTAAGAATAAAAGAGAAAAAAATGCAATAATATTATTTAAAAATCTTACATTAGTTGTTAAAAAGGAAAAAGTTTTTTAAACATGCTTCAAAAACTAGAAAAAAGATTCTGGAATCCGTCAACGCGGGCTCCCTGTGATTGCACCACGATTCGAAACGGTCCCCAAATATATAGGGCCCCACGGTGCGTGACTGAGACCCCATTAGCAATGGCGGACGAAAACGATTTGGAGGTGAGCTCAGAGTCTATTCCTCCAGGAGCTCCTCCAGAAAAGAAAACGAACTCCAAAAAAACTAAACCCGTGTGTCGGTTTTATGCAAAGAGTGGTGTCTGCAAATATAAAGAAAATTGTCGTTTCTCTCACGCAAAATCAGCTGATATCGATACCACGAGTTCACAAGAAAACAATGACAAAGTGACSGAATTGCCTGAAGAAAATGAACAACAGAAATCTGAAAGCAACTCTATCACAAAAAAGAAACGATGCAGATATTTCAATACAAAGAAAGGCTGCTCCAAAGGAGATGCATGTCCATTTGCGCACAAAGAGAAAAMGGAAAATAATCAGAAAGAAGATAAACTTATTAGCAAAAACATCGCAGGTAAAACTAAAGAAACAGACGAGTCTAAAACAGCAATTTCAACCACAGGAAACAAGGATGCAGCAGACACGAAACCAATGACTCCCAACAAGGAAAAGACTAGTTCCTCAAAATCAAAGCCAAACATTTCTACCTCACAAAATAAGAAGGAATCAGAAAAGAAAACTGAGTCAAAGACAGTCGTTTCAACTACTGCAATGTTGTCTGCATTAGATGATGATCAATTAGARAAACTTAGAACAAGGGAGATTGAGCAGCTTTTGCGACGTTTTGGCAAAAAGAAAGCAACRGAGATGCCTTGTAGTGATGGTACAATGTACTCTGTTCTCTTCGCACCATCAGACCCTGACTGGGTTAGTGTCAAACTACATAATGATCATTAATTATTGCTAGTATAAACATATTACTTCACTAAAAGTCTATTTATGATAGACCAATTAGGAGAGAAAACAAATGGAAGATCAAAACAATGAACCACATAGTGTGATAAGGTTCAAACTGTTCATGTGTTATATATACTGTTCCAGTCATTAGTATGTTTATACTAAAACAATAAGACCTCTTGACCTCATGGTTGTCCAGACAATTATAATTGACTTCATTACACAACAATGTCATGGAAAGGAACAACATAATGAAAGAGGATTTCAAATTGAATGGTTTTCTTTTCTTATGTTATTGAAAAAGTTAATCTTAGTATTTTATTTCCAGCCTTTTGATATTGAAAACATTGTTCTTGAAGTGACCTTTCCACGTGAATACCCTAAAAAGGTATGAAATATTGTATACAAATGGGCTTGTCAATGATGTTGTGAAGGGATGCAATAATTATGGGATTGATATGCAGAATATCAATATGCTGGTTTTTCAGGCTGSTTTGTTAGCATAAAGCATTTGAACTTATTTCCCAGCTTTCCACTTATAACGTACTCTACGTTATAGGAATATCACTAATCGGTCTTCAAATACCAGAGCGTTTGTGCAAAACATTGTGCAATTCATATTTTACAAGATCTCATTTTTATATGACATCATATACTTTCATCATTAGCATGAGGCAATTTGTCAAAGCATACATGACGTCATTAAAGGAAAAGATCATTGCTTCCATTTTAACATCGGTAATATGATTATATATCAAAATAAAATCCATTTAATTTAAAAATTGCATTTACTCACCTTAGATGTTTGATGCTGCKTTGTCTCAAGATCAGTCATTGCCCTCTGATCTGATAAGGTATTGTTCTAAACACTGTTTATTATACAAGCCTTGTTATTGTTCTATGATATTGATGACTTAATAAAAAAAATTTAACTCCTCATTAACTTTTATTGATAAATAATCAAAAATTTCACTCAATCAAATTACCTTGTCTTGTAAGTTTCAAGTGGTAATATTTCTATTTTGTTATTAGCTTCGTAAATCAAGGAATATTGAAATGGACTCAACAGCAACAACAAATCAGAGATAAGAAAGATTCTGCTGACCTTCCATTTAGACCATTTTTACGTTGGTTAGATAGAAATATAGAAAAATTATTCATTGATGCTGCAAAACAGATGAAAGAGCAAGAAGAACATGAAGATGAGAATACTGAAAGTGATTCTTCAGAAGACGCAGCTCAAGGACCTTGTTCTTCATCAGTAGAAACCTATGAACCAAACCAAAGAACAAACTACAATGTAGAAAATGTGTATACTAAGCCAAGACATGATTATCAACATCAACAACAAGCACCACAAAGTCATAGCTACCATGATGCTAACCCAGACAAAATTGATATTTTATTATCTGATCTTTTAACATTCAAGAGCCAACCACCCAAAAATAAAGTGGCTGGCGACAGTAAATCTCATCACCATGGAGACACCATAGATATGTCAAAAAAGGAACATATTGTCTTTGTTGAAAGGGAGCCTAATGACTCATCAACCAATCAAATGAGTTATAGTGCCTGTGGTGATGTAATGCAGCTGGAAAGTACTGGTACAATTAACTGGGCTGAYACTATGACTAACGTTGAAACAGAGCAGAGTAGTGAGGGGGYTGGACAACAGCCAAAACCCAGGGGGACTGAGATTAGATTCAAAGGCCTTGAGTTGTATGAAAATACAAGTACACTAAGGACAGATACTGTTGTACTGACAGTGGAKTGTGCGAAATGTAAAACAAAGACAGATGTTAAAACCGATAAGTTGAGGTAAAGTCTGCAGCAGTAGGAAGTGGATAGAAGGGAAGAGAAAGGAGAGAAAGTGGGAGGAAAGTGAAAGAAAGAAAGGGAATGAAAATTCTGAAGAAAAAAAAATATTTCAACTACATTACTAGTAACACTTTGATACATTGAATGACTCAGTAAATTGTTTAAAGAAGGCACTTTTTTGCAGTGTTATAGTCAAGTAATTTTAAAAGTATTTTTCGTTTGTTTTCAGGCCAGCAGCAATCAGATGTGAAAAGTGTACAAATATAATTAAAGTTGGTTTCAGACCATTTATGATCCATCAATATTCTACATCAACTCTGGGATATCTTGATTTGCATGGGTAATAAATCCTGCTCTATGGTAGTAGCTAATATTCTTATTGCTTAAAGGCCCAGTATGCACTATTATGGTTTGGGGGCCGCAAGGTCCTGGAGACGGTCATTTTCAGTTTACTGAAAGTCTATAACTTGTACTGTGCATTTCGAATCTTTGACCATCTCACTTTTCTAAGCACTAATATTAGAGTTTTCAAACATCTGACATTTGTTTTATGGTGATATTTGGATACTAAAAGTATTTTGGTGTAAATTATAACAATAACAGAGGGGCGCAAAGCATAATGGTGCAAACTGGGCCTTTAAATGATTGATTGACCAATGGATTGATGGGCTGAATGATTGAATGATGAAAGAATGATTGACCAATATTGACTGGTCAATTTATGATTTAAATRACTGATTGRCAGATGGGTTGATTGGCAGATTGATGATAGAATGATTTTAATCAATCTTACTATTTTTTGCAGATGTCATCCATTTGATTTAGTCATTGCCGATTCTTCTCTYATAGCTGGATGCCTTGGATGCAGCCATGAAACACCAATAAAGGTTTAAWATTAGGAAATACGATTAATCAGGCTTTGTGCAAAATACTTTTTATAACTATTCAGCAATGTTTCATCATAATGGTTTTTGTAAGGAACACATTATTGATAGTGTAGCTGAATATGGTGTTGTACAACAGGGACCTCAGTATGGATCAAACCAAGTCTGGTGCAGCAAATGTCATCAAAAACTGCAATTCAAAATTGAATCCACAAGATTCTTCCAACTCATGCCTACTTCGTCTGTCCCAGGCAAGTTACATCTCTTTTTCACTGCTTCCAATACTTGCTTAGTAATAATGATTATTCTCTGTAACTACAATTTTATTCATTTTTCATCCAAATATTTTGTACAATTTACACATAATTTCCCCTTAAAGCAAAGATGTCAATGTGGGAACCAATAGCTTAAATATATTATCGGTAGATGAAATAGAATATTGTACATTATGACATTCTTTTATTTATTAAACAGGCGATAGTAATGTTCCAATGCCTAAAAGAAAACCTAAAGCCCCAGGACTGCGAGAAGGCTTTCCATTACCAGAAAATGGGACCTGCAAACACTATAAAAAGAGTTTCMGATGGCTGAGGTAGGTAACCTCTCAGTAAACCTTTTTAAAGCTGATAAGTTATAATGTAAAACTTTTCCATTCAGAAAAAACTGTTATTTATACCAATTTTTATTCAGATTTCCATGCTGTGGAAAGTGTTATCCTTGTGACGTTTGCCATGATGAGGTAGAATCACATGAAATGAAATATGCCACAAGAATGGTGTGTGGATTCTGCTCCAAAGAACAGGTAGGCCATAGCAACCCTGTTTTGGTAACCATGRCATGTTTCTATGACTACCAATATATGGTTTCCTTGGTTACATTTATATGGTACTGGTAACCATGTCACCATTGATTCCATCTTATTGTAATATGGTAAACATGTTGTGTTACTATGACAACCATGTTKTGTTACCATGGTGAACATATTGTGTTACTATAGCAACTATGTTATGCTCTGTTTCAGCCCTTTACACAGGGGTCATGCTCAGCTTGTAACTCCTCCATTACCAAGGCAAAATCCTCCCACTGGGAGGGTGGGAAAGGATGTCGAAACAAGACTGTAATGAGCAAGTTAGTATTTTTATTAATGATTGTTAATATTATATTWGTCATTATTGATAGCTGATTATTATAGTGCTGAGTTCTCAATCATTTACCAAAAAGAAATGGAAAAATGTAGAATGGTAGTAGAACGTAGAGCCCCTCTGTGAAAAGTCCTTGAACATCATGCCTTTTAGTGCTAGTACCTATGCATAGGTGCCCAGGAAACCAACTGTGAATAATAATTGGAGATGTTTCAGGRGTTTCATCACTTCTTTATTAGATCAGCTGCATCATATATAAAGTTGTTTTTTCTCAATATTTAACTTCATTTTGTTGACTTTCAGAGGTGATGATAAAAAGTATAAGAACACTTCAAAGACAACTTCACGAAAATCCCAGGCAAAGGCAAATCCTGGAAAATCAAAGTGAACATTGGTAGGATTGTATATAGCTTTGTTATACATAGGAACACAAAAACATTGAGACTGGTACTCTAACTGGACTAACTGGTATGGTAACACCATAGAGTGCATGATAATTACAATCCAATATTATTATTGGATGGTTGTGACTTGTTATATCAAGAAACATTAAGTCAAGTAGATTTGAACAATGTTTTAATTAGATTTTGATATATTACATTGTCTACAATTAAAAATGCCCTATAATTTGATCAAGCAATTATTAGTTATTTATTGAATTTTATTATACTTTAACTAAGGTTARTGGGTTTTTATTGATGTAATTCTTATAATAATTAGTTAATATTAGTAGCGAAAGTCTTCCATTTCCCTCTCTGCCATTTCATTACTTCTCTTCATTCTTGTCAACTCAACAAGCTCCTTTTTCTGTCGTTCAATGACTTTGTGCAAGGCCACAAGATCTTTTGCCATGTCGATACTCTTGGACTTGAGTCTTTCCACTTCATTCTCCATTCTTAACGAACTTTCCATACTGCCAGATTTAATCCTCTCTGCGTCATTGACGATGCTCCTCAAGTCGTGAATGCGCGTTGTGGAGCTTACCCGAGGAGTCTGGTACCCACTGTCGCGTCCACTGCTCTGATAGGATACATAGGGTCGAGGTTGTGGCGGTCGCGTCAAGTCGTGTAGTTTTTCGCGGGCTTTGTCGTGCAGGTAGTCTGTGTCATGAAGGTAGTCGGTGATGTCATCGTGGATCTCTTTTAGATCGTCGATGTCTTCGCGGCGATTACCTCGCATGCGACGTGCTATTGCTAAAGATCTGTGAATCCAATGAACAAAATGGTTGAGATGGATGAAAATGATTTTTTTTATTTTTCCTTAAAGAAGTGAATTTCTTCTTAATGCAAATAATGCACAGAAACTTTTTCGCTTTTAATAATTTTGAGGTGCGCTTTGCATTTCTGGGATTGGTACATGCAACACAACACTATATCTGAATTATGTAAAATAGGGTCACATGATCTGTCAGTTGAAATCGTAAATGGTGTTCAATTTGATCACTGGAAAAGAGGATTTTGTCCTCAATTGGTTTGAAAAAAAGGTCTAGAAATGTTCTAAATGAAATCCTGGTTTAAATACCTAGACATTTTCAATTTGTTTACGTTAGAAGTCCTACTGACTGGTGAAAAATGATTTGCAGGTCGCAACGAACACTCTTTAATAATTACCTAGTAACTACATGTAATAACCCAGATGCCACTTTACCTTCCAATTGAACTATGCATTACTTGCAGTTCGTTCCTCCAGTCCAGGAAATGTTCAATCTTTTCCCGCAAAGAAAGATCATCAGGATCTGGGCCTGTGTTCTCTCGAGAGGTGAGCGCCTCTTGGACAACATCTTGCAGCTCCTCTAGCTGATACGCAAGTCGATCGCGTGTTCGTCTCCGTCGATTCTCGTTTCGTGTGTGTGACTCTAGCGAATTATGAATAGTTCGGATATCGTTATGGATCGTTTGGAGATCTGTAAAAACCGGACAGTGATCATGACCGTTGGGATAAAACATGTTCACTGATCGATGGATCACGAATTAACGCTTATAAAAGTTTAATTACCGCAAACGTGTTATGCCGTTACCAAAGCGTGCGGTTTACGTTACAAAAGCGTGCGGTTTCCATAACAAAAGCTTGCGGTTTCAGTTGTACATGATTTGCTTAATTTGATAGAGAAAAAAGGTGCGGATTTGCATTATCAATCAAACGCTTTGCGCAAAAATGGATTTATTACCGATAAACACCCAATGACAACAAATTTAATTAAATTAGAAAGTTTACGAGGCTGCTCTGGAATTATATGTTTTTTTCTCGTTGTTTCACGACATGTAAATTAATAAGCTATTCAAGATAATACTTTTAAGTATTAAAACTTAAAAGTTTTATAGAAATGCCAATAGACTAGATAGCTGCTTGTGGCTGTATTGTTGTAAAGACGTCTCTGGTTATATACTCTAGCTGGACTCGGCCATTTTAGAAGTTAGAATTCCTAATACCTCGCAGGTTTAAAGATCCTGGATTATACTATTGAACGTCTAAGCTGATCTTTTTTCTTGGAAAACATTTTAAGTTCAAAATCCATTTGAATATGACTGCTAAAATCAGGAGTGTTTTAAGACAACTCTTTCGTGACTTGTCACGCAATCCTTGTTTCTTCAATCCTTCAGTCTTTTGGCTAAGAAATTAGCATACTGGTTTTTAGATGCTTTCAATGCTTAAAGTGTTGCTACTAAAGCAAATAGTTTATCTTTGTACGAGCAAAACCATTCGTAGAAACCATTTATAGAAGTTCAAGTATTGCTCCTCTGCAAGTCACTTCTGTAGTGCATAGCGTCACTGAATAATAAGGCACTAAGGATTCAGTTGTATCCTTTCCATGCAAACGTATTGCAAACTCCTTGCTGCGTCATTGAACCAGTCCTTTTTGCATCAGTTACGTTACGTTCTGCGTTCCTTGTAAGTCTTTCTACAACTTCATCAACCTCATTTTGATCAAACTCACTTGGTTCTACCTCAACCTTTCGATCTAAAGCTGTTTTTTTCTTCTCGTTTCTGTTCGAATAGTCGTGTACGAATAATCGTTGGACCATTTCGTCAATTTGTTTACTGCTTGCCTTTTGGTAACCCATCTGGAAGTCGGGGTTTCTTTCTTTGGGATGAGTAATTGTGCCCCATGGTTTTTTGGCCATCTTGAATAATGGCTGTCTGGTTGGTATGGAAACTTCCAGCCTAAGTGTAACACAAGAACTTATGTTTGAATTATATTGGGGGAGGGGAGGGAGAGGATAACTACATTTTCTACATTATAACACTTATAATTCATTGAATTTTTTTACATTTTATAAAAGAATTGCAAGTTATACACGAAATGCTTCAGATTTTAGTGTCTTTTCAAGCATTGCAAAATATTTCGTTCAAATACAGAAGATATCAAATACTGTAAGTCCTTCATGACCCTTAGTAAGCCTTGTTTGCATAACAAATTCTAGTTTTTCTCTCAAATTGTCTACAGTACCCATGGAAATTCGCTTTGATATCATCAAGCAATTTCCCAATGTAGCTGAAACATTTATCTACAACTTGAGTGTTGTTACTTCGTGTTGAATGTCCCTAACGACTGAAGAAACATTTTCGATGGCCACAAGTGTCTAGACAAATCATTTTAAGGGCTTTCTTCCCCGCATATAATAGCTTGATAGTTCTTTCCATGCCATGCATACGAGTTCAATACATTGCCCCACTCTTTCTTATGTTCTCCAGTTCGTGACCGATCCGGCGTCTTGGGCAAGTTTTCCTGTTTGTTCGCCAACCTAGCAACCATAGCTTGGACGCCATCTTTGTCCAACACTCGCTCAACGTCGGGTCTCTTTCGACTTTTTGCCGAATTTCTTTGTGTCTTTTTTGGTTGGCTTAATCTTTCCACAACACTTTCAATCAATTCAGCATCGGCTTTTTGATATCCAAGACCGAATGATGGCTTTTCGATGGTTCCCCAGGGTCGTTTCGCCATCTCACCACCGCAACAGGGTGATAAATATATTAAATGTGGCAACAACGTGCGAATTACGTGAGAAAAAAAGTGTAAATTATGTAGTTTTTTCTTCTTCTTGCTTTTTATATCACCTCATTAGCGATACACAAATATAATAAGACAGTTTTTTCACGATCTTAAAAGTTTCAACTTCAATGCGACATACAGCGTATCTAATGAATTTTAAGTTATACGTGACGTGTAACGCAACAAAACAATGATCGTTCACTTTTTCTTAATAAATATGTTGTCATTTTAATCACTGAAATCTCAATGTAGCTTCTTTGAAAGGAATATGATGGTAAAATCATCCAAAATTTCTGACAGTATATGTAATAATGTACGAAAACCTTGTCAGTCTTCCTGGTGACATTCGCATAAAGTCTGCGCGCTTCGCACATGCAGTAACACTTTAGATACCATATAACAACCTTGGATAACAGGTTCGTTTAGAGATTCTCCAGTCTATTAGGGTATTGTTTGCATGTATCCATGATATATCGGTCATGAATAAATAAAATGGTGTAACAATGATATTGTATCATGAGCTGGCTGAGGATTAGCACTTAAACGATATTGGCCAATATCGTCTTCACACAATGGTTCATAATTATTCCAGATCTCTGGATAAAACGAGCGTTAAAGCGATTCCAAGCGCTCTAAAGAACAACAATCTTCAATAACTAGGCAGATTTCTGCGGCAAAATGTCGTGGAACTACGCGAATTACATCAAATACCCCGAGAAAACCTACAAACCTGGTAGCCAAAAGCTGGACAGAGAACAAATCGATGAGATTGTTGAAAGACTGAATGTTAATAAGGTATACAAGAATAATTCACGAGATGAAGACACCAAGAAACTTAGCTCTGAACAAGTGGAAAAGTTACTAGAAAGAATAGCTGATAAGGACGTCAATATGGGTAAAACACCAGACAGACAGAGAACGGGTGCAGATAACTATTTCAATGCCTGGAAAGCCAACGAAATCCTTGGGTATAGATCATGAAAGTACTCAATGTCAAGAGGGATTATAAAGAGTGAAGATCTGGAACAGTTTTGTATGGACTGGACGACAAGTGTGCTTAACTGTGGAGTAGTGACACTTTGGACAGTGCATTATACGTCTTCAAGGCTTTTTTTGATAATTTAGATAAAAAGACTTAGTATAGTATAATGAGACTAAAAATTATCGTTAGAGTGAAAGAAATTGTGCAATTGAATTTTAGTCTAATTCTTCTGTTTTTGCTGAAGTTTGTATGGTAAATATAAGGCTTAGTTTGCAAGAACGACTTCTTCACAACGTAAGCTCGATACGTTTCAGTTTCGACCCACAAAACCGTTGGACTTACAAGTGTGTTTCAGTAATGGCGCTGCGATAATGGATTAGACTAAAGTGTTATAAAAATTAACAAGAACAAAGTTATAAGTTGTACTTCCATGCGACTATAAACAACACTTCAAAATCAGACTTCTGTATATGAAATCTACACTTAGATTATGAAGCATAATGTGCTAACATTGGAAATCGTGAGTCGGAGTTTTTCAGACATAAGTCAAGATTAAGTGTGGAGATAAGAATAAAATTTTCAGAAACTTTTTCTTCAAAAAGACATTTGCTCTATCAAACATTTTTTGGGTTTATATGTTGGTTCCATAGAGTGCAATATTGTCTTTTTGACTTGTTCTGAACTGATAACTCATTTTAATATGCCAATTAAACTTACACAAACATCTGAACAATGGAGTGGTATTAACACCCCATACGGCTATAAAGAGCCATTGATAATCCTTTCACAGACAGTATACTAATCCCCCAAAACTGACAATAGCCCACTAACAGAACTAACGACCATTGTACAGCTAACTATGTCTAACACAAAGAATCTCAGTGAATGGAGTTTACTGAGGAGTAATCTACCAACAATTTTGATATTTTGATAATATCAAGCCTTTGTTGTAAATCAACTCCAGCTATTTTGCTTCATTATACACAAAGAATGAGATTATATACCGTGCAGTGACGTAGAGGTTTCTGGATTAGAAATGTTTTCCTGAATACCACGTAAACAAACACTTATAAATGCACCATGTCGTGGACGTATTGTAACTATATCAAGTATCCTGATAGTAAAAGATCTTTGGGACAGCAGAAACTCCCTGCAGAAAAAGTAGAAGCTATTGTGGAGAGATTGAATGTTGTCAAAAAGCACGAGGAACAGAGTCCTTCAAAAAGTACAATAACTTTAAGCAAAGAGGAGGTTGAAGATATGGTCAATAGGCTTGCAGACAAGGACAAAACTGTTCAAAAAACACCTGATAGGGACAGGACAGGGGCGTGTAAACAGATGGGCATTGTAAACACCTATGCTTGGAATAATGGAAAGTCCTTAAGGAACAACTCTCGCCCTGCAGATGGGAACTTCTATTAAGGATATCAGTACTCGAGGACTCGTTTTAAGATGGAGCTCATTGAATACTCACTGTAGAAAAAGTGTGTAAATGTTTTATCTTTTATTTCTATAATTATTACCTACCACGTTGTAATATAGATCAATCATTAATCAAAACCGACGTTGAAGCACTGAAAAGTTGTTGTTAAAATTCGTGACAAACAGGATGTGAAGGCAATATACCTGCAGGCATTCCTCGTAGTGAAGGATTTACAAGAAATATCTAATTCTACGAAATTGCTTCCGCATCATTTTCCCTTTTTAAGACATGGGAGGCATTATTACAACTCATTTTGCTCGTTTTGGCAGTTGAGTACTCTCCACGCTTTGGACGACAATATATTGGCCACAGATATACCTAATTGAGTTTTGCGGTGCTGTTTTGTTGGGAATAGTTTTGATTACCATCAGAAATTATGTGATAGAGAAACTTAGTTGTTGTGAAAGCGCATGTCAGAAACCTCCCGACAGTTCAGCATCGATATCACAGCAAAATATGTTGGTTGTCGAAAGTCTCCTTATGGTCATTGGAAATACGACTTAACAATTATCTGAATAAACTCGTCAATAAACTACTCAAAGCCAGTCGTTTTATAGAATGATTGAAAATGGGATTTGTCTTAAGTGAGTTTGGAGAGGGAGGGGATTTGTAGGAGAGCACATGCAACACTTCACACACTCCCACACAATAGACAATAGGTCAAGACGGCGTGCGCASCCCCCGGATCCACTAAATCCGCTTAAACATTAGTAAAAAGAGTTTATTAAGTAATGGCTTACGAGTCGTTCACGTTAGAGGGTACTCCTAAGTAATAACGTTGCTTGGACCCCAGAGGGGAAAGGAAGCAAGCACTAATTAAAGCGTTCCTCTCAAAAACAGCTGATTAACAATCGACAGAACGACCACAAATCTTTCTCTGTATACACCATTAACAATGACTTATGTTGTCATTTCGCTGCCATCAGAAACGCCAACGCAGCCCACGCTGATGTGTTGAGTAGAAAATGGCATCAATAAAACAAGAGATTTGTGCATTTAATGGCTATAAATGCCGGATACTAGTCTAGATTTTATTGAGTTGGTTAAGTCGTTGTCAACATTAAACTGATAATTTAAAATCATTTAAAATAAGTTTATAGTAATAAAGAGGAAAATATAAATCAAGAATAATGTATATTTATCTGCAAAACCAACTGAGGGGAAAAGACGCGAGAACGGCCGTTAACCATAACAGCGTGACGAGTCATCGCCGCACGTTTCTCTACGGGAATATATCGTTTGCGTTTATAAATTTATGCCTAGTCTGAAACGTCAAATACGTGAATCATACTTGCGGGAACAGAATCAGCCATTTAGCTATCTTTCAGCCATTTAGCTATCTTTTTGATAAGAGTTCGTAGAATAGACAAAATAATTCCAAAATTCCATTTTATTCAGTAAAAATGTTATTTGTAACTTTTGTGTAGTTCCAATTATAGTTACTGTGTTTCAATAGTTGATAGAGGCGTATTTGTAAAATGCGTCACGAACAATCCGTTTTAATGTTATGATGAAAACTAGTGATAAAATAGTCAATGGTCTGCGTCGGTGTTTCTAAAGCAATAGTTGTGAAATAAGATAAATTTTACATCGTAAAAAGTATGAGWRYTTCACGGTGTAAAATTTACCTTATTCATCACAACCGTTTTAGCTGCGCCCGAAAATTCGCCATACAAGGTAATTACTACTAAAAATCTGTCATACACAATGAAAACAGCTTCCTAAAATTGGTAAATATGCTGAGTTGGAGAGTAATCCGTTACAAAGCTGGTCAAATATACAGAATTTTACCAAGAAAGTGTGTGGCAACTTTATGATCAATGACCAATAATTTTCTTTGTAAAATTTGGGTGATTTAAAATGTGCATAAGTCTTTTCGATTGCGACAGATTTTTCTACAACTTTGAGAATTTAAGAATATCATGTTGTTCTTTTTTATGGTAAATTTTCACGAACTGAATCGACTCCGAATATCGGACATAAAATGGTCTATTAGGTAGAAAATGTGCACGGTAAATCAGGCAGGCTGCGACGCATCTGTTCGTTTCCCAACACATTTTGTCTTATCTCTAGATTGAAATACCGCTGAAAATATCAATGCTGTGGTTATCTGCCTAAGCTAAGAATTCAAGCCATTTAATTTTATCCTTCATTCCGTTATAATATAGATATACTATGGTTATTAGTACTGGATAAAAAGCCATCCAAGAAACGAAATTTTCAGGAGAGGTGCCATGGAATACAGTCTCCATGGTTGTGCATATAATACTTTGGTATTATAGTGATTTTAATTACAGTTACAAAGAAGACAATCAGAAGGGTTTGTGTATTACTTTTGTGGGAAAATATAACGCGTTATTTCGTCTGCAACAGCTTTCAGATCACTTTGAATTCGCAATCAAATCTAATCTTCAGGAAAGTGATATCTTCTTCGCYTCAAATCAAACTCGGATCAATCTTGAATCCGAAAGTGGGCATAAAATTAATCCACAAAAACTCGCGACAAAAGTGCGCCTATTCTGTGCCGAAAAAAGATCTTTTCGCAAAACAAGTGGGCGAGTCCCGTAAAAAGCTTCAGTGACGTCAGAGCGCTGTGATTGGCTGAAATTTCCCCGAAATCAATTAGCGTTGCCAGGATTTTACTGGTGGTAATCAAGTGACGAATGACCTCTGAATCTACCTAAACAATCATCCATGTTAATAATAAATAGTCAAGATCTTCGATCTTTTTTTCTTTGATTTTTCTGACTTTGGACGAGCCAGAAAAATCTCCTCGACTTAGGAGTGGAGCAATGCAATGGTCGGGGTGCCTTCGCCATGTCTCTGTGTAAACCTCGGGTTGGTATTTTTACTGGTTTGTGTTGAAGCCTTCGGGGAAGTCTCGACGAGAGATGAGAAGATCTTCACGAATGGTTGGGCGATTCGGGTGCACGGAGGGCTAGAGGAAGCGAAGAAGATAGCCAAAGCACACGGCTTCGAGGATGTTCATCCGGTAAGAGGTTAAAATGAGGAAAATAAGATTACCTTCTTGGTGACATTTGGTTTCCACCGCACGTTAACGTTACCTGTAGTTTACGGCTGGTACGTTATTTAGCAATTCTTCGTTTTGCTTGTGTTTCTGACTGTTTGTGGCTCTTCACATAAGATGGCCACCACGATCACATTAAGCTAGGTCAAGTGAAAGGTTTTTAATGAACAATTTCACCAAGACAATGATATATAGATCATTTTCATAAGATGTTTTGAGCAATGCCATTTCTGCCACCATCCAGCAATGATTAAATATTATGATGTGTTCGCGATGTCTTGTTTTGCTTCCCAATTCAACCACAAGCTTGACCAATTATTTCTACAGAGAAACAATTGATCTCAAATCGTGTCGTTTTTATACAGGATTATATTGATGAGGAGGGGCAGAAGGTACTTTTGAATGAATACAAGCAACCAAATACTTCAAAAATCATTGTTTTATCGCGATGTTTTGTCGCCGTATTCTACACTTTATTTCCACTAATTACAAAATACAACAATTTTTCACACAATTTATGCAGTTTGAGCTTTATTCGTTATTATTTTTTCCCAAAACGCTATTAAAGATCAATAGTTATTTTTAGCTCTTGTCTGAGGTTTCAGCTCTGAAAAACCCAGATCATAATATGTCATACTAAAAACAAGAGCTTATTATTAGATTTTAAGTAATAGATTATCAGCTAAAACTCATTTTAATATCGTTATTATGGTAACTTCAAGCCATTGCAAGAATGACCGAGATGTAATTTGAATGTTTGCGATGAACTGATTTGACTATTTCTACAAATCGTTTGATATTGGAGTTTTCCGCTTCTATAGATTCCAAATTGACAAGCAAATGTAATGAGTTTATTTTTCCTGTCCAATGAACGCTGGTTTTAGATTGCGGACAGCAAAATGTCAAGTTTTTTTCTTATTAGCGAGAAGGACAGAATGGTAATTAGCAGAACTGGAGCGCTGATGAAACTTAACCGTTTGTTCAGCTGTAACTCCTGTATAAACTTTGCACTTTTACTAACTGCCTAAATCCTGTAGAAATCACTAACGAAGATTTTTAAATGCAAAGTAATGATTCAATAAATTAGCACATTTGAGTTCCCTTTATTACTCGTAAGTGTCGGCCAATATTCAGGAAGCGTTTTGAAACATTTGTACAGTCAACATCCTTGGCGCGGAAACACGAAGTCCCCCTTCCGACCTTCCTAATAGAAAAAACAACAATTTTGTTTTGGAAAAACCCGAACAGATCGATTTTTATGATTGTATAGGAGACACTCGCCTACATGTAAATCTTTTATGTTATATTGCAGTAAACATTGCATCTTTGAATTACGATTTTATTCATGGAATTATAGTAAAGCTCTTACATGGTTTGAAGCAATTTTTACGACTCGTTACGCCTGCAAATTAAGGAGATTTTTTTCTCGAAAAACTTATTCTTCTTTGACAGAAGCACTAAAAAGTAGTAAGAAAAGTTRTTAAACGATGAGACGATATTTTACGAGTTGCAATCAAGAATCCATGAGTTTGGTTTACTATCGTCATGATAGTAAAAAAAATCTCAAAATCGGATTAACACTTTTTTAGTCTTTCCACTGTTATAACAAGTATCTGATGGATTAAAACAATAAGAAAATAAAAAAAATACTTTGAGATAATTGCCCTAACTTCACAGAAAGAGGATCCGTGAAAAATGTCACGACTTCAAGTGACCGTGAACACGAATATCCAAATGTCCAATGTTTACCAAAGGCGATGCAAATATTTTGAAACATGGAGAATTTGTTTTGATTCCTTGAATGGGGATTTTTGAAGTTATTGTCCACACCGGTTAAAACCTGTACATCTTCTATACCTTGAAGTTATTATATGGTGAGTCAGTTGAAGGTTGCCTTAACAGTACAAAACGAAATTCAAGATTTCCCGATATGATAACAATGATGATGATAGATTTTACTTTTGTTACCAGATCGGTAGTTTAGAGGGATACTACCACCTCGAGCATCCGGCTCATCCTCGTCTTTCCCGACGGAGCGCCGAAGATAGGACGAGCCAGTTGTTGGATACACCAGGGGTAGCATGGGCCGAGCAACAGCACGAGAAAGTACGCGTGAAAAGGGGTCATTTTCACGATCGTATGGTAGCCAGAGGGATTATACCGAGGTTTAAGGATCCATTATGGGATGCTGAGTGGTATTTGGTAAGTATAACGGTTATAGACTAAGCGCAATGAAACCGTGAAATACAATTTTGACTATTTTATACACATTAGTAATTTCTAATCCCATTTATTTGATTTTATTTCACGGCTTTAGGGTGAGTGAGCGCAATAAAACCGTGAAATACACTTTCGACTATTTTATACACATCAGTAATCTCTAATCCCGTCTATTTGATTTTATTTCACGGCTTTAGAGTGTCTTAATAAAATGGACGCATTAATAAGAAATTATTTTCATAGGATGATAAACGTAAAGACAAAGACCTTGACATCCAAGTCATTCCAGTATGGAATCAAGGAATCACAGGGAAGGGTGTGGTCGTTACCATCTTAGACGATGGTAGGTAGCTCTCAGCATAGTTAATAGTTAATAGTTAATAGTTAATAGTTAATAGTTAATAGTTAATAGTTAATAGTTAATAGTTAATAGTTAATAGTTAATTAACTATGCTCTCAGAACCAGATAGGTGATGTGCAGCAACACAAGGCGTCATATATCCACAATCTTTTACATTAACGGCACGTTTTTGCAAAGAATACACTCCTTCGTAAGCAGATTTTAGTTTTTTTCTAGTGAAGATAGACTGCGTAGCTAAGCGTTCCTAGCTGCTCCGAGAGATCTTCTGAAAACCCTCCGGGTTCCCTTCTGGGTTTCTCCGGCCCAAACTCCGTCGGAGCAGCTGGCTACGCAGGCTATAGTGAAGATAAAATAGTACATGTGTAGGCATGGAGTCACTGAACATTACCAATACGAATCTTAAAAGACCCCAGAAATACATCATCATCATCATCATCATCATCATTGATAACCATCTTCGCTATTACAACCGTCGCCGTCGTTACCATTGAGTATAATAGTCTGTTATTTTATAAACGAAAAATCTGTTGCGATTTCAGGTATAGAACACAACCACACAGATATCATTAAAAACTATGTAAGTATTAAAATCCCGACTAGCGACAATTATCAAGTCGAAAGCAACATGTCAATCACTAGAGATCAATGTACCGCCAATTTTGTCTATTCGAGCTATATTAATTCTTCTTTTTTCTAAAGGATCCTAATGCAAGCTGGGATGTTAATGGCAGAGACAGTGACCCTTTTCCTCGTTATGACCCAACCAATGAAAATAAGTAAGTTATGTAGATTATGTAGGTCGAACAACAGTCCCTAGTGGAGCCAAGAGTTGAACTGGAGCCAAAAGACCGTACTGGCAACTCTCGTTATAACGGACAACGTCATTGTCCGCTGTAAAGGGAGTTATTAACGGACACCTTCAACACTGAAGTATAAAGAGTATAAAGCAAGTCATTTTTAATGATTACTTTGAAACGGGGAGTTACTCGAGTGTCCCCGGTAATAAAGAGCTGCTCATGATATCGGGGTGTCTGCAAGCGAAACTTGATTGTAGTTATTAAGCAAAACTATTGCATTCAAACGTGTGATTAATAACAAGTATCATCTCTTATTACAGACATGGTACAAGGTGTGCAGGCGAAGTGGCTGCACAGGCCAATAACACCAAATGTGGTGTAGGCGTGGCATTTAATGCAAGGATTGGAGGTAAGAAAGACTGGTGCAAATCGAAATCCTCTTTCTGGTTCGTCACTAATCATAATATCTGAAGATTAAATTTGACGATTTCCTAGATGCGCAGACACTTATTGCTAATTACTAATTAACTGTACTTATTCCTTTGCCTTTCAAGGAGTACGCATGCTTGATGGTCGTGTGACAGACAAGGTGGAGGCCGAGTCTTTAAGTCTTAATCCACAATACATTGACATATACAGCGCCAGCTGGGGTCCAAGTGACGACGGCGCTACTGTCGAAGGGCCTGGTGCACTGGCAACGGCTGCTTTCCTAAATGGCATTGAAAAGGTTGAACATTTAAGTACAATCGATTTACAGTCAAACTACCTGAAGCATGAACACGTAGAGATTATTAATAAATTCATTATTCCATTATTGATTTGATTATTGGATTCAAATATTCATTATTGAGTTTATTAGTCAACTTTTCAAAATTTTGAAAATTTGCAGTTATTTCCCATGTACATATTATTTCCATTTATTCTATTCGTTTTTGCATGTTTGAATATTTTTCAATATTTAAAACTTCATTTGAATATAATAATGAATATTTGAATTCAAGAATCAAATCAATAATGCAATATTGAATTCATTAATGATCACTATGTGTCCATTCTTCAGGTAGTTTGACTATTAAAAGATAGGAAAAATTTGAAATCATTATAAGCAAACGAATTCATTTGACTCGATTGTCTTTCCTCGTGGCACTAATCACGTGATTATTTTAGGGTCGAGCTGGCCTGGGTTCTATTTTTATATGGGCGTCAGGTAATGGTGGTCGTCATGGAGATAGTTGTAACTGTGATGGGTATACCGATAGTATTTATACGCTTTCAATAAGTTCTGCGTCAGACCATGGTGAGTCACCCTGGTATTCTGAAAGTTGTTCGTCTACTCTGGCTACTACATTCAGTAGTGGGGCCCATGGCGAGAAGCGAATAGTAAGTTAATGTTAGAGCACAAATCAAGGGCGGATCCCCCCCACCCCACCTCCCTCTGAGCATAAAAASTTTACCTTTTTTATTATTTTCAATGTTGTTTATAGCAAGTAAAGTCCATTTAGCCCCCCGTAAAACCACTCAGCTCCCTTTAAAATTCCAGCTGAATCCGCCCTTGCAAATACATAATATTGTGAGTGATATTAACAGAATTTTTTGACTTTCTCAGTATTTTTTGTTTAATTCGAAACATATTTTCCACCAAATAGTGCTAAATGTTGCCACTTTTGGTGCGCCAATAACGTATACATTAATTTAATTTTAACACCGTAAAAAAGTATGTGGAACAATTTACTGACGTTTCGGGCGCTAATCCTCGTCGGAGTAAAAGACAAACGTACGATCTCGTTTCAGGTCACCACGGATCTGCACGACACTTGTACGGAGAGACATACGGGAACTTCAGCCTCGGCCCCATTGGCAGCCGGGATAATTGCTCTTGCCTTAGAGAAAAAGTAGGTTGATTTATAAAGTCGGGTAATATCGCGATCTTTTTAGTTCAGCACTCTGAGGCTCCCAGAGTACATCAGTAAACCAGTAAAACTCTCATGTGATTTAATTTTTATTTTCAGTCCCAAATTAACGTGGCGAGACGTTCAACACATCGTAGTTTGGACGTCCAATTATCTTCCACTGAAAAAGGACAATGATTGGACCACCAATGGAGTAGGTTTGAAAGTAAATAGTAAATTTGGCTTCGGCCTTTTGGTAGCAGAGAAGATTGTCAACATGGCTGACCCTGCCAAGTATAAAACTGTTCCGAAAAAGAGACTTTGTCGAGGGCAAATTCACCAGGATGCTAAGTATGTTATATTTATAAACATAGAAAAGGTTGTAAATGACTCTACCTTTAAAAATAGACAAAACACTTATCAACGGATCGTGAATGCAAATGGTGCTCTTATTCTTTTGAAAAGTGGTTAATGCTTTAAAAGCTTTGCTAAATCGATTGAAGCTGAATGAGGTTTAGCCACTCAGGTCTTTAGTATATAGTCAGCAAATTTGTCAGATTAGGCTAAGAGGGTCCARGTGGGTGGCCAGTAAACCTGAGATTCTTATTTCTGTTATTTTCTCAACGTGTTTGAAATATCGTCACCCAGTGCTCTCAGTCAGGTCTTTATGATCAGTAAGTACTCTAGGAAGTCAGCTGGTCATGATTGTTCGACAAATTCGCATCAGTCCTTGTGTTGGGATCCCTGTACTCCTACTCAGCCCTGCTTTCAGTGTGCTTCTCCGTCATATCACTGAGTCATAGTTATTAAGTCCTTTTAACCAGTTTAAACCAGTTTAAAACCAGTTTTTTTATTTCCTTACAGACCTATCAAACCTAATCAGAACCTAACGGTCCCTCTTCACGCAAGTGGGTGTCCTGGCACTAAAGATGAAATACGGTATTTGGAACACGTGCAGCTACTCATCAGCCTCGACTACACGCGCCGCGGAGACCTGGTAATATACCTTACGTCTCCGATGGGAACCAAGTCGTGTTTATTGCCACCAAGAAAAGAAGATATGTCGAATGAAGGGTTTTCAAAATGGCCGTTTATGACAACACATTCATGGGGAGAGGTATACTACTTTGAGACCCTCTTTCACTATAACGTTTAGTTATGACGTCATAGTGAAAAAGGACAATTCTGATATATATCCATGTACTATTCATTAGGGATCCAGGGTTTCTTTGCGGTTATTTTTTTGGTAAATCAATAATCGATAATCATTCGTAGGACCCTCGAGGAGTGTGGACATTGGAGATCAAAGACGCTGGTGATACCAAGGTCGGTCATGGGACCCTACGAGAATGGCAGTTAATATTTCACGGGACTAAGGAAAAACCTAGCCATCAAACAGTAACACATCCCGATAAACCACGTCATCCAGTACCAGTTCCCTCCAGTCCTAAGCTGAGTTATAGCGCTAAACTTGTACCAATCAAAAACACATATATATTTGGTCCTCCGCCTGTGATCAAGAAACCGTTTAGTTACACGACGTATACATCACCGCCCATAGCAAAACCTACTAAGCCTACACAGGCTAAACAAGTGAATAATCCCAAGGCTTTAATACCCTACCCACAACAGCATCCAGCTACGCATCTTATCGTAGCCCAAGTACAAAGAATTAACCCACAACTCCGTGCGAGAATTGCAGCACAGAAATTCGCCCAGCAACAAGCATTAATTGCAAGACAAAAAAACCTACATGCTTTAGGACCTCCATTATATGGTCCCCAAAGGACTCCACAGGCCTTTGTGCCCAAGCCCTCTGGCTATATAGCCCCTCAAGCGGCTCATTATTATCGTACTTATTACGCGCCTAATCGAAGACCAACTATTATTAGGAATCCATATTTGAGGACTAGAATCCCATTTCAACCTGCGGTAAGGTGGAACGGGTTTTATCCGAATACGTTATTCGGCCCATATCAGTACATGAGGACATTAGGCAGGCGTGGACTTTTCGCCAAGGGGTCTTTTCAAAGGTCCAGACACAACAGGCTTAGCAAGCTTAGAAAAAAATGGAGAAAAAAAGCCCATTGATAAGCTTGTTTAGGTAGCATTTTTAAATTTCCTAAAGGGGGGTTCCCACGGGGAATAAATAGAGGGTACCAGGGGTGGTATCCAAGGGGCTTAGTGTTTGACATATCACGTGATATACTCGTGAAAATTATGGGGATATTGATGACGTCGTTAATGACGTCATTGGCTTTTTTATTCACTTTTTAAATTGACAGTACCCTACTAGCGCAACCGGAACAATAGCACAACTCGAAACTAACGCGCGTGTTTTTAAGTCGCACTATGGAATAATGATTGTCAGGGAATGCTTGGACTAAATGCATTCTGGGAATTTTTGCTTTGCTCGTTACGTCATCACTGCCACATTCTTCACTCATACACCATTGCCCGATTTCACAACGCGAGAGACTGGGTACAAGTAGCTTAATTCGTACGATTGTGAGATAAGACTTACATAGAACGAAAGATCGCACCGTAAATAAGAAACTCACAAAATTTGGCGTTAATCGGATCAAATTTAAACAATTACAAAGAAATGTATGGGAACTTAGAAAAATTTGGACGTAGCGTCCGGCATTCTATACACTTCTTCGGAAATTCTTGCGTTTTTGAAAGGCGTAAATCGTTTCATATTGACACCAAATTCGGACATTTAGTACGTCTCAATACGTTCTTTCGTTCTATATGGATCGTATTCATCCATCATGCCAATTAAGGGACTTGTACCAATCTCACACGGTATGAAATCAGGCAATGAATGCGATAGGCTTGCTATTCATTTGTCAGGGAAGTTTTTGTAATGTGGTTATACAAACCAGGAATTCTACCTATACTCAGAATGGATTTAATGCCATTCTTTTTATTACCGATTGGTTACACACAACTTAAAAAGGCGACCTATTCTAGTAATTCCCATTCTAGAAAGGCGAGTGCAAAACGCATCCTTAGATTGTATCTGTATGATACGCAGAAGCGTTTATACATCTTGTCTGTCTCTACTACATAAATAATTCACCAAACATCAAAAATCCTTTTTTATGTCCTCTAGTACATGTCCCCGGCTGTAAGAAGGGTGCAAATATAGCGCCTCTGCCCTTCGTATAACCGGGTCCAGATAGGTTAAGGGCCCAGTCCACACTACGCCGGATTATTTTTGTCCGACGTTTTTGAATAGATCCGGCGTAGTGTTGGCAAAACCTGGTACAATACATGTGTTCTTGGTTCGCAAAGGAAAGCGCGTGTTAGCTGGGCTAAGACGATGCTTTTAATAGGGGCTGTTCAATAAATTTGTGCCGTCACTTCTTATGTATATATATCTGCAGTATTGTCTGCCTAGACGTAGGTTTAAACGTAAATAAATCCATCAATTCGAATGTTGTATATTGAATTGTCTTCGAGTCTCAAGGAAACTAGCAATGCAAAAACTGGGATCAGAGAAGTAGCAAAATTCAGACCATAATGAACCTGATAGAGCGACAGCTTTATCTTTCACCCCTCCCCCTACTACTAGCTCACTCCTGCACTCTTCATCGCATCCAGACTATCTTTGATACGACTGGAAAAGAATGATTTTTTAAGGATAGCTTTGAATCAAGTCATTGGTTGATGAAGGAATTGGTTAACTGAGTTATTGGTTCATTGGCGCATTCAGTCTCTCTTTGATAGGATCTCTGTCTATGGGATCGTTCAAAAAGAATGATTATTTAAGGATAGCTTTGAATCAAGTCATTGGTTGATGAAGGAATTGATAACTGATTAGTTCATTGGCTGATTTCATGATAGCTAATCATTGGATTATCCCGGCGATTAGCGAAGGGGGTCACGTGGGAGGACCATGTTCCTTTTATCTCTCTTCATGATACTCCTTCTCAGAATGAAAATATGGTGATGGAAATAACAGATAATAAAGCGAGAGAGAGCAACACTCGATACAAATAAAACTTCAAATATGAAACGTTTATGCTGTATGAGAGGATTTCGTATGAGTGGGGCACCGTTACCGCACGGTTACCGCACAGTTACCGCACCTGGCCTGCAGAATTTTGGTGAAACAATGGGGCACTAGAATTTGGTTACAGTACGATTACAGACACAGTACAGTACCGTCCGTTTCCCACTCATACGAAATCCGCTCTATACTAACACTCTTTCCTTATGCATCTGATAGGGATGACTGATCGGTATCTTCGACAAACTCCCCTTTAATAAAAGATTGACTGTGAGATATCAATCAAAAATGACCGATGAACAGCAATCCATACGATCAATGATCTTGATTTTAAATTGATGACTATACGGCCATTCAAACCTAAAAATGCTTGGAAAAGTTTTGTTCCGAAGTTATCTAACATGGAGAGATATTTTCATTGCTCCAAAGAAAAAAAGGCAAAAGGATCATGGGATGGACGTTTTTTGTCAAAATTCCAAATTCCAAAAAAATTTTATCGATACGTTTCTAAAACATCTTGACTCACGAGAACCCATATAGATAGATAACTCGAATTTTAAGTCTCTCAATGATCGTCAATTTTCGTTTAAGTGGCCCTTTAAGGCTCCTTGCCCCTAGTGTGTTCAATACTCCAGTTTCGAATTCAGAGCGAATAACCGCTGTTTTATTTGACAGCAGATTCTCTTATGCAAAGAACTTAACAACACAAAAGAAAGCACGAGAAAATGTTGTAAGTACAATAGCGCTAACAATTTACATTTTCCCCGAGTTGAGGCTAACTCTATTCCCAGAAGGCTCATACCTTAGGTCTTATGGGAATACAGGGTAAGTCTCAACTCGGGGAAAATGCAAACTTTCAAGGCTATTGTAATAACGACATTTTCTCATGTTTCTCGTGCTCTCTTTTGTGTTTGTAAAGTCTTTGCCCAAGAGAATCTTTTGTCAAATAGAGCAGCGGTTTTTCGCTATGAATTCGAAACTGGAGTATTGAAAAAAATAGATAGCTTAAGCATGACGTTCGCGGCAAACTGCAAACGGCAGAAAAGATCATGTGACCTGCTTTTTGGGGGGTTTACCGTTATAGTTTCAACGCACGCGAGAGTGGATTATTTTGGGGTTGCCGTAATTGTGAAAAGTCGCTCTTTCAAATGACTACCAAAAGCAATTTGAAATAATAATAGAAATTCTTAGGCCTTTGATTCAGCTCTACCGTTAGCCGTTTTTGGTAGAACGTGATGCTTAAACTCTCTAATATAAAACTACGGAAACGCGTTTCCACTAGAAGATGTTAATTGACTTTATATTGCCTCCTTTTGGCTCGACACAAAAGCTGGCGTATCCGTGGACGCAGATTAAAAAGTTAAAAAAAGATTTGTGATAGTGCAAGCCACGCAACACCCACGTTGATCATCGAGACATTGTTAAGGTTTGACATTGGTGATGATCTGACCAGAGAACTGCATGAGCCCTGGCAAAATTCAATTCATAACAATTATTATGCCTGAACGAAAACGTATCCTTTGTGCAACAAAATAGCTAGCTGGATTAAACGCTAAACCTATAAAAATCAATAAGGGCTGCAATAACACGTAAATTCCTTCCTTTTGTCCGAGTCTACATTTGTGAAGCTACACATTATGAAAAGATAAGAATAGTGGATGTAAATTAATCCCAGTCCGCGTCACGACGATTCTTTCACGGAGCGAAAATTGACTAGTATGACGTCACAGCTCCCTCATTAGGATTGTGTCGATTGTCCCTCGATCTATGGGTCATAAATACAACACAATAGGGCCTGAATTCCTGTTATTATTATTCTCGACATAAGGGAGGCAAACCACAGCGGTATCTTTCGAAATCCCCTGAGCGGCAGCTTAATATAAGTGTCTCTCAATTTGAGCGCTGACGTCATAACGACAAGCAAAATGGCGCGCATTTAATAACTTGCTTGGAGTCTTGGATGACATAAGGATTACATCTTAAGTCTCTTCGATCTTTTTTTGTATAAAGAGGGTTTAAAATAACGGTCGACATCATCGTATCGTCGGTTGGAATATAGCAATCGGTGCCAAAATCGGAAATAATGTCAGTTTATCGWGACTGTTACTTGGCATTTCTACTATTATCTGCATAAGAAACATATTGGTTCCTGAACAATGTAATTGCATAAGAGCTCGTAAAAGCAGCTTTCGTTTTCGTTCAAACTCGCACTTATCACTCTAAATTGCATGGTAAAAGCATGGAATTGCTTATTTACAATATCAAGAAAATATTGCCAACACATACAAGGATTTGTTTTTTGTTTTTATTCCGCCTCCTCTCATTTCCATTCAACCATCCGAAAACTGAGGAAAATATGTATAGGTCAACGGGACGATTGAAACTGTACAAGCTACTGATTCTAATATGATTTAAACATACTTTTTCATTTAGATCTTCCCAATGGTCTTATATTTTCATAGCTTATTTGTCGCATAGGACGATTGTATGGAATCCAGCTGTCTTTATTCAAATTGTACCTTTTTTAGGAAGTGTTTTTGCCGCCAGCATGTCACATGTAACCAAAGTTGCCGCTTAGTCAATCATCATTATTATCCTAGTTTAATTTTTACTATTTCAACATTATATCCAGGTACATTAAAAAATGTCGTATTTTTTTTTATAGATTGTTTCATCTCTCGAGGCGTTCAGTTTTAAGACACATTAATGGAACGAGTTGGGAAGTGCCATTCAATGATGAATGGATAAAATACCGTGATGAGACGGCGAAGCCCATCAAGAAGCATATGGAAACAGCGATCCATTTAGTAAATAGAATTCGTTGATACCCTTTAGGTTTGAATAAGAGAATTGTTACGACGAGATAGGGCTGTTCCGGTTTCAAACTGAATAAAAGCTCAATTAGGGAAATAGCGCTTGTTAGCTTGGGCTCCGTCGCGTCGTTATTGCACTCATAGGTTCAAAACAATAAAAAGTTCCTCTCTTGTTTATGCTAGCGTTAAAAAAGGGCGAAAAAATTACGAAGGCGAGAATATTACATGGCGCGCTGCCGTGCTTCATCGGCTGGATTAATATCACTAAGCAACAGTGACGTCATGACACCGGCTGTAATTTTAATAACGTCTCAGTTGAATTAAAAACGAGGCGTTTAGAGTTAATTCGCATTTTCATTTAAAGGTTGATCCGAAAACGCAGAGGTCTTTATTGGTGACATAGACACTTCTGTTGTATTCTGACTAATTTTGATGTTGCATTGTCAAACGATCCGCGCGTTCGTTTACATATTCTAATGAGTATCTCTTTGAAATTCCTAAACCCAGGGCCTACTTTAAGGCGATGAATGGTTTTCGTCGCTAAACGATTCCTTTAATTTAGGCCCTTTTTGTGTGTTTGTTTTGGACTTCCGGCAATAAGCCTGTTTTGAATACATCACAATACAAGTGATCGACAAGTGAGCAGCTGATCTTGGGAGTGACGCGAGAGAGCCTGGGCCTAGGGAGATAAACAACAGAACTTCACGCTGTCCTTGGGTCGACTTTGACGAACATGGCCTTGGAACAGGAAGATTTTAGTTTGACAGAGATAGATCGCGATTTGCTTTTGTGTAGAGAAAGATTCTATGTGTCTGGCAATCAAGCAAACTTATGGATCGTCAAAGGCTCTTCCATGGATCTCGTAATCGATACCGGAGTGGGACTTTGGGATTTGCCGGGATTTTTAAAGCGAGCTGGCGCTATTGGCGATAAACCCTTTCTTGCAGTCGCTACTCATGTTCACTTTGATCACTCGGGTGGTCTTCATCAGTTCGAAGAGTTTGCAATTCATCGGTCTGAAGCGAGGGCTATACAGCGAGGTGATAACTACGAAGCATGCACGTTAATGAACGAGAGTGATATTTCTAAACCGCCGAAGAAAAACTGGGCAGCAAAAGATTATAAAGTTATGCCAGCCCAACCAACAAGACTTTTGGACGACGGAGACATCATTGACCTTGGTAATCGAACAATTCGCGTAATGCACCTTCCCGGRCATTCCCGAGGTAGTATCGCTCTGTACGAAGACGCGACAAGAACGTTATTTAGTGGGGACATCATCTACGACGGCTTGTTGATTGACTGGCTGCCCTATAGCAATGTGGCTCAATATATTCAATCTTGCGAAACTCTGTTATCGCTAGCGCCAAGTGTAGAACGAGTATGCCCTGGACATAATAACTATTTTGACGGGCACACGCTACAGAGACTTTTATTCGCATATATCTCCAACGCAACTGGCTGTCACAAGTTAGGTACGGGTTGTTTGAAATCAGTTGCAATGGTAGTCTTGAAAGGGCGAAACACTAACAATGTTCCTGCTAAATGCTGTTACTTTTCCTGCTGTTGTTGTCGCTGCTTATGCCTGTGAAGAAATGACCAACCTTTGCGGTTATGTTTTCGTAATTCAACAATGAAATGAAAATTGAAAAAAATTGACGGAAACGAATGGGAAATTGCAATTGTAAAAACAAAATCAAATAGTTTGCTATATAAATATTATGAATGTCTTCAAAAAGATATAAAAATGCCAAAAAAATTGTTCAGCCCATTTAGATAAGTATTGTAAATCGAAWTAATATATTTCAAAATGATGCTTATGTAGTGAAGAAGTCACCATTTTAATATATTTGGTTGATTTCTCAATTAAAAACTGTACACAGCAATGGCTGACTAGTTCAAACTGTTCAGTCAGTACTGTTGAATGATAACAAACTGATCAAAAACCTCATTTTTGTACCTTGGATTATGGATTTTTATTCAAAACAACAGTACATTATTGTTACTTATATTGTACTGAACAGGTGAAAGGTTACTTTTTCACTTCTTTTTCTTTTCATATTGCCATTAAAAGATTAATAAAGTTCTCAMTACTTAACAGCTAATTCTTCTCTAGAATATGCTCACACAAAATAAGAACTTTTCAATCTCAAATATATTCACTGGTTACTTGTAAAATTTAAATAAAATGTGAACCAGTGTGTCTATGCAAATGCAATTGAAGCACAGCTGTGTCAGTAATAAACAATGATATCAAAAAAGCTAAAGAAGTAAACTTTATCAGCAATGTATATCTTCAACACACTTAAAATTTACTACTCTGTTAACTGCAAGACAATAAAACCCTGCCTAAGTTTTTAATTAAGCTTGGAGAAGGATTATCAAAAATGGCAAATTGTCAGTAAATCATGCATTTTAATGTTTATTATGTATAGGTGCTATATATGTTTTGTACACATATTGAAAGTGTTCATAACATTGATATATAATATGCATAAATGTCATGATAGGGTGCCCCAAGATCAAGCTTATAATTAAACAGTCTCTATTATACAGCTCCTGTCAAAATCATTCAACCTTGTGGGCATTGATTAATATTTTAAGGTCCAGTCATGCATAGAAGGAGACATTTAATAACTGCTGTCAGAAATGGCGGATCTTAAAGTCACAAATCACCCTTCTRCCACTAAGGAACTATGGCCTGGATATCAAAAAAACTTTTCCTTTCTTTACAATTTTCTCTAAATTGAATATAAATTATGAACAATTTTGTGTTTTAACTTATAAATATCTTATTTAATACCGTATACTTACRTACAGCTGTGTAAGTCAGCATCTGGCATAAGAAATTTATGCTTTCTGTCAAATTAAAATACCCTCCTTATACATATTAATGAGTCTTTATTATATACAGTAAATTCAGTTCAAGTCTTTATCTTTTTTTTCTTTCTATCTTTTATTCTAGCATTTTCCTATATATTCTTGAAGTTATTTTCTATATAAATAAAAAAAATCAATTTTACCTGTCGGCATATTCTCCTTTATTAACAGTTTGTCACCTAACAAAGTAAAATTAATGCATATATATATTCATAAGACAAAAAAAATGTTGGTGCTTTAGCTTAAGAGACTTCCACTAAACAAATAAATTGCCCAACCTTTCAATACTATTTTTCTCCATTTTTATATTTGTCATTTCTTTTGTCATTTCCTTTTTATATAATATATACATATATATTTTGTCAGTTTTCATTGTTCATTTATTAGCTCATCCAACCATTTGTTCATCCACTCATTCATTTTTTCATCCATCTGTTCATTTGTTCATCCATCCATTTGTCCATCCACCCGTTCATTTGTTCATCCCTTCATTTGTTCATCCATCTGTTCATCCATTCATTTGTTCATCATCTGTCCATTTGTTCATCCATCCGTTCATCCCTTCATTTGTTCATCATCTGTCCATTTGTTCATCCATCCGTTCATTTGTTCATCCCTTCATTTTTTCATCAGCTGTCCATTTGTTCATCTATTCATTTGTTCATCCATTTATTTTTCCCTTAATATTTTAAAAATATTTTATTTTTCATTTATTTTGTGAGCATTACATTTTAGTCTTACTCAAAATGTCTTTAAAAGAGATTAATGGCTGCCACTTCTTCAACATTGAGTGATCTCCCTTGCTAGTAAGAAAACATTTGAAACTTTACCCTCGTTTATCACAAGGGTAATATAAAAGTTATACTTTTTATATCACTGTACAGCTCAGTCAAGAGATAGCCCATGTACAAGCCAATGTAATATATCTCTTTTGTATGCTGTAATTTAATGCAATATGCTTTTTCTCACTTCTCAATTGCTTTCTGTTCTTAAGTACTCTAATAATATCTCTTAATGGTGCATACATGGTCAAATTTGCTGATATTAAGAGGAAATGATCTTGCTAAGATGACATTTACAGGCTCCAAATAAGGAGCAGCTCCTAACCAATCAGATTACTGTAGTATCTCAATACAATAACATCTTTGCATGTAAAAAATTCTTTATTTTAATTAATAATTGAATTAGATTTTAATTAAAAAAACAGAAAGTACTCTGTAGTACTACCCAATGAATTAAAAATCCTATCCAATTACGTCTGTGCATGGGTCCAAGTTTGTTTTCAAAAATCAATTTAGTAAGTTACAGGATGGCTCCCAATTTTCAGTTTTATCATTATAAATGACACAACAATAGTTTTGATTGATGAAAACAGCTATCTACGAGATGGCAGTGTGTCAGGCTCTCCATTACTACATCCCCCACATTAAAGTACTCCAAAAATAGAATAAAAATCCATCGTTAAAATAAATAAAACCAAAGTGCTGCCAAGCAATTAAACATGTGACATTATTTTCACAAAAAAAATATTATTAAAAATTGTAAAATTTCACTGTAAATAAATATTGTGGAATGGTTTACATAAACCCATGAAACAAAGAGTAATATTAGTCAAACTGTAATCAATTAAGTCTTATACCAAAAATATAAAGAAAAACAAGCAAAATAATCTAAATGTCATGCATAACATAAATATGAAAATATTGTTTCTTCATATTATTCTTCATGTCACAGCAGCCATCTTGGAGAATCCTTCAACAAAGGATTTCTCATTTAGTATCTTTTGTTCACCCTCCAACATGGCTGCTGTCTTTTATCTTTTGAATGGTTGATCAATTTGTAATCAGCTTGTCTCTAGAAGTGTACATTGTCCTTATATCCAAGAAGATTACTTCATCATAGTTTTTGTCACTACATTACATCATAGACCAACAGATGACTTGAAAGAAAGATGACAAAACTAGCTGTCTGCTGGCACATCAGATGTTTCTGAGAACATAGACACTTGTCGATTAATTATGACAGATTGGGCTCTTTCATATTTCTTCCTGGCAAATTTGTACAGATTTAGGATTATAACACCTATAAAGTAAGGAGCCGGGAGCCACATTAGGAATAGACACAGAATATCAGCTGGGGAGTAGCCATTATATGAYGACAGTGCCRTAAACCAACTATCATCACTTGTAGAGAATGAACCAATCAAAGATATCAAACTTAGATTCATYAATAACAAAGAATCCAGTACGTTAATCCAAGTTCCACTCCTAGTTTGATCACCAGACATTTCAACAGATGWGTCGCCTGTCTTTTGGTACTTGTAAGGACGGATGTTCGCTTGAAGTGTCAACAATGAGATGCAMACAAAACACAASAGGCCATGTTTGATGGCTGAATCAGAGATGAAGGTATAGATTAAAAGTAGGATGATACGTGCAAGGTAATAAACACCAGCAAACCAACGGTACTCAGTCTTGTAGCAACTCTGAAAGATGTCCARGAAAGGTTTAATGGTYGCACTGCCAAGGCCTGGYTTTAGATAGGACAGAGGTTGGACTAATAGAAGACACAAAGGGAATGGTATGACAATAATGATGCACACAAAGATAGCCAGGATGCCATAACTCTTATGATCACTTCCAAAGTATTCAACCTCACCACTTCTATACARCACCTTTTTGCCATTGATAGGCGAGAAGTGAAGGATATCTAGTGATACTGACGTGAATGTTGTATACGATACTAAAAACAATGTTGTAAATGCTCTTAAAGCCGACCTACGAGAGAACACAGACATTCGCATCCTTGATATTAGCACCACAACAGTACACAGAAACAAGATATAGGCAGGYAGGACATAGGTTAAAGCAAGYTTCTGCARGTCTGTCATTCCATACCACATACAGGCACCCATACCAACTTGAGCATTAGCTAAACCCATCATAAACCTGAGCACTGGATCAGGAGAAAAGCCATCTCGTACTAGGAGATATGCAACTTGRTAGAAGAAAAGTGAGCCAATATAATAACCAGCAGAAATATCAACATTCAGCAGCAGAACGACAACAACCACTAAAGTACCAACAAGAAGGAACAATGTCATGTAGCCAATCCAATTGTAGTTATCTGCGCAAAGCTTACAATGGTCACTTCCCAACACTACGCTATATCCAGGTAGACACTTTCCACAGAGTACTCCAGTCCTGTGACCTTGACATTGTCGCTGGGGCCCCTCRAGATATAGGTACTCATGAGGAGCGCATGAGACWCCAGTAGAACAACGGTAGTCACAGTACATCGATGGACATGGCGTTGTTACAAATGATTCAGCTTTTCCTTCCATGACGCCAGCCCATAATCCTTTTTTAATAAATACATGACGGTCTCCTTGACAACGAGTAATGCCGTCATAATCTCTTGATGTTTCTGGGGACTTRAGRCAGACACATCTTGTGTTATCCTTGAGGTAATATCCAGGTCGGCAGTTTTTYAGTGTGATGTTACATATAACAGCCTTAATGGCCCGTCCTGTGGTAGTTTGAATATCAACGGTGAAAGTCATGTYTGATTTTCCACTCATTTTCAATGAGTAGATCTTGCTATCTGAAGGGAAATATGGTCCAGAGCTTACATCAACTTGGGTGTTGGAGCGGTTGGAGTTTTCCACAGCTACAGATACTATACCTATGAAAACAACATAATAATACTATTATTAATTATAATTATTATTAATTTCTTTACCAAAACACACACTTTCCTATGAGGGGTAATAGTAACTACTAAATACTGTTGATTAAAGATTATAATAATAGCTAAAGGAAATAAACAATTGAGTTTCAATTTATTGGTCATAACTGCATCCTCAGGAACCCAGGGGTTATCTTCTGTCGTTAGTTTGTGAGGAACGAATAACAGAAGAAACTCCTGGGTTCCCCTGGATTTTATAACTGCATCTACTCTATATTTTCCAGATACCACACTTACCAGGTAGTGTCTGCCCTCTTTCATCAATAAGTTTGACTGTGGGGTTAGTTTCATCACTTGGTGCTATGTTTTGCCAGTCCTGTTGATTAAGGACTATTTCAACAGGGTCAGTGGCTATCTCGCTACCAACTGGGGAAGAATTCTCATACACAAAGTTGGTCCAGTTAAATATCTGGTTGTTGTGGAAACCATAGACTTCCATGTACCATGAACAATACTTTAATGTAGAACAGTAGATAGAGTGACCTGAATGTAGTCGAAACAATAATTAATTCAAGGAGAAAATATAGATAATTCTGGTTGAAAAGGGATTTCTTACCTGCWACTGATGCATTGTTGTAAGAGAAATTAAAAAATGTCTTCCATTTGTCAGGAGATATAAGAGTTTGTAGAGTTGTGGCTGCATTGTAAGTAATAAAGCAATTTTTGGATGCAACTCTATTGGGTGTACCAGGGGTGTCTACAAATATACCAGCACCTCGTAAGGCTTTGTTCTAAAAGGGAAAAATAATAATTCATTAAATGGCCATTTATAATGTAATGTAAGCACTAGCAGACCATTGAGGCAAAATTAATAACATGGTAATAGCTCACTTCACATATTCTGGTTTAGTGATCATTTTAGTACAAGAGAATTGAAGACAATACTCTAGGGATAAAAGAATCTATTAAAAGACTGTTCATTGACACTGGAAATCTTCCACTTTTTTTGTAACTATTAAACTACTAGGTGTAGTATTAAAAGTTGGCTATTGTTTCTCTGACTATGAATATAAGRAGACAGTTAAAATAGCTCTATTCAAGACTTTAATGTACGGTATACTCAACACTGAACCACAGCCAATCTCATACCTAGCACCCCTGTCCCTCTTACTGCGCAGGCTCGACGGCCAAAAGTAACCCAGGCCCTGGGTACGAGATTGAACCACAGCGTCAAGGACCATTACTGAACACACATCTTTTCTTTTATGATCAGCATGAATCACTTAACACCTAGCCTTAATGGTTTGTTTGTAGTTGCTAAACACAGGCATGTCGGAATTATGCGCGGATGCGGACGCGCATAATTGCCCCCTTTCCGCATAATTTACTAAATCGCGCATAATCCCACATAATTCGTGTCTTTTTCCCATGTTATACCATTTTTTAAGATGCCTTGCCTTCTACTAATGTTTTTTGTGGTCCATTGACTGTTTTTTTTGATCAAAAAACGCTCCCAAACATGCTTATAATTTTCCGAATATAGTTTTGTTTTCGTGGGCTTCACAAATGTACCAGGCGTTCAAAATTTCATCAGAAAAGAGTCTGGGCACTAGCATTACTGGTCACCCTGTGCCTTTCTAGATCACGTGACAAATTCCAATATGGCGTATGATACAAGTGAGATGTAAAGCGTGCGAGAACGAAAAAGTCTAAAAAGATCTTTCCTTCTGTTGGTACTGCCTTCTGTACTACTAAGATAACTAAGATAAAAACGGAGTTTTGCAAGAAAAACAAACACAATAACCTAAACATATTAAAATTTCCCAAATTTTACGTTCCTGTGATGACGTCATCCCGCATAATATTCCGCATAATTCACCCTTTTCTCCGCATAATATGGGGAAAAAATTCCGCATAATTTTGATTTTTTTCGCGCATAATTCCGACATGCCTGTAAACATAGCATAGGATATTAATATTTATCATTGCTAACCTTAGAAAACAGAAAGTTAGATCCAGGGTTAATGTTAATCCATGACTGTCCCAGTAATGATATCGCACCACCATCATGACCTTCATTTCTGTGAAACTCCATAGAACCAGCTACTGTCAAAACTGCATCAGTCATTAAGAACACACTGCCTTTGTTATCCATAAAATAGTTATCCCCATCAAAATAAAATGGCATAGCATTTGTRCAAATTGTTCCTTGTCCTTTGACAACGGACGTGTAAAAAGATGTGTTTGTTGATGATAATTTGTAGTCAACTATCAAGTTTTCTTTGAATGTGGTGTTGTGGAATATAGGAACTACAATACCACCAGCACTTATGATCTTCCATGATGCTCCTCCTACGGCAGCACCGTTAGAAGCATAGTTCTTAATCCATGTCACTCCAATAAATTTRATTTGGCTGCTTGCCTTTCCTGTGCTAGTTAGTGCCTCTTCTGTTGCATAAACAGAGGATCCTCCACCCCATATTGCCGAATTATTGGTAAAAGTACTATTTATGAATGTACCATTGATATATGGTTTAACATCATCAAATACTTGTATAAGGCCATAGCGCATACCACCACCAGCCCATTTGGCAACATTATCAGTAAAYGAACAGCCTTTCACAATAAAATTGTTCTGAATGCATTTGTCCACAACTTCGGTGAAAAGTCCTCCACCCCATACTGCATAATTGTTGGTAAAGTTGCAGTTATCTATCACGAATTGATTGCYACTTGCATTACCTCTAAGGTAAAAAGAAAGCCCTCCTCCTCTACCAAGAGACATGTGGTCTTTCCCCTGGGGTGGTAGGAAGTCTGTGTTTTTTGTTCCTGGAATGTTAGGTGGTCCTGGAGCAGAGTTATTAGCAAAAGAACTGTCCTTGAAGATGTAGCTAGAGTTATGTATGTACATTTGGTGTTCTTCGTTATCGCTTTCTGTGCAGCCATTTCCATTCAAGGCTCCGCAATAAGTGAATTGCACATAAACACCACCCCCTCCCCACCTATAATCACCAACATCTCTTGAATTGTTTGAAAAACGACAAGAAATAAAGCTTACAGATCCACCAACGTCATAAAGATTGACTGCCAAAGCAGGATTATTTGACAGACCTACTTTATAGAAATTAATATCACGACAATACACAAAGCTAAAAGCTGCCATAAAGGTGATGTTGTACAACGAAGTCCCAACATGAGGTGCTCCACACTTCGCGATGGATAACCGTTCAAACCTTATTGCTTGACTTCGCATGAAAGTAATTCCAACATTGTTGCCAGTACATTCAATAAACACTCCATCAGTTCCAAGAATCAGGATATTTCTGTAATTAGACAGGTTRATGTTCTTGTCGAGAAGATAAAGTCCAGGTTGAAATTTCACTCGTGAATTATTTTGTAGCTCGGTAAAAACCGTAGATAAACTGCAGTTGTTTTTGTTGCAGAGTACATCGTGTTTGTATTCGGCTTTGATAAACGTTGTTGATATACAGAAGAGTACGATTGATATCGTAAAGTACCCTAACGACTTCATAGCTGAAACGAACTAGCTGATTATGCAAGCTTGCAAATGAGGAAACGATTTCCTCATAAGCTTATTACGCCGGAAGTGAAGTCACAAACCAGTCAATCAAGACAATGTTAAGGATTAACCARTAATAGTTACAATGATAATCGAATAATATGAATCACAGTGGAGCTTAACTTTTTATGTAAAGACATCGTTAATTTAATTTCAAAATCTCCAATTAATTCGGCCAGGAYCAACATGACCACTCAACATGCCGCGCCGCCATGACAGTTTAAAAGTACAGACCAAATAGAGAAGTAAGATTCTCTAACAAGACGCATAAAATATCATCCTTAAATTATTTTACCACGATCGATATATGCTCTGCTCTTCCTTCATCTGCTTGCCAGCCTGGTTCGTGTTCGTTCGGTTCCACGTGTGGACCAACTYTTTTTCAGTCAGTTCGTCCATATGAGCCTACAGTGTTTTGCGCAGCAGTAATCTCTAGATTGCCATGACTACGTGGTGCACGCGCGTGTTTTACGTCATAAGCCATTATTACGTCATAATGCAATTTGCAGTTAGTTGTCGAGAGTTTTCGAATGGAAAGCAAAAAAAGCTTTTGTTATCCGATTCTTAATAATCCAATAATTCATCTAACGACAGCCGTCACATGAAGTTCGAATCGCTCAAAATTAAGAAGAACAAACCACGAAAAGCTGGAGGAAAGGGCAAAAAAGAACATAGAAAAGAAGTTTCTCACCAAAACGAACCGTGTCAGCACAGTTTACCATGCATGCATAGCCAACGCCTCGTATCAAACAATGGCTCCGCAAGACTTTCAAGCTTTCCTTTCACAACAAACGAAGAGAAACGAAGAGYCAAAAACAACCTAAAGGTGTGGAGCAAGGAAGTCATCGACATAAATTTCGGATGAAGGAAGAGGGAGTCTTTTTTTCCTAGCGAAGAAGAGTTGACCACCAAAAGGTGCAGAGGCAGAGAACGCCCATGAAGAAGTAGCATTCTCGAAGAGGAGAAAGGACTTTAGCAGTTGTCCATGATAATTGACGAGGTTAAAATGATAAATACATCGTCGTCGTAGCTGAGAACTCGAGGAGAAAAGACGTACATCAAAGAGGAAAGCTGCACAAATGTAAGTCAATCTGAAGAGGTTTTATTGATAAACGAAGCTGTTTTTTTCTCTTTTTTTATGTGGCTCTGCAGTGCGTTAAAATGATCAATTTAATAATGAAATATGTACGATTTAGATAAATGTAGAGATGAGATCACCAGCAAAAATGACCAGATAGAAATGATAAAGCGTATTCAGTTCGAAAAAAGGGACTCGTAAAAGGAACTTGAGCTTCAATGAGGAAGAGCTACGGATCTGATATAAATACAACAAATATTCAAAACCACTTTGAAGYATCTTGAACATGTGGGCTTTTCATAGGACAAAAATACGTAATAATGATTTTTAAACCAACCAAATAATCATGAATCATMGGATTTATTTATAAACAATAAATGTATTTCAGTTTATTTAATGGGTCATAGGATTTGAGGAGATGACGTCATAGCACTATAATCCCAAACAATTATGAACTGTATCAACAACAATCTACTTGATCTAGTCTCACTTTATATTCAAATATTAACAATTTATCCGCCTACCGTATATCAACTAGGAACAATAAAGGAAAAGCTTTCTGATAATTTCCGCTAAAATGAATATCAGTTGAAGAGGGGGAACCTTAAAATAGTTCCAATTATTTATTATTAAAGTGAGTTTATTTTTCAAAATAGGTGTCATTGCTTTTATTGTATTCATTTGTTAGTCACAAGTTGTACTTTGGCTTCAGGTTTGGCGACGGGAAACGGGAACTTATGTCTTTATATAGCGTGAAGATATGCACTAATAATATCACAAGACTACGTCATTGTTTCCGGTTATAACCGTACAATATCACTATATATTCTGGGTTATTGGCAAACAGTTCCTCAATGTTGCATTACAGGTAAGATATATTTCCATTCTTACACTAACAAAAAAAAAATATCCTTAACTATAGAAGCAGATAATACAGTGCTAAGGCACCAAACATTTTCCGTGTCGTGATGGTGTTGTGTTCCTAAATCAATATTTTGAATATTAATACCTTGCGAGATCCTTGACCGTGTCGTATTTTTTACGTGACCGTGCTTGTGCACTTTCATACACTACGAAACCCGCTCTACTTTATTTAAGAGATATTATAAAGTAATATTAATATAAATACTAGATAGTTATTTTAATATTTTTCAATTTAAGTATTATAGCGGATATAGCTAATAGTACTTTATATATTACGACAAACAAGTTAGAATTTAGACAAAATGTAAATGACAATCACTAAATCATTGATAACACATTAATATTTATGTCACTGCAGAGCGTACATCAACCWAAACTTTGATTCGGAACCTCTGCAAAGCGGTTGGCAATGACTGCATGAGTTCASTTTTTAGTAGCTTTGAAGGGTCAATAAGCTGTCATTAAAATCGCTGTATCTGCAGTWTWTTATCATCTCAGACCAYCTGTATGCATGTAAACTGCACTGAGTTACTCTACAACAAATCGTCCGATTTAAACTTGAGGAATAACTGAGAGAAGTTCTTTTTTTACAGAAATATGACGATGTTTCTGCTACTGCTTTTGTATTGTGGGGTTGGTGCTGCAGAGGAAGTCTTCAGTAAGRCTCTTCGCTATGAGCTTGGAAGCTTTGAACAACCGAAACTATTTCACATCCGCAACAACCTAAAGGTACGTTATTTCGTGTTCGTCAGCATGGTTGTCACATTGTCATAAACCGTGAAACACACTTACGATTATTGCACTTTATTACTCTTACAACATTTTGCAATATTTTATAAAGAATCTTACAGATGTCATGTCATTTTCCCAGGGTGACGTCGTATTTCGAGAAAGCGGCAATGTAACGATTGAAGTGACTATTTCTGGTAAAACAGAAGACAAGGATCGATTTGAAGTTCTGTACAAAATGCGTGATAACGATACTTTGGTTGACGTACAAGTGGTATGAATTGATGAATAATAAACCCTCCCGCCTCCTTTTTCACTTTTTCTTTTCCCCTATTCATYCAATCAATGGTCTTTTYCMMYT